TCATTTGCGGCGCTCTGGTTGATATGGTCGCGGATATGCGCCAGCAGGGCACTTTTAGATGTCGTCGAGGGAATGCCAGTGCTTACCCGGTCTTCAGTGTTCGGCTTGGCAATTTCCTTCACCGCAGCGTGCACCGGACTCGGCTACAACACTCACGACAATGAACAGGGAAAACATATTTCGATAATAATATACTCTTATTAAATAGAAGGTTTTAAAATAAATTGTCAAGATATAAACGAACATGTTGTTCAAACCTTTTATTGCCATGTAAAAATTAATAGTGGGTTAGCGTTTGCAAACTTCATCTATACACGGAATCTCTACATACAAACACGTGACGTCACGGCCGAACCCACGAGGCAGCGATTCGCTGCCGCGCAAAGTAGATGTATGCGTGTATGAAGGCGGTGCCAAAGATCCATCCACGTAAGGCCCTTACGTGTATGCATGTAACTCCACCCCTTTGCACGCATACAAACAAGTAGCTGAACCAACTGCCAGTTGATCTCGAAATTTCAAACGCTCGTCTTTCATTTTCTTCTCAACGGATATTTTCAGTCGACATATCAGAAGATGTAAAATTAAATTTCAAACTTTTTGATACCTAACGAGTGCATATTTATGACGAATCGACATAGTTATGACTGTTTTGGTTTCTCGTAGACTTAACATACGATGCAAGCAACGCCTCCTCGCTCGGGCTTATGCTGTGTCTACGAGAAACTAAAACAGCCATAACTTTCTTGATTTGCCATAAATAGCCACCCGCTAGATATCAAAAAGTTTGAAATTTGATTCTACATCTTCTGATATATCGACTGGGAAGATCCGTTGAGATGTAAACGAAAGATGAGTTTTCCAAATTTTGGAGATCAACTGGCAGTCAGATCGGGCCGATCGGCTACTTGTATGTGTACCTGCCAGGTGGCTGGCACCTCCGCACACCCGGTCGCTCAAACACGTTGTGAGCCATATATACAAGCCCATTTCTGAGCGGTCCCTACGTCACTTGTTTGTATGCATAGATTTTACAAGCTGTCAACGCACTCCCCGTAATGGTTTCTGTGTTTTGTTTTTGATCGCTGTCGCACCATTTTTACCCCTACGGCGCGCCCCAGCCTCGGTCGGTAGTTACGTTGAATAACTGCGTCGGTAGTTACGCTACTGAATCTTGATGCTGGTGAGCACAATAGGGTGAAAAACGGTTTGACAGTTGTCTTGCAAACATTGTCAAACCGTATCCGGTAATTACAAAAAATTCCTCTGTTGACTATGCTGAGCTGTCAATCAGTATGTGGTCAAACCGGTGATTTATTGGTCGGTATGCTACTTGATTGTCTGCCGCGTTCGTTGGAATTGACAGGCTTAGAATTTTTTGTTGAAAAGCGGACATCACACGATGCGCGTAAAGCACAAAATTCGTCACTTGTCGAGACACAGGATGTTGTTAAAGGCGTCGACCACTGAAGCGCTTTTATGTGTGATAGCGGCCCTTTTCCCACCGGGAGGTGCGCGCAAGCCGGTACTATCATTTTCATAGCGGCGCGGGAAGAACGAAGCAACGTAATACTGTACAAAACATAAGGAAGTTATATTAATTAGTAACGTATTAGTGATTGTTTAATCACAAAAATAACCAACATACCTAAATGTGGAGATCTCTCCAGATCGCTTCCATTAAGCTGGCGCGTGCTGAAATTACTATAGCAGTTTACCTTAATGATGACCGAACTTGTGCATTCGCTAAAACACGAGAGATTTGCGTGTCCGTAAGTGCCGTGCCGTGGATAATTTACTTACAAAATTCATACTGTGTAAGTATTGAATTAAACATTTTGTTTTCATTGAGGGTTTTTTGGTATGACGAACGTTGCGAACATCAAGCTAGTCTTCTCGTTCCCATTAATAACACATTAATTTTGCGATAGAGAAAAGGCACCAAGTGAACGTCATCGCATCCCATGTACAAAGTGCGAGTCATAAAAAAACGTCGTTTACGGCTTCTTTTTTTCTACCAATCATGAATCCCCGGATTCAGACAATGACGTCAAATTCCTCTTTTTGCAACTGTTAATACGAAAAAGTGATTACCGACAGTTACAGTATTGTTAAGTGGTGCTCGTGCTTATAATGCCACAAAAAGCAGGTATCGGAAATTATCATGGGGAGAAATCATCGGATGACAAGCAGCCCATCTAAACATGTAGATAAAACGCCTGACATTCGTGACCCTAAATCTCTTGTAGCTGTGGTGGAGCTGGCGTACTGCCGTGCCCTCTAATGTTCAACGGAATAAACCCCACGTAGACCCATGGACGAGGAGGCTGGCTGGCTGTTTTGCCGCATCGACCGCTCATCCTCCGATTCATCACGTTGCTACATGTGCACGGCCAGATGCAGCGTTGGTACATGTTGCAAACGGCGCCAATTTCGCAAGTTGGCGCTGGCGCTGGGTTTGTTTTAGCCAATGTTGCTAGAACATTTTCATGGCCCCATCTGGAAACCCTGGGTGCATCCGTGAACCCCACGACTGTGTCAATGTTCGCAGTTGCTGCAGAATAAACGATGTTTCGGCACGCAGCAATACAGATAACCTTAACATTATCGCGATAGCAAAGCAATTTTTACAAAACGCGTGAATACGCAAAGATACTTATGGTATTTGCTCCTATTGATGCATTCGTTGCAAGCGGATAACAACCACTTTCGAATTTACATAGATGATGTTAAGCGAACTGCGATTTCATGTTTTCATGCTGTAGTTTAGCCCGACATAATTACGGTAATTATCGAATTTGAAGCCCCCCCCAATACAAGCCCCCGTAATTAGGCCCCCCCCCAATACAAGCCCCCCCGTAATTAGAGCCCACCCCTAAGGTCGTTTGAAAGTTATAAGCCCCCCCCCCCGAAATAGAAGCCCATGGGCTTAATTAAATACCGTAAAGCCCATATTAAAAAATGCCAAAAAGCTGGTTTGAAAAATTGAAGCCCCCCCCCCCAAAATACAAGCCCATGCCCGTAATTAGAGCCCACCCCGTGGGTCATTTGAAATATTTGTAACCCTGGGCTTCTAATTCGATAAATACGGTAAGTACGGCATATTCTCTTCCTTTTACTTACAGTCTGTTTCCACTGTTGTAGACGCATCGGTCACTGGGCGCGGGGTGGTGACGTTCTGTATCCCAGCAGCGATCCCAGTCCTAATTGTCCTAGCAACGCTAACACGGCATTCACTTCGGCCCTGTTGAGCGATTCATTCCCATTCCCCTAGGCACCGTTGTTTGGGTTAAACACGAAGTTCAGCGGGGCTTTGGTGGTCCTTGACGTCGTGGTCGTCGATGAAGTGGTAGGCGCGAAGCTGGTAGCGATATTTGGACTTTCATTGTTCGGCTTAGCAATGTCGTTTAGCGCATTGAGGGTGTCCAGTGCTTTCACCAGTACCTGGGTTAGATTTGTCAGTGCCGCGATATTGAACTGACTAGTGGTGGCTGCATGTACCGGCGCTATGGGACCCATCACCGCGCTGAGCACAGCTAACAACTGCAACATATTTCTGATAATAGCAAAAATTACGATTAATCTATGACGCTTTGGAAAATGCAGCCAACAGCGGCTGTAATATTGCTATAACTTTTTCAGTATGCCATCTTTCTTTCGTAATACAGCCTTAATACATAGACTCCTAATCAGGATATTGTGAAATGCTGTAAACCAAGTGACACCGATCCTCTGTCTGCTGCGTGATTTATGTACTGCTTCTGCACTGCGTGCGGTTAAAAATACGAGTACTAGTTCCAGAGCTACCCTAGTACATTAAAGTTGTCTAATACGTGCTTAATTTTATGCATATGACAAGCTGGCGAATTTTTTAACCGGACTGTTTTTAATAGGTTGGTTTGCCAAAAACTGCAAGTACGCGTACAGGCGCATAATGCTCGTCACCTGTCGAAAAGACCGGATATTGACAGGCACATCCGGTCCTGTAACGCCTTCTTTATGCACGTTGACGGATTGATAAAAAAACACAGTCGCAGGCATTGTTTTTCAGCCATGACAATGAGACTCTACTAGAATGTTTTGCAAATGAGCTGTAAGCTGAAAGCGCATTTACTATGGGTCTTACTGACAAATGAGATGCATAAACAAAAAAAAACGCTTTTTTGTGCAGAAATATGTGTATTACTAAAAGCGCTTTTATTGAGTGTTCTACTGAGATGCCTGCATAAATAAACGATTTTTTTGCAGTAATGTGTAAGTTGTGATGCGTCAAGTTGCAGCGTAAAGATATGGTTTCAAAATTAATCAATTCGTTGTATAGTTGTGCTACTCCATAGGAAATGTCAAAATCACTGGAAGTGCAGTCTAGACCGGCTATTGACAGGCGACAGACAACATCCGGCACTGGAACGCCTCCTTTATCCGCGTTGATCATAAAGCACAGGTGTAGTACTGACAATTTTTTCAGCTGTGAGTCGGCCCATGACAATAGGCACACGTAGAAAGTTTTTAAATAAGGCATAGGTTGACAGCGGTTTTACTGTGTGTTTTATTGAAATAGCACCGTTGAACTCACTCCGACTCTAAAACACTTGCCGAATTTTAATTTTCACCATGCCATAATAGCTCGGCATCGCTAAGATACCATTTCGTGGGCACCTGCGGTTTTGATCAGACGGAACAAGATGCATCAATAAATAAACGATAATTCTGCAGAAATGTGTAAAGTGGGTTGGGGTCGTTTTGCACAGAAGTGTAAAGATATGGGTGCACAAATTAAGCAATTCGTTGCACAGTTGCGTACTCCATGGAAAATGCCAAAAAACGGTGCAGGTGGATGCTTGATACGGAATAGAGACCAAGCGCTTCGGAGGAATGCGTAGGAATACGTAGAAGATGGTAAAGAAAAGATCGTTCACAAAGAGTAGTACGAAAGGTAGTTTAGTATATACAGTAATACTGGTTAGCCATGTTATGGAAAATCTGCACCGGACATTATTTCAGAGATGAACCATCAGCATCAGATAAGCTAAGACCAAGGTGATGATGACCATAAAATTCTTGCGGATATAGAACGGATAACGTATCGTCATGTCACCCAAAGTGCGACGAAACAACTGCCGCCTAGCCAAAGGGAACCCAGCTAACGATTTTGCCGCATCGACCGTTGATTCTCCGGTTCATAACATTGCTACATGAACACGGCCAGATGCAGCGTTCGTACTCGTTGCACAGGGTACCGATTTCGCAGGTCGGTGGTGGCGCTGTGCTTCTGTAACCCGCTTTTGCCAAGAAGGGTACAGAACTTTTTCCAGCAACCCGGGGCGCAACAGTAAATTTCGAGGCGGTGCCGTATCTTGCCGTTGCTGTAAAACAGAACGTTTTCGTTAGCATAATACACACATACAGATTACTGCTGACACATTGGCGCGACAATATCTTTTTCTAAAACAGGTGGTAATGCAAAATGCCATTGGATGGTGTTTCGCTCTGTTGATAGTTGATACATCCGTTGCTAACAATTTACAGGTAATAATCGCTTTCGATACGAGATTCCGGTGTGGCAGTCTTATACCGTACAATATCGGGATGTGTATCAGTAGCTAATAGGATTTTTCATTCTTTCGCTTACATTTTGCGGCTGCAGGCGACTTTGTAATCTTGATGCCGGTATCTGGCTCCGATGTGGCAGCACTGGACGATTCACGTAGCGACACCCCCAGCAACGCCATTATGGCACTTAATTCGTCTCTCGTAAGGTGCTGTGTTCCATCGCTGCTCGCACTCTGGTTAACGGCATAAGCCGTCGGGGATTTCGTTGTCGCAATGATTTCTTGGATCGTCGTCGTTACCGGTGGTAATCCAAGCAGCGAGCCCGGTCTCAGTTGGCGCAGCAACGACACCACGGCATTCACTTCGGCCTTCCTGAGTGCTTCATTTCCAGTGGTACCATTGTTCTGGCCCAAGATATAAGCAAGCGGGCTTTTAATGGTTGTAGCGTGAACCTTCACCAAAGGACCAATCAGAGCGCTGATCGTAACCAACAAATAGATCATGTTTCGACGGTCGCATAAAACACGAATCATCGATGCCGTTCCTTAATAATGCAGCCAACAATTATCAAATTTTTTACAATCGATCTTCGAAAACACGCCTTAGAATTAAATCCTACTTCCCCCTGATCCTTCTGAGCATCGTGACTGTGCAAAATACGTCATATGACACGAAGCTGATGGCTTTACATTAACCGTTTCATTGTGCATCGTTAACCTATGGGCTCGTATTTGTCAGTCTAATCATTCTGCGGTTAATTTCATTCGTTTGTGAAGTGCTTAATTTTTTGCTGAAGTCGCTTGTGTAGGCGGTGGCGATTTGCGATAAGACAGACATGCAGACGCATAATGCTTGTCATCTGTCGATCATCAGACTGTTCATGGTCTCAACCAGCATTTCTAACAACATAACTATGCATTTCGGCGGCCAAGATTAATAGAGCTGTCAATTTTTGTTGAGCTAAACCTTTAAAGACCACCGCATAATGAAAACGAGTCTCCTGATGGCTATACGAGTACCAAACGCCGCAGTACCGTACACCGATCATTGTGAATGCCTAATCGCTAGCCGAGGCTGCGATTTCGAAGGTGTGGTTGTTACCGGCGAAAATATGGCACAGGAGTCGGCCACTTTGTTCATCATACCTGCTGTAACTATCTACGTACACGGTACAGATATACCTTATTTTTGGTTGTAAAATATTGGTTTGGTTGTAGACTTCTGACTGATGTAACAATTAACATAAGTTTACGTATTGCAGTATATGTATTCCATTAGAGACAAACAATCTGTAGAATAGTCTTATGGAGTTTGTCTCAAAGTTTCCAACGCGCTGCTACTGGCTAAACTTGCGTTCCATTTCAATTTGAAAATCGTTAAAAACACGGCTTTTAAACGTGAAAATAAGGATACTTGTTATGCATATGGCTGCCAAACCTTGTATGGATAGTATATACAGTGTCTGTTTGTACGTTAACAACAAGCAAACTAAACAAACAACTTTTAAAGTTCTAATTTAATCTTATCTAAGGAAGCAGAGTTTATGGCTTTTCGGCAAACCGAATACATCTTATCACTAGGCGGGCGTTATTAATTTCTCGCTAACTCGCCTCGCTTAGAATTAGATTGTTATACAGCTGCCACAACACGGTTTTCATTGCATTCGTTTCTGTCACAGACATTCACAGTTTCCGGCAGTCCTGCAAGTAAATAAGCCAGCAGGCTGTTATTATTCAGCAGTTCAATAACTGCACGATTTGTTTTCTAGTAGACCCTCATGAAACGTAAGATTTACACGCAAGGGTTTCGGCAAGATGGGATCGAGAGACCTTGTGGCTGGCATTCATCTTGGGGCATCTAGCTGTACTTTAGCGGTGTATGATCGCCGCAGTGGCCGCATCACCGCAGTCTCGGAACCCAGCAGCGGCTTACAGGTAATACCTAACTGCATCGCATTTGATCAAACGAATACGGTGGGAAAATTGCTTTATGGCAGTGCGGCAAAAGCACACCAATCAATCGAACCGAAAAATTGTGTATACAATATCAAACGTATCCTTGGAAAATCTTACCATCATGCAGATGTGGCAGATCAGAAAAATTCCGTGTATTACACGATTCTCAACAAAAACGGCTCTCCTGTCGTTCAAATCGAAGAGAACGGCGCACCAGTTTATTATTCTCCAGAAGAGATCATCGGAATTATGTTGTCGTACCTGAAGCATATTGCGGAAAAGACATTCTCGGCAAAGATTTTTGGCGTTGTAGTAACTGTTCCAGCAAATTTTAGCATCGCACAGCGCCAAGCGATGAAAAAAGCCGCAGAGTTAGCAGGACTGACAGTCATCCAAATCTTAAACGAACCGCTTGCCGCTGCGCTGGGCTACTGGAGAGATATTCGGGACACACGAAATGTCCTGGTTTTCGATTTCGGAGCACAAACATTGTACGCGTCAGTTGTCGAAGTTGACGAGTCCAGAGAATTTCGCATCCGCGCGACAGCTTGTAACCAGCATCTTGGCGGTGACGACATTGACCTTTGCTTGGTTCAACACCTTGTGCAGGTTATTAAAGATTCATACTATACTGACGTTAGCACCAATGCGAAAGCGCTGTTTCGACTCAGAAACGAGTGTGAATCCATTAAAAAAAACCTGAGTTTCACTAGTAAGAAATTACTCATGCTGAAAGAAATCGCCGAAGACCACGATTTAATATCTAATTTTACTCGTCAGGAACTAGAAACTTTGTGTTCTTCTTTGTTTGGCCGCATCATACATCCAGTGCAGAGGGCTCTGACGACGTCGGGCTTACAGAGCACGGATATTTCGAACATAATTGTTGTTGGCGGCGGCAGTCGAATTCCTAAGGTGAAGGAGTTGTTAGAGCATCACTTTCCTTGTGCAAAATTGCTTATGACGATTGATCCATGCCAAGTTGTCGCAGTAGGAGCAGCAGAATTAGGTGGATTTCTATGCTTCGACGAGAGCGATTTAAACTTTGAGATAGATGGTGTAACACTTGCACCATCTAGTTTTCCGAAGACGTCGCAGTGTACAGCGAAATACTCATCAGTGAATTTGAAGCCACAGGTGTTAAAGAAAGTTGACTACCGGGCACGTAAACACGAAACATATTTGGCCAAATTAATTCAAGCGGAAAAGTCTCACGTTGAGCATTTAACTGCGTTAAGAGAAAATTTTTACCAGCCAATACTAAGCTGCCAACTAGTTCCTCTGGATATTCTGAACCAAATATTTCCAAATATTGAGGAAATTATTTTTCTGCATGCTGAATTTAGTCGGAATCTGCAAAAAAGCGCAACGGATATTGCTTCGTTAACGGCTGGAGATGCACTGGCTTCCCGATTCAATGGCCAAAACGGTAAAGAGTTTCAACGAGCAGTTTCTGCATTTTGTCAGCACCAGCGTAAAGGATTCGCATCTTTAACGGACGATCGCAACACGTCCACCGTGTTAACACGTCAATTGCAAATTTGCGCTGAGCGTTTGCTATGTTGGAACCTGACATTAGAAGACATCACTTCAGTCGAAGTCAAGATATTGGCCAAGTATTCAATTTTTATAAAGAAACTGATGAAATATTGTAATGGTAAGTCACGGAGCAATTAACGTTTATAACTTGCTAGGGGCATTGTGAAGTAAGTACAGATATAAGTACGCGTAATGATATATTTTCAGTGGATTTACTGTAACTTTTAATAAGTAAGTACACACTGAGTACTAAAACAAATTCATAACATAAACACTTCTTCGATTCTCGGGGATTATACCCATAACACATATCGCGTTTCCCCGTTAAATTTGGATAGATAGCGGCTGTCCTACATATACTTTATAGCTTGCACTTTGCACTTTTATGCGATATTTATTAGAAGTCCATTAGTCTCCCGCGCAAAAATGGGTAACTTTAATAATACAACATGATAAATCAGTCAGCATCAGTCACACCACCGTTAGCCTCCGGAAGCTGACAAGCAGTTACGCACGCGTATTCCAGCCCGGTCATATGGCATCACATATTACATCGGCAAGACGGCCTATTACACACCGTTAGGCATCCCGTCATTGGTTTGTCGCCGCACCAGCCCCACCCATGCCAGCCGAGCCGATCCATACCAGAACTATAATAATATAAGCCACCCTCCCCACCGTACCAGACAGTAGTCTTACAGCAGTCTGCCAGTCGACTATCAGTCTACAACTGCCACCTAGCATAGCATTGTTATAATGGGCATAGTATTTTGTTTATTGAATAAAGGTCACAATCGTACGGGGGCGTTACCTAGTGTTATAAGTACAGGTAGGTAACACACAAAGGTCATCGTCGATCTGCACAGGTATAACACAGGTCCACTATAAGAGAACTCTATGTTGCAACAGTGACTGGCCAGCAGAACGACTCACTTAGAAACAAGTACAACAGGAAGTAAAATTTAATGTAAATGCAACATGAAGTTGCAAGGACGTAAAATGAAGACACGATATTTAGGCGAGATATCTGGGCAGCGACTTTGTGGCTCTTTGGATATCAATGGCGTCGTTTCGCGAAGCGGATTTGAAATTATAAATCGTCTTTTAATTCGCGAGAATACAAAATTTTATTAAACAATGATTTTGAGCAAAAGGTCGTCTCCGACCAGCTTTTTAACAAGCGTAAGTACGTAACTCAAAATTGCCGCTGCGGTTCGAGGCGGTGGGATACCCTGATGTACAGGGAGTATAATGATACACGCTCTAGAAGGTATGTACTGAAGCACCAGAACCGTCCCAAACAACTGCGCAAAATAGCAGTTTACGGTAAAATCGGTCCGATTTCGGAATTATACTATGATACCGCATGGTCGGTACCCTGTGATATTGAGAGCTAGCGCACCGAATAGATTGTAGTGTAAAAGGTTTTATGCCGAATGAAAGGTTATGCAGGGAGCACTGCACTGCGCGACCCAAAAGGTGTCAGAAAGGAGGCGTGCATTACTTGTCCATGCCACTAAATCTGGAGTGACATCATCTAGAGTATCTATGGGTGCAAGGACTTGCATATTGGCTGCATATTAAACTGTTTAACTACATCAGCAATTGGCACTAACAGAAAGCATTTAATTTGTTTTGCTTGAGCCTGTCGTGATAGTTGAAAGAAAGACGTTGCTTATCCGTTCAGCACTACAGTAAAACCTGTGTAATTTGAACACCCGCGGTTCCTTCAAAAGCGTTGTTTAAGCAACTGTTCAATATTCGCAGTAGCATTCGCAGTCTAAAAGACGCTGCGGTTCCTAGCCGAGCGTTCAATATTCGCGGTTGTTCAGTCTCGCAGAGTTTACTGTAACACATAACGACCACGACACAATCGGTAAAACCGACTCTTATCTCAGACTGTTGGGAAAATGGGACGGCTTTACTATGAAGAAGATCAGGTACAAGACAGGAACTGCTGGAACTCAGGAATCCCTGCTGCAAACACGAGAATATACACAAATATACGAGTGTACTTACCTGACCTCACGCTACATGTTAGCAGAAGCGGTGAAAGCAATATCCATCAACCAGGCGATACTGGGCATGAAGAGACCAAAGGTGAAGGGATGCAAATGAGAGCTAAAGGTCACCTATCTTATTGCAAGACTACCTGACTTGAATAGTGCACGCCAGTAACATGAAGGAGAACCACAAACGTAGGTGAGTGACCAAGAGGTCTGGTAGCGAAGCCCTCACAGCGATACGAGAATAACAGAGCAAAATCGTGAAGTTAATCACATCGAGGCCAAGTCTCTAATCTTGTTGGAATTACAACTTGTGATGTTACAATGGGCCGTCTGGGCGGTCCATCCTTTCATTGGTGATGGTCTCAATTGTCTCGCGAAATACCTGGTCCAGTCTGTACAGCTCTTGTTGAAATATCCATGCGAGGGAAGTGCGCAAGATATGCACAATTGTTGGCACCCCTAGGCAATTCTTCAACAGGAACAGCGCTTGATGTTTAGGGATAAACTGCAAGCGGCCGCACATAATTCCCAACTGGTTAATTTTTTCGTTGACCATCGGGATTACGGCGGCTGATAGAAGAGGGAATCCGAGCAGATTTAGTTTATCCGCTGCTACTATAGCTATTCAGGGAATAAACTGGTGAACTCGTTAGCGGCCGATGAACAATGTGCTTCGGTACCCCACACAAAAACAGTTTGCACTTCGCGATGTTGGCTTCCAGGCCGACCTTCTTAGCTTCCACTATCAGCAGTAGGAACTTCCTATCACCAGTAGGAAGTTGCGGATCACTTCCGATGATGTTCTTCCTAATGTCCCTTCATCCATGTACCACGCGTTCAGGTAAGCGCTTAGTTTGTCGATGACGAACTGCATACCAAACAAAAGAAGACCGGACCAAGAGGATCCCCTTGCTGCACGCCAGACTGGGAGGCAATTATTGTTTCATCTAAGAACAGCGACGAATATGAACCGTAGAACATTTTCACAAAGGCGTAATATTTCGGTATGACTTCAGCCGTTATCCGCAGTACTTCCTCGCGTGACACGCAGTTGAAGGCGTTAGTGAAATCTATTTTTAGAAGAGCTTTAACGCCGCTGCTGTATTGGAGCAGAAAATCTCTAGCTGCGTGGATAATTCCTTCGACTCCTCTCTTTACTCCGGAGCCTAGTTGATGTGGCTATAGGATCTTCGCTGTGACAGGCCTTATTCGGATATCCACCGCCTTGGCAGCAATGCGGCGGTATGTATTTCCTGCGGCGATTGGGCGAAAGCCCACATCCTCTTTTACGTAAGGCAGCGAGTCGATCGCCAAACAAGAGTGGAACCACCTCAGGAGGAGCTTTGCCCGCTAGGATAAGGTTGAGCAAGTCCGTCAGGGCACCACACAAACTAGATGCGGCGTCATCCATTCTTGCGCCAATCAGATCCAGCAAATGTTGGGGACGCAGATAATCCAGGCCTCCTGCGCTGCCACGTGGCATCGCCTCTATGACAGATAAAACCTCAGCGGGGGTAAGAGGGGCAAAACTAGAGGCTGGGGGGTCGGGCGGCGGTATGGGTAACGGGGCAGCAGGGTGTTTAAGCTTCATTGATTCTATCACAATCGGGATACTGCCAGCTACAGAGTCCGACGAGAGCAGAGTGCTTACCGCTCCACTGACGTTAAAATCATCAATATGAACAACAGAGAACAATATGTAAAGGCTAAAGCTACGTCAGTGGACACGCGGTCACGTCGAAGTGCACAGTCGCGGTCAAAGCTCCTTGCTGGGGATTTCTCAGAAGGCACGGCTCGGACACGGGGTCATGACTCGAGTAGCCGTACTAATATAAAATCGTGAGAAGGGGCAATAGAAGTAATAGAGTAGTACGATGGGTACGGTGCAGGTACACCCGTACACGTCAGGCCGCAAGCAACAGAGCCTAGAAACCAAGATGTCAAATGAAACAACTAATAATGTTTTGACGAAAGCACGTTTTTGGCATTTGCAGTGCATGATACCCTTGAAAAGGAAAGATTTTCTTGTGCGTTGACGGAGTGTGAGACAATTCTTTCCAGTGTGCAGCAGCCCCTTAACAGTATGGATGAAACTTGGAACCAGAGTCGATTAAAGCATGTATTGGCAAAAATGGATACAGCGCCATTCATAGAACGTTGCAAGAAACTAAATTTGTCTCAGGTACTCCAAAATAGAATTAGTATTTTGCATTGATTTTTTGTCCATCAATCATGATGCTGAGTCACTTTTGTAGCTATCAAACCTTCAGGACCGTTGCCTGCTGTTTAGTGGAGATCTAACCTGGCGCTTGCCGAGCAAGATTGTCAACTTGCATGTGCTGCTTTTGGACAGCATGATTTGGCTTGTTACCAAAGTCGATGGAAAACTGGTCCTGAAATTCCATTCTCCATCGAGATCTGGATACAATAAAAGCTTTCGACGCAGTTTACCGGCTGAAACCTGGAATCCTGTTTTGTCGCTTGACAGTATTCACGTGAAAAGCAACGCTTTGGATAGCTTAGCCTTCTTTTTATTGATCAATGTGACTCAAGCAGATGCTAAAATGTATGAAATGCTTGCGGCCACAGCGTCCGAACAAACGGAATGGGTAAAACGGATAACCGAAGCCGTAGCAAAGGTATTCAAAACGAAGGACGTTTCGGTGAAAGCCGAATCATCAAAATATTTGCCTGAAAAGCCGTCTACCGAGACGGAAGATAAACTAGATACGGTGGAAAACAGTGCGGTTGTCCAGAAACCATCACACCGGGATTTGCAAAGTCTGCAGTCATTTTCGCGGCAGTCACCTGCCTCAAACCTACGGAGCAGCAAATCGTTTTCGGCTTTCAAAGGAAGTGTTCTAACAAAAATTCGCGGTTTAATACAACCCGGTAGCAATATCACTGAAACATTTGGTTGCAGTTGGCAGTACAGTTACCGCCAAAGCGATTATATTGGCCGAGGCGCTTTTGGCATTGTTTATAAAGCCAAAATAACCACCGCAAGCTCAACAAAAGAATTCTTACGAAACCGAAGCACTAAGCAGAATTTACTGGCCGTCAAAGTCACTCATTTGCACAAGGAAGCGGAACTGGTGGTGAACCCCGAACGCTATAAAAAACTTCAACGGCAATTCAGTATTCTGGTTCACCTAAAGCACAAGAATTTGGCGGCCTATCACAAGATCACCGTGCGCAATTCGGATGGAGGATCGTTCGTGGAGCTATTGATGGATTATTATCCCGGTAAGTAATAGGGAAAGTCACATGGTACTGTATTTTCACAAGTTTAAGGAACGCTCCGGGGGCCGGGTTGTCGGCCCCTTTGCGATCAAAAGAAACCGACGGTCCGGCCACGCCCCCACCATGTTCCTTAAACTTGTAAAAATACAGCACATTATATTACATTACTGTGCACTATGCATTCATAAAAGCGGTTGTACTTCAGAAAGTGATGCAAATAACGCTTTCATCATAATAACATATTCGGCTTTGCACTAATACGTGACCGGAGCGTAGCGACTGACAGAGGCCTTCAAATTCAGCTAAAACACAAAAAAGGACGTTGGTTTATTGCATCAGTTAAAGGGTGGCGTTTAAAGGTCATCTAAAGTGAATAGCCAGTGAGTATTGCTGCTTGTTTGTTACAAAGGGAGGCGACTATATGCAAAACGCCGGCTGACGCCACCCAAGTCTGGTCGTCTTTAGTGGAAGCCAGCGCTTATTACTGGTTTGTTATGAATCTGAAGAGATGTCTAAATTTCAACATCTCCGCTATAGCCATAGTAGGAAGAACACCCCTCATGGCGTCATGAGCGCATTTTCGCAACAAACTAGCAGTCAACTTGCTAGGCTTCCGCAACATTCATATTGCCGGGTTGCCTGAAAATTCAGACGGCATTGTGATGTGGCACCAAAAGCCTCCGATTATGTTATTGTTGCTTTTGAATAAGAAACTATGAAGCCATAATAAGTTTCTAACCATGGTATGTTAGAATGCTATGTAATAACACTCTCGTAAATTATTTCGTTGTTTTATATGAAAAGCAGATTGCACGACAAAATGCTACGCTCCGGTCAGCGAATACACGCCAACCGCCAGCGTGCATTTTCCCAGAATACAAGTACGATAAGTACCACAAACATCCATCATAAAGACGAAACCATATCAAATACTCCTGTCTTACTTGTCAACAGAAGGAGACATGGCCGCTTTATTGGAAACAATAAAGTCAAACCATTCTTCGCTTGACCCAAGCTCAGCAATCCGGTTCGCACTCGAAATTTCCCTCGGACTGGATTTTTTGCATAAAAAAGGGATTATTCATGGAGATTTGAAAACAGAAAATGTGCTCGTGAAGCGTTCAAAATCAGGACGAAAAAAGCTTTTGATTAGCGATTTCGATGACCTCGTCCCTATGCAACGCAGTGTGACCTGTTCCGGCGATATGACACACACCCGTGGCACAATACGGTATATGTCACCTGAGATGCTCAAGAATTACTTGGGATGGCCGACCGTGTCTCCTGGCCGAAAAACCGATGTCTGGAGTTTAGGCTGTATCATGCTGGATTTAGGCAGCTCTGTTACTCGCGAATACAAGAAATGGTTACAGCGTTCCAGTGCGGATGAACTAGTTGAATCCGGCGATAAACTCTCTAATTGGCAGTACTGTACCCTGATACTTGATGGCTACGCTCCGTTAATTATAAAATCGTTTCCGGAAAAGCTAATACAGTGTGTTCAAAAAAGCCTGTGTCATGTCAGTGGAAATAGGGCTTCTGCCGAAGAACTAGTTGATTTGCTAACGGCGGAGAAGCTTCTGATATTGTATTTTGAAGTCGAATCCTTGGAGAGCCATATTCCAGTCACAGGAGATACGAGTATATTGTCGTGCAAGCCATACTCAGTGCGCTTGGTCTACCCGTTTATGTTTAATCATTCTCAAAAAATCCTCCAACAATTTCCATTGCCAGAGGAACTGCGGAAAGAGTCTTTCTGTTCGTTTATATCGATATATGACAGTAAAATAGCCTGTCAATTACAAAATTCAAAAAGTGGAAAACTTGAAATAATTGTATGGGATACAAATAGACATTCCTGGCGTTCGGTGTGCCTTCAAGACTCGCTGGGGTACATGTCTGTTCCTGTGGCTGTGAAAGACAAAATTTTTTTCTGGGATAGTTCCTGCCAGGCCGATGGGCGTCTATTGCTAAAAGCTGTTGATTTCAAGACTCAGACTATCGCTGAGATGGCACTCATACCGCATGCAAAAGAGTAGGTTGTGTTTATTCGTGCTTTATGCGAAGATATGTGACAAAGTCTTTAAACGATCCTGAGCTGTAGTATTGTAGAATTTAATTTCTGAAATGTTTTCGTTGCAGGATCTGGCGAATAGATTGTGGTGCACGATTGGGTCACAAAATAGTGTACACAGGCAGTCGGCGATTCGATCATACAGGGTTTACCGGATTAGTGCTAATCTGCTTTAACACTCTGACCAACGGCTGGGAAACGGCTTTCCCAGAGCTACCTGAAACAATTCGCCGGCGTAGCTATGCGGTCTCCGTGTTGCACGATAATATTTACGTACTGGGTGGATTCTCTTCGTCTTCGAAGCTGCCTCTGTCGTCCTGTGTACGCCTCAACTTGCTTTCCGGGAAATGGGAGGAAATTTCGGATCTGTGTCGACCAAGGTTTGGACATTCTGCATTTGTCCTAAATCATTGCATATATGTGCTAGGTGGACGACATTCTGCGGAAGAAACCCTGTCAGATGCGGAGGTACTGAGTCTACTGACAAATCAAAATGCAGCCTGTTCAGGGGAAATATACGATCCGGAAAGTGATAAATGGTCGGAATTCGCTATCCCGGCACCTGACTACGAAAATAAACAGTTCTCTTTCTACAGTGCAATAAAACTGTGACCGTGTTCACTGTTTCCCGCTACAAGTCATTAAGTATAAATCAGCATAGAGTGTTGATTGTTATTAGCTGTTGCTGAAAGACCTGCCCGTCCTGGTTCTCTATTGTTTCCTTGTGAGCCGCTAGCGATGTCACCTTTTCTCGAACGATGCTTAGTTTCGACTCGGTTTAGCTGCCATCTGTGCATTGCTACGTTGAAGATCCTTCTGCCGGCTGCCCTTCTGTGTTGGTTATTTCCTTTTGCTCAATAACTTCAAAACTTGTATGTTAATCATTTTACTTTGCTCAATAAAGAGGGCCTTTGATTGCGCAGGAAACTGGTCGCTCTGATTTAATACCCAGCTTCCGGGCATGTGCAGGCGCCGCTGCACATTAGTACTCGTATAATAAGGAAAATATCTATAATACGCGGGGCCTTCCCATGGTTTTGAGATCTCGCTAAAACGCTAACCATAGCATTTTAAACAAAACTGACACCACCTTAAGATCCACCGTGTACAGAACTGATTCACATGAGTTTTGTTTTGAATTCGTCCTTGCAGAAAATAATCGTGCCGGCATGATGCCGCACTCGATTCAACCCTGTTTCAAGGTAACCAGGAAACTTTACTTCGTTTTAAATCTTAAACATACATTTCTGATGCAGCCTAGTAAGAACTTGTAGTGTATGTAGTACTCGTACAAAGATTGTACGAGTATCTCGTGAAATGGGATAGTGGCCTATGGCTAATGTGCCGTAGCAACGGTATTGTTGTTGTCCGTTATTGTTGCCATGTCTAGTGTTTAGTTGGTTGTTTGCTGCTGTCCCGAGCGGACATAATAAAAGATTATGCCGTTCGTTCAATACATGATTGAAAACCAAAAGTACAAACACTTCATTCACTTTGTACGTACGTATTCATGCCTCAGGCGCATCATCATTATGCAAACACATGTTAGTACGTATTATTTTATCGATGCAGTCGGAAAGTATGCAATAATGCGACACATGCATGGGGGGTTAGGTTTATTCAATAAAAGCTAAACCATGGGCAGAAAGCTTCTACCAGTCGGGCTGAGGCTCTGACCAAAATAAGCACAATATGCTAACAGAATGCGGCAATCCAATCAGACGGGCCGCAAGGTCATCTTAAAACAGCATGTTGTACTAAAAACATAAAATTAGCACAGTAGCACAAGGAACATTCTAGAAAAAGCTATGCAGACATCCACCATCCACAATAATCCGAAGACGGGAGGGTGGGAGGAAACAACAATCGGGGACAGCGGCAGCCGGTTGGCTCACTGACATTCTCAAAATAATAAACAGATTCCAAAGGAATCTTCCACAACTTGTCACTGCAATTAAACTTTCGTACTTCCCTAGCAACCTTTTGCTGGTCCTTCCGAAAAGTTCGCCACTGCGCTCTCGTACGGTACGCCACTGCGTCCTTCACAGGCAACGCCCTTCGGCAGTTCCTGGCACTCTCCTTCCTTTCTTGCTTTCATGGAGGCACTTCCGCAGGCCACGCCATACTCCATTGGCTTCCTGTCGGACGACTCATTTTCACTCCGCAGGTCACGCCCTTTACTGGCATCCTGTCGGGATAACTCCATGTCACTCTTCTCGCCCTTCGGATGGACAACCGCTCTCTTCTCGGTTCCATCTCTGGCTTCACTTTGAGGATAACTCTCTCCTCCATTGCTTCCTCCGGATGGCACTGGCCATTCATTACTCTGGCTTCCATCACGGGATTCACTCGGTCTTTAGGATCGTCCTTCTGACCTTTCCTCTTTCTGGCCTTCTTTCCAGCATATTTGACATCCGCTGTTTCGGATGGAGTGGTCTGCATCCTTCGCTGTCGTTCCGCTCGTGGTGTCGTCACTCTGGGCACATACGCCCCTCTGACACAAAGCTACATCCTTATCACGCCATTGTCATGTATTGAACGAACGGCATAATCTTTTATTATGTCCGCTCGGGACAGCAGCAAACAACCAACTAAACACTAGACATGGCAACAATAACGGACAACAACAATACCGTTGCTACGGCACATTAGCCATAGGCCATTATCCCATTTCACGAGATACTCGTACAATCTTTGTACGAGTACTACATACACTACAGAACTACAGATCTAATGCTACGGAATACAAAAAATACAATGATTTACTGTTCCGAAAGCACTGAACACGTGTATTGCCGATAAATCTTCATGCAGGGATCATAAAAGATCTCGCGCTTGGCCGCCGCCGGTGTCTCGTGGATGATCACCCAATCGCGCCCGACGCAATCACAGTTGAAACGTACGGCATTCGCTCCTCCGGAGTTCGTGCAGTTTTTCATCAGGTTCTTGGCTTCACTTAATTGGGCGCGTGTCGCAATGTGAAGGTGCGGGATGCGCAACAGTGCAGGGATTTGTCCACCAATGAATACATCGTCCAACCAGTGCATGGACAGACGCTGGGATGCGGAGAGGACACTAGGCAGGAGATCATTGGGAAAGACGTATAACTGGCCGAGCGGGAAGGGCGGGTACGTGTCGTTGGGGTACTCTTCAACGGTCAAGTACCTGCAACGTATGAATACGTCATGCTGTTAAAACGTTTAATCAACCAGCCATCGGAGCGCTATAAAATTACGTAGTCAGCTGCGTCGGAAGCTAACCAACCGGCAAAAACGATTAATTAGGCCGGTAGAATTCTATTTATAAATCGTTTAGAGTTGGTAATAAATTTAGGAAATTACGAGTATTTCCTTTCCCTCGGGTCGTCAAATCAATAGACCAGCCCACTAAAATTTCAGCGATCAAATCATAAAGGCGACGTCTACTTTGTAAGCAATAAAAAAAACTGGTTTTTCGGTCTTCTCTCGGAAAATTCGTTTTTCCGGCACACTATTGCCTCTCACATGAGTACATTTCTATGAATACAGAATCACTTCGTTACGTTTGAAGCAATTACCATGACGGACGTCGTATACTGCCTGGAACGGCGCAGTTCTGACTCTCTAGTTATGAGCCATTGCCAAAGAGGAAAGTTTTCTTCGAATAGAACCCAGCAGTTAACCGATGTACCCCGTAATAACAATAAATTGATGTGCTATTCCAGCGATTGATGTACGGTTTAGCGAATTAAAGCCTACCATTTCTCTTCCGGTTTCCGGAACACCGTCCCGTTGATAATGAAATGCCCGGTGATGGAGTACGCCGCCTGCGGCATCTCCAAGTACCGCATCACTTCATGCAGATTGATCCACGTATCCTCGTCGGCTTTACCGATAAACCGGGCACCCGGGCAGTTGGCCGCGCCCCATTCTAGAAACGCCAGCACAAGCTTGGTCTGGCTGCGGTACGCATCCGGGACGTCGGCCACCTGCAGGAGATCCCCGTAGACGCTGTTTTCTACGTACACTTCATGCTGCGTCTCTGTGGAGTCGATGCGGCCGAAGCCGAAGACGATGCGGACGTTGCAGAGACGGGCGTGCATACCCCAGGTTTCCCGTATGGCTGCGCGGTCCTCTGTGTTGCCCGGACGTGAGGGGATGAAGAGCACGAGGTGCGGATGCCGGCCTGCAACCAAACAATTGCAGTCCCTTATCATATCAGTCAAGTTTTGCATGACTTTACATGATTTGCCAGTCAAGTTTTATTTGTTGTACCGTTGGCGATATGCCGTATGCCGTGCACGAACAACATTTTTAATAATCACGTATGTTATATGAATTTTTAAAGCTAAAGTTTCCAAAGCGAGCATATTTTTAATTTACTGCATTTTGCCGAAACGGGAGTCGCAAATAAATATTTTAAAATGCTTTTCCACCTAACCAGAAAGAAATGCGCGGAATGAAAAATAAATAAAAATTAAGAGACTAACATTGCTTAGTATTAACGTAACCGCTTTTATAAATCAGTGCGTGGAGTACGGAAAGAATTTGTGGTGGGAGAAACAAGGGAAATGAGCATAAGTTAAATTATTGATACAGTATTTAATGTTAACATTAAGAGGGAGGTGACACGGAACATGGGATGACCATACAAATTGCGAGTACGAGCACATGTTCTTGCACGGCGCATCTTTCGTATTCACCGCACTTCCAAAAACGTTATTGTATAGCTTTATATTGTGTAAACGTATTACGTATTTAGACAGTGCTAATTCTGACGCATTTCTGTATATAATAAGTCAAGTACTGCTGTTTATTTAAATGCCCCGTAAATCGACAGTAGCATTAATACATAAAAGTTACTGTAATTTACTGTCGTATAATTTTTGAAGTCTTCCTTACTGTTATTTTCTCTTCCTTATTGTTATTTTTACTTCCCGCACCTTATTCCATGGTGATTTTCGACACTCCTAGGAAATTATTGGTAAAACATAACTGGCATGCGCGTATAGCTACAATTTTACTATTTCACTTAAAAAATTGCAGATGCAATTTAACTTTGGAAAAGACCTACCATTTTGTGAACACACGTTGGGCTGAATGGAATATAGCCGATCCGATGTAAAATTCAAAACGATTCCGCTGGCTGTCGCAGTTTTCCCATTATTATCAAAACGGTACACTGACTTCGGATGGGAGGGACTAATAAAGATGACGACACTCAATAACACCGTCCCCACAAACAACAGCGCAATGACCCCTGTCCGACGGCCCACAATGGAGAGACCCTTGTCGATCCATTCTGTGGGATGAAGATACGGCATTTTGCCTATACATTCCGATTTCCGGTTGTCTAAGACGACGATGCGTTAACTCTGTCTCGTAATATAAACTGCAGACAAGAGCCGCATGGCAGATTTATTTTTTGATAGGAAAGTGCGAGTGAAACGGTGCTGATCGGAGTGTGAGATTTCATCAACAGCCGCGGGCGGTGTGCTATGTACCGTCTGGTCGCGTTTAGTGTCCGATGCACCGTGTTATGAAGCGTTAAATCAATCTGTGTAAATCTGTGTGCCGCTAGTGGAGCGGAACGTTTAAGTCCATGCGGCTTGTACAGTACGACTGATAAATATAAACGTTGCCGCTGAATTACACTTGCAACAGTGGCCGTGTTTTTCCGGCTTACTTACAGCGGAGACGATAGCGTCCGTAACTAATGACAAATTATCAAACACACCGAAAAAATTGCACTCTCATTGCTTGTGCATTTGTTAACCGTGAGCCTGTGAACAATTTGCTAGAAGTATCGACTTTCATTCTGCATGCTTATGCAAAGGGTAGATGAATGAAAAATGAATGTAAGTAATAATATTACTAGAAAAATGCACGTTGGCGTGCCTTAGCAGACCGGAGCGAAGCGATTTCACAGCTTGGTCAAGAAGCTTTGTTGCATGGCCCGCCGACAAAAATTCATTGAAATTTTTTGTAAATCATTCTCGGACAACATGTAGGAAAAACTGAAAACCAGACTAAACTTTTTTGCCACCGTTCTTCTGTCATTTCTGTTCTTTCTTTCTTCTTTCAGTTTTAGTTTTCTCACTTTGTAGTTAAGCAAGCTTAGAGCCGTTGTTCCCAGAATTTGCCACATATCACCCGTCAACAAATACAAATTGATCATTTTTAAGTTATTACCGTATGTCCAGTATCTTTTGCGAGTATTTTGAAGTTATTTCTGACACTAAACCGTGATTACAGCGAAATTAAAACTACGGCAAATTTGCTTAACCCGGCAATGCCCGAGGTATCAAGGAATTTTTTTGTCGAAGTTGAAATTCATACCATAGAATAACAATAAATAACCCTGAACTATGTTTTTCAAAATTTTTGCTGCAGTAGTTTAGAATTTGAAGGGTAGGTGGGTAGGTGGGTAGGTGGCACCGCTTGGGCATTAACGATATACAATACGGGCGGTGTGGGCAGTGGGCACGGTGGTTGCCGGTGCGACACCACACAAATTCCGTTGTACACAACATTGTGGCTACTTGATCTACTCGAATCAACCTGGCTGTGGTAGCTGCTTACACTTTATAATAGTTAGCTTGTGCAATTTAATTCATCATGAAAAGGTTCATGGTTGAATTTATACTCAAAAAAATGTTTGAATTCCGGTCAGTATGCAACAGGGTCATGGTGGGCTGCGCCAGTTTACATGAGCATAACACTGATCATAGCCAGCCATATTTATTGTTGGCTGCTTCGATCACAACGTCGTTCTATTGTTCTTTTTCCTATTGCAGTCGAAGAAAATATTGTGATATGATAAGAAAAATGTTTTATTAGCATTTATGCTATTATAAAAGCACTGAGATGTCCTTATTTGTTTGATATTTTGATCAGTTTGCTGACAGTGTTATGGTTTGGCTACTCTCTTAGTACGCAACGGCTGAATCATATGAAGTGTGCGGCTCTGGTTATTGTGCCTGTTCAGGCAGCATGTTACTGTCCTACGACAATGCCCAAGCGGTGGAATTTCCACCAGCTGTTTTTGAAAATTCACAGTTTTTTACAGAAGAGCTGCAGACTTTTGTGGGATACTGAAATTGTGAGATACTCATATGAAGTTATCACCAATTTAATCCCAAATTTTTACCATAACAGCCGATTTAGATACACTTCGTAGAACTTTGCGTTATTTTTTGAGTGTTTTCTGTTTTTTAGTGTTTTTTTTTTCAGTGTAAATTCACAGTTTTTTCAAAAGAGCTGCAGACTTTTGTGTAATACTGAAATTGTGAGATACTCATATGGAGTTATCACCAATTTAATCCCAAATTTTTACCATAACAGCCGATTTAGATACACTTCGTAGAACTTTGCGTTATTTTTTGAGTGTTTTCTGTTTTTCAGTGTTTTTTTTCAGTGTAAATTCACAGTTTTTTCAAAAGAGCTGCAGACTTTTGTGTAATACTGAAATTGTGAGATACTCATATGGAGTTATCACCAATTTAATCCCAAATTATTACCATAAGAGCCGATTTAGATACACTTCGTAGTACTTTACGTTATTTTTTCAGTGGGTTTTAAGCCATGTAGGTTTTTTAAGGTACTAAAATACAGTATGCAACTAAAATACACTATCTTTGCTCTATCTAATCTAACGCATATGTGACCCAGGCAATAACAATAGTCCTGGTGTTGTAAAAACTGGCGAACTATACTGGTGGTTTTTCCACCTAGCAGACGTTGCCGGGTTGAAGCAGTTCAACCCAGGGTCCCTAAAGCACCTCCTCCCATTAAAAATTCGTTTTTAGTTGTTGCCAGAGTTGAAGGTAATTAGTTTAGAAACCGTTTAGGTATCATAAGCCCGCTTCTCTAAATAAATGTTTTAACAAACAACGGAATTTTACGCAAACAATGGAGTGTCTATTTGCCAGTCAATTTTAACCAAGCTCTGGGTGACCTTTTTGAATTATTGCCGGCACTGTTAAAATTGGTGATCACCCCCAGTTGCTTCTTACAACTGCCTAAGCCAGGGTTGGCACGGGTCTTCATTATCTAAGCCAGGGTGCCCTTACTTGTCGAGCTTCTTCTATAAGTTAGGCACGTTTTATTCGAATGCGACATTGGGAAAGGTTGCTATTTGAAGTGCCACTGTGTTCTTCATTAGCGTTTTAAGCATACAGGAAACACCACGTTACCATCAACGGTGCTTCCCCAACAGACATGACAAGATAAGCAGTGCAAAACTGTTCTACAGTCTCATGGCGTTATCGGGCTAGTCCGCGGTAAAGTCATATTTGGGACTTTCGTAACGGACACAAGTTAAGCACTGCAAAAGTACTGTACAGAGCCGTGACGTCATCTGACTTATCCAGGATGACGTCATAGCTAGACTTCCGTAACGGACACAAGTGAGCACTGCAAAACTACTGTATAGAGCCGTGACGTCATCTGACTTATCCAGGATGACGTCATAGCTAGACTTCCGTAACGGACACAAGTGAAGCTAAGCACTGGAGCTGAATTAGGAAGACCTTCGCTTCGCTCCGGTCAATTATGATGCGCATCACACCGTTCACTCTGATTGACATGTCCTTCCTGGAACTCCAGTATCCCAATCTTAACTTTAAGCGCGGTCAACACCGGTTGTTTCGCCTTTCGACGGGTTTTACGCATAAGATCATCTTCGTACATACCATATCATAGCAGGTTTTGTGAAATAACGAGAAATTCTGCATAACTATTATTGCGTAGTCATTGGGAAAGCAGCAATTAGTACCGCAAAACAACCAAGCTTCTAAAATTAGCCTTAAAAAATTGCAGCCAGAGATGTATGCTTTCGTTCTATCAAATTTTAATCCGCAAGATGAAACACAAAAATGGAGAATACGAACACCGACATGCGAAGAAAAGCTTGTCCACAATATTCACAGTTTAGAAGAAAAATCAAGGAAAAGTAAATCCGATACCGGTTTCGGTCACTCTTCAAGACAACTGAAATTATCGCCTACTTTACTACCGGTGGTGATATCAGCGCTGCAGATATGTATGCCGAACTGGCTTAACCGCGGTTGCAACCGGCTCGACCCGGTTTATTGGCATGCAGAAGTCGAAATGAGCATTTCCTGCCCATGAAAAGGCGCTACACCATGAGTACACGGTCAACTATTTGGGGAAAGGTTGAGGCACAGCACTGCAAAACGGGAACGCCTATCAGCACCGACAATCTCGCCTCGCAGTCTGTAATTGCAATGAATGACGACGGTGGGCTCAAACGTAGCGGACTATAAAGTAGATGAATAATTGTTGCCTGCATTTGTCGTCAGTCACCCAAGGCGTCCGGTCTCAGAGCGTCGTAACTGTGTAGGTATGATGACTAATTTTGAGTTGTAACTAAAAAGGTACGATGATTATTTGGACATTTCTCGTCTTTTGATCACTTCAAGTCTTATGTCAGACAAAGCATGCCGGTCATCAGTGATGTCAGCAGAACCAGACAGTGGCAGACACCCACGTCATCCACACAGTTTGGGTTTGCCGTTTGTTGACTGCTATAAAAGTGATGGTTCGCTTCTATTTGCACAAAAATCGTTAATTTTTGCGACTGCATTGTGAAGCTTACAGTCATGTTGTAACTGGCTCGTGTATTACCATAACCTTTTTTTAGATTGCCTGAATCGTCTGTTTCCAGTGAAGTGTGCATCCCAGTAAGCCTTCTTACTTCCTCATCATCGTTTCAAGATGTCACGAACGCAGTCTTCAGGTAAGCACAAATAAATTTCGACCCGGTTAAGCAAGAATATTACACCGTATTGCACAGTATCGTACAATGCATTAGGATGACAACAGCCGAACTGACAACAGTCGTGGGGTTACGAAACAGTCATCAGCTTAAGGAATTTTGCTCGGTACATGGTATCAAATTCGTGTACATGCACGACAACTTTTGCTTTCGCGCACTCCGAAACACTCCTTTGTTTTGTTTTTAATGATATTCTGTAGCTACATAGATGGTTTGTATATATAAGCGTAAAAACCGTGTGTGCGCGCAGTATTGGGTTCGGGAGTTATGGCATTAAGAAAATTCCAGAAAACTTGAAATGCATCAGGTGTTGCAAATGTCTCGTTATTAACCGATCTCATTTAAATTTTGCATGGAAACGCACAGAGGTATAAAGAGCGTTATTACACCGAACCACGGTTCTAGCATTGTTTTTCCAAATTTTAAAATAAATTACACAATTTCTGAAATTCATTTTAAAATTTGAAAAAAATGGCGTCCATTCTGGTTCGGTTTAAAAACAATCTTCCACTTACGTGCATTTGTGTGCAAACTTTAAAGGAAATCGGTTGATAACAAGACTTTTGGTACACCTGAATGCATTAAATTTTAAACTTTTTTGAATTTTCTAACAGCCATAACTCCCAAAGCGAATGTTGCGCGCGCAAACGATTTTTACGCCTATGTATACAAACAAGAACTTACTATAGCTCTCACACTATAGTAAACACCTGATACAATTCATCTGGCTACAGAATATCATAAAACAAAACAAAGAAGTTTTTCGTAGTGTGCGAAAGTAAAAGTTTTCGTGCATGTACACGAATTTGGTACCATGCACCGGGCCAAATCCCTCAAGCAGAATCTAAAGACATTTTGTGGCTCTCCAAATTATCTTGGCTAATTTGCTTTCACAGGATCGCAGCCTAACGCTGACATGAAAGAACTGATGACCGTGCCGTATCACGGCATCGGTGTTCCCGTGTTTGAGAAGGACAATGGCAGTGCACCGGCTGAGTACTTTTACTCTCCGCTCCTGATCCTCCAACGAAACACCGTCAAACCCACCCAGAACCGTATTCAGCGAGTATGGCAGGCGACCTTTAGCGTCTTAATGTGGGATCCGAAGTTTACCTCTATTGTCCGAGATGCCATTACGAATGCCACTGGAATGGACGCCAGTAATGCCACCATTCAACCGCTGCCTATCGAACGAATTCGCTTGGAAGTCACCGACAAACAGTGGTATGAAGCCGACACGAAATGGTTGCCCTTCACTATGCAAGAAACCGTTCAGTTTACGCTCAAGTGTGCCGATGAAGCCAGCGCCCGGGAACTGTGCAGCATCATTCATGAAGACACGGATTCTTTCCTGGACACGGTGATGGTGCGCTACATGCCCAAAGGTCATAGCACCGTTACAAAGTCCATCGCGGTGGAGGCGGATAAACTGAAGGACAACGACATGTTGGCCACGATGTTGGAGCAGTTTCCAGATCAAGACAGCATCTACCTGACACCCGACGATGCCAAGGCGCTGGTTAACAAAATGTCCGGTACACTAAGACAGGCTGAGTCGAACGATTTGAAGAACATTGACCTGACACCGCTAGTGAAATTTCTCGAAGCCGCTTTGGAGGTCCAACCACTGAAAAAGGAGGACTTTGTCCGTGATCTGTGGGACGTACTGTACTGGTCCAACAGTACGCTCCGACCGGATGAACTGGCGCAGAAGCTGAATCAGATATTAGGCGAGAGTGACGAGGCTAAGAAGGCAGATATACAGAAATGGTTTAAAAGTCCTGTAACCACGCGGAATAAATTGAAAGACAAGGACGCTGCGGACAATGACAGCGAATTAGCGTCACTCATGCCCGACGCAAGAAAATATACGGAATGGAATGGACAGGAATTCGTGCCGAAGCCCATGGATCTGGTGCAAATTACAGTGTCCAAACTACGCAAATCAGCGTCTCTCGGCACTGTGGAACTATCACCGAGCCAGTCGGATTCCAGATTTTGCGGTCGTCTACGTATCCTCATCGTGGAACAAGAGGAGGTCCTCCCCAACGTGACCACAGCCGCGACTGAGCAACCATCGGGAAACGGTGTGTTGTCGCCAGAAGAACCACAAACGACAGTGCTGAAGACGGAGACCGGCACCGAGCAGGCACCCTCAGCACCGACGGTTCGGTACCTGGACCGCATCCTAGCCGAAAGTCAACGGATCACGGCCGGCCCACCCGAGATCTATCAAGCGGCATTGCATCTTGTGGCCGAGGATAAAACCCATATGCTGCGCAAATTCACCGTAGGAACGGCTCCGCAGCCCCATGCCGGTTCGAAGGTCATACTGGTGGTGGGGTCGACGGGCGCCGGTAAAACCACCCTGATAAACGGGCTGTTCAATTATTTCTTTGGAGTAAAATGGACTGATAGCGCTCGGCTAAAGGTAAGTCAAGAATTCTTTTACCGTGCTCATATTATCCAAACTAATAATTCTGCTTAATAAAACAGAAAACTCCGCACTCAAAAAAATTCATGTACAGGCGTAGAATAGAATTTCTTTTCCAGGTTATCGTGGAAGAAGGCGAAGCCGAGCAAGCTCACAGCGTAACCAAATGGGTCAGCTGCTATGAAGCGGTGCAGCAGTTTGATTCACCCAGTCCGTACTCACTCACCATCGTCGACACTCCCGGATTCGGCGACACCGCAGGACTGACCCGGGACAGGGAAATTGTGCAGCAATTGAAAAGTCTCTTCACGACTAATAATACCAACTTTGTCGGACTGGATCACATCGACGCCGTGTGTATTGTCGTGCAGAGCGCCCTGGCACGGCTGACACCGACGCAGCGCTTCATATTCGACAGCATCCTCTCCATCTTCGGAAAGAATATTGCAAAGAACATTTTCCTCCTGTGTACGTTCGCCGATGGCGCCACTCCACCGGTGCTAGCCGGCGTTAAAGCAGCCGACGTGCCGTATCTCGATTGGTTCCCGTTTAACAACAGTGCTCTGTACGCCGACAACGATCCCAACGCGAAGACCCCTAGCAAGCTGTACTGGGACATGGGCACGGAGAGTGTGCAGAAGTTTCTGGCGTCTCTGGTACAGGTAAAACCGCAAAGCCTGTCATTGACACGGGAAGTCCTGAAGGAGCGAGCGCAACTGGAAGCGGCGGTCAGCGATCTGCAGCCACGCATTAATTACGGTCTGGGAAAGATGGAGGAAATTCGTCAACTTCAGGTACACTGAGATATTGTCAGAATCATCGCACGTCATCAGACTAGATGTATAACCGTCTATGTATAGTATCTGTCCTATAATTGTAGGAAGTGGTCAAACAACATGAACGCAAAATTGAGGATAACAAAGATTTCAGCGTTGAGGTGGATGAACCGTACATTATTAAAGTGACTTTAGATCCTGGACAGTACGTTACCAATTGTATGGTCTGCAATATGACCTGCCATTTTCCTTGTCGCTACGCCAACGACGAAGACAAAGTGCACTGCTCGGCCATGACCAACGGCCAGTGCGTAGTGTGCCCGAAGGGATGCCCGTGGGATAAGCACTGCAACAATCAGTTTCGTTTTGATACCGGAACAAAGAAGATCATCCGGACCATGGAAGAGATTAAGAAAGCGTACACGCAGGCGAAGGGCGAGAAAGTCACCAGCGTAACCCTTCTTAAGCGGATGGAGGAGCACCTGCAGCAAGTGACTAAGAAGGTCATCGAAAATCTCTTCACGTGCAACGACTGTCTGAATCGTCTGGACCAGATTGCATTGCGGCCAAACGTCATGGCCACGGCGCAGTATGTGGAAATTCTCATAGAAACCGAAAAATCGGAAAAGCGGCCGAATTTTATGCAGCGCATTGCAGCGTTAGAAGAAGCCAAGAAAAAGGCCATATTTATTGAGAAAGCTCGGCAAGTTGGCGGTCGCCATGACCCTAAAAACATACTGAAACGCAAGGACGGCTGGTTGGAAGAATTGTTTGGCGGCCAGTGCCAGTAAAGCAGCATACTGTAGCCGGCAAAATTCGATACAGCCTGCAATGCGAATGCGTATTCGTTTCAGGAGCTTATTTATGGTTATGGTTATTCACGATTACATGGATTATAGCTTTACCATAGACTCTTTAAATTTTAAGAGATTTCTAATCATTCTTCTTACTTTTGCTCTTGAAGTTCTTGCTCTCTACTTATAAGTCCTTTACCTGATAGGTCTCGTATGTTGTTACCCAGCGAGGATGTGCTTATTGTCCGATTATCGCAAATCATGTGTTTGCCTAGTTAATTTGAGATCAATTTATGAAGACTAACAAAAGTGAAACTGTACACCGAACCATAGACTGTATAAACTACCGACAGTTGGTAAGTTTGTAGCACACTGTTTCATTGAACGTACTACGGTACAGTACACTGAAGATACAAAGTTCTTTCCGTTGGAACAGCGGTTTGGAATGGCAGTATTTAATAGTTTCATCTCGGTAGCAGGTAACCCAGTAAGCACTGAGTAATGAGAAACTTGACGATGAGCAAGTCACAAAGGCTGGTTTAAAGCTTTTAGGCATATATGGACGCATGCAACAATTAAGTAAAATCTGATTGTCAACATATTTGTAACTTCCCAAAACGGGGCACTGGCGGATAGCCCATTCTTAGAATTAAACACATTTTACACGATGTGTGGTCGTGCAGTATCGTGTTGTGGTGCGTTTTCCAACTTTACTTTCCTGTATATGTGATGTTTTACAGTATACAGTATATCGGCGACTACGATAAAACACTGCTGCCGGACGCCTGTTTGAGAACACGAGTTTGAAAGCAAACAAATAAACACTTAAAGCAAACAAATAAACACCAACGAGGCGTTTGCCTCCTTTAGGCTTCAGACAGTATGTACTTATTCTAACACAGGCGAGGACCTTGAAAACAGGGAGACAACAGTATTCAGCTATAACAAAACCCAGCGTAACTTTAAATATTTGTTCGACATTTTCGCAAATGAAAATCACACATTTAAGCAGAAAATTAGCAAACCCATTCCTTTATGAACATGTTTGACGACCAGTATATTTCGATCATTGGCATATGAAATTCAGCATAGCATTGGCATCGATTGATAGTACACAGAAATAGAGACTAAAAATAAACTAAACTAAAAATAAAACTAAATTTTTAGGTTCTACAGAAACCACAAAATAAACTCAAATCTGTAAAACTAAAAATTTCTCATGTTGCTGCGAAAAGTAGCTTCGGAATATCTGTTGATGCAACGAATGACATGACAATGGTCAATGAACAAAAGAAAACAGTTACACGATGACCTTTCATACGCAGGAAGAATTAGCTTTTGGCAGTTTCAAGAAACATTGATGCACAACATGTGCTAAGAAAATCGCAACCAAGTTTCGACCCGCGAATCTTTGGCTGGCGTCGTATTAAGCGGGTTGCGAATTAAAACTTTTAACACATACGGACAGAACATTTTAGTTGGGGGACGCAAGTGACGCATCCAAACCGGTCCGTAGTGGTAGCTCGTTGGTTCGAATCTCAGAAAAATCTCCGTCAAGAAATCCTTCGCTCTTTGGTCAACTGGGGTTTGTTTGTAAAAATCGTTCAAGGTTTCCCCGGCTTCTTCTTCAAGCAGATTCTCATTGGTAGTCCCCGACAGCAGTTCATTTCGGGCATGGCAAATCTCGTTCAAACCGTCCAGTAAAGTCGGAATAGCGCTTGCTGCGTCGGCAACCGTATCCATTGTAAAACAGTACATCCATTTCCGGTCTGAGATTTTCATGATGTGTTTGGCTTCAGTTGCACTTACCGTTAGAAATTCTGAAATTAACAGCTAGCGGTAATTACTGTTCTCGTAAGGACTCAGCAAGGAAAGCTTTTCTATAAGGACTACCAGTGCATGTCCCGTATTTGCTTCACCTTTGTACTCGTACTCGTACCTAATGTTTTCCAGCTGGAGTCTTTCATCTTCATAGTACAGAAAATGTGCATATTGGTGACGTCGGCATACATTTCCAGTTCCCAGTCCATCGCAATATGCGCGTGGGAGGAAGAGCGGTAGGATAAGTAGTAGCGCAGTGGCAGCGATAGATGGCGTGCTGTCAACAGAGCCGTGAGATGGTGCGTGTTGTAGAACTGGTCCAGCAATAACGTGTCCGTACAGGAACTAGCGCAGGATAACAACGCATTGGCAAGGTACAATGACAGGTCGTCGCGTGCTACATGCTGGAGGTCAGGACAATACAGGATGATCTTCCGACTGTACTGCCTTCTGGTTAAGATGTAATACCACGTATGGCATACACTGCAATTAGAATGGTATATTATGTACTGCAGTACCGCACTTTTTTATCTCCGGTGTGATACCATCATTTGTATAAAATTAAAAATACTGTAACAGCAGCCTATCTGGCTGCTGTTCTAGCGGGGTGGCGATCAGCCTTTACCACGATTTTGCGGCTGCTGGGATGAAAGGTTGACACGAACGGCAATGATGCGGTCGTGGACGCTCTTAACTGAACAGTTATTTTCAGTGGCTCCGATTTGGTTGACGCTATAGCAGTTCATCCCAAATGGTCAAACGCAACAGCGTTAATAAGGGCATGTTAAATGACAAGAGAATGCAAGAAATGGAGCAAGGTTGTAAGTTAGGGTTTGAACAAGAGGAACAAGTTGATGCAAGCAGCAAGCGAGTACAGACTGAATTCTAGGAATTGTAGACAAGGAGTGAAATGGACAGAAATTCGCAACGCAATGAAATAATGAATCATAACTGGGTGGCTTTATCGGTCGTACGTAAAATACCACTACAATACGTACGTAATATTTTCGATCGAAACGCCTAAAAGATGCCCTTGACTGACGGGGAAGAACTGATTGAATAGAATGTTAATTAACTGAACTGAGAGACGAAGTAAACTGACTTTTTCCGTTCCACAGTATCAAAACCGAGTTTTTAATGGATGTTCAAATTACCGGTGAAGATCTTTCTGGGTCACGGCGTCCACATTCGCAAAGATTTCCGCTGCAATGATACACGGAAGATCCATAGGGTCTTCGGAAATCGCTGTAATTAAGACTTTTGATGAACCTTCAGTTATGTATCCAATAACGAAATACAAACTTCTGCGGCCACACTATTTTGATCAAGGGTCAAACAATAGTTAACCGATACTATTACCATATTATAGTAACATTTTCGGATCGCTGCTAGTTCATTCGCCAGTTGTGTACAAGTATCTGCTTTCACACATACTTGCACAGCTGGACTTGGCGCATGTACTGTACAGGTTAGCCGGAAGACTGTGCTTGGCATTGCTTGCTAACTTTAAACTTACGCAGTGGTGCAGGACAATGGTATTCCTGCCATATACGAAAGAAATCAAGCCTTCCGCGGGTCTTTGTGAACCATGAGTACTGACAGTTTCTCAATCCTAGAAAAACAATCATTTCTAGTAACCGAATATTTGCGATGAGTATGTGTTGAATAAAAATCAAAAACCTAGCATTTGTGGTTAATAAAAACTGACAAACTTGGCACTGTAGAACAAAACCAAAACGTGTTTCAAAGTGTGCGAAAGCGAAAGTCATATAGGATGTATGTAAACAAAACTGATACCCACGTACCGGGCCATCTAACCCGGTATATGCGGTATATGCAGACACCTTAAGATTACAGACACTACAAGTACTCAGAGTCTCAGATGTAATTGTTCTCAATCTCTGCACCATAAAAGGTTCAACACCTTACCGCATATATCTAACTCAGCTAACACAACTATGAGAGAAATTAATTACGCAAATGCGTCCTGTACCTATAAAAGAGAACGTTTTCCGATAATTGTCCACTAGGTGGCGCCATTGGGACTCGAAATACTGTTCGGGTGCGTGAAATAACGTTTCATGAAATCGTCGATACACCTTGCTGTCCGGCTTGCCGCGACAAATGACCGTGATACTTTGTGCGTCTGTGGAAACGATTAAGACACCGCTTCTCTGCAGCCAGAACAGCTTGAAGCCCACATCCAGCTGGCTCAGTACTTTGGATATCGATGTTAGTGGGAAAGGGCATCGGTTCCTGCACGCCTTCAGCACTATCGTGATCTTTTTGAGCGTATCTTTTGTGACCGCTCCGTATTGCCAGTTGGATCGCGGTTGACGAATACGAAATAACTGTGATGCACAGGCATGAGCCCATCTGGCATCCCTGACGGCCAGCCAACGCGTTGCGCCATCACACGCTGCTACCACCAGTGCGCATTGCTCCTCTTGGTAACCGCGTCGTTTATCAGCCCACCGCGGAACGACTGCAACGAACTGCGCTGGCTGCCAAATTAATGACTGATCTCTAAACAGATAATGTACAGAGAACTTTAAATATTATTGACAACAACTACGGATTATGTACTTCGCAAGGGACCTCTCGCTTTCCTTTCATACATTAAGGGAAGTGACCCGGTACATAGAACTAATTTTTATTTCGCGCATATTCACGGGAACTTTGGCTTTCGCGCACTTCCAAACAATTTTAAGATTGCTTTTTGACATTGTGTAGCCAAATGATTTGTGTACATCCGTTTTCGCACGTGACATCCGGTTCGGGACTTAGGGCTGTAAGAAAATTCCAAAAGGTTTAAATTCATTTAAGCGTACCAAAAGCCTCATTATGGACCGATATCCATCAAATTTTGCATGTACACCCCGTTCACGCCAAGTCCGACCTCTCCGTACAGAAAATTCCCACCGGCCACTTATCAATCAGTTTAACGTTAATTGATTTTTACTTGATCATCCATTCTATCCATCATCTTTTGCACTCATGGTATCCAGGATTCAAGCGTAATTCGATTTACAAAAGCACCAAAAGCAGAGCGGACCTCGTTAACAATGCGCTGCAGTCCAGATGCCGTGGTTGTCTTCGCTTTACTTGAAATTCATTTAAAATTCCCGTTTATGCCTTAGTCCAACGGCACTAAGTGCGCTCAATTAGCTATACAATGGCCCTTCGGGATGCAATTCACATCGGTGATTCGAAGCCACTCCAGGGTTAGGGGAGCTGTATAACTGTGGGCGTGGTCAAAATCCGGGGCGACACCCTTCGGAAGATGACCGTACAACCGTCAGAGGTTCCCGTTGACTATGCCCGACAAAATACGATCCACAAAGCTCCGGGCTTCCACATTTGTACCAGTGTCTGCTACGCAAGCGCGCGACATTTCATACAAAAGCAATCTCACTGGCCACCATCACTTTTTTTGATCAGCGCTTGGTTCGGAGCGATCGAAGGTTTTGTTCGCCAACGCGTTTTAATGGTTTGGTCCGCTTTTGGCAAACACGATTTCTTTCCATGAAACACCGTTTGGATTGGCCACAAACTGACCTCAGCTTCAAGCGCCGGAAGTCGTTCCTTAAATTTTTTAGTTGAATTAAATTTTTTGGGATGGGTGCCACGCTTGGCTCGATCGATGCTTTTGCTTCGGGCGTCCTTTCTCGGCGCATCGTTGCACAAAATTTGAAAATTTCATGTTCATAAAATGCGCAAGAAAAAGTTCTACCCAAAACAAGAAAACAATTCAGGATAAATAATTCACACACTTAGACAAAAAATCAAAAACGCAACAGGTCGAACTTGGCGTGAACGGGGTGTAAATGCACATAACCTTGGAGATCGTTCTTACATCGATCCGCTGTTCTAGCATGTTTTTCAAATTTTAAAATGAAGTTCAAAAATTTTTAAATTAATCTTAAAATTAGAGAAAAATCATGGAAGTGTGGATCGGTGTAAGGACGATCTTCATGGTTATGTGCATTTACATGCAAAATTTGATGGATATCTTGTCCATAATGAGGTTTTTGGTACACTAACCCTAAATGCATTTAAACTTTTTGGAAGTTTGTCACCCGTATAACTTTCAAACCAAATGTTGCGCGCGAAAATAGATTTCATGCCTCTGTAAACAAATCATTTGGCTACATAAAACAACAAAAAAACGAAAAAAGCAAACCGAAAAATTGTTTGGACGTGAGCGAAAGTTTCCGTGGATGTACACGAATTCAGTGATATGTACTGGGTCACTTCCCTTAAGGAAACCTTGCATTCCCCCGCGCAGCCGCCGCCTAGTCGCTTAAACGAAGCTTAATGTTGACTAAATTTAACCGACAGTAAGTGTAATACACGTCTGCCAAAGGTCAGCCGCGCAATCGGATATGCCGAATTGGCTAGAATCCGGTTTTAATTTGTAGTCAACTGTGCGCTGCTTCGTGTAAGCGACGGGGGAAACCAGGCTTCCATTGATGTATGAGGGGAAAACCAAAGGTCACCTGCGAAGTACTTCGGTGCTTTACAGCCTAATTCAAACAATCTACAAAGGGGACACGCCTGCAAAGAATTTAGCGTGGCAGTGATCGGAAATACCTGTTATAACGAGCCAGCACTTCTACTGTATCGTTTTCGGTTGAGGTGTCAAGATCGTAGCGATAGGCTGCTGAATCGTCCGGCAGGACGTAAATTTGATGAAAAGGCACACTTTGAACTGCCGAGTCGCCGCTATGATGGAAGTCGACAATCAAATTGTCTCCGGCCAAGTCAACAATAAATCCTCTTACGTATACATTATCTCGCAAGACATCCACCACAAACTTGTTATACCCCCGTGAACAGTACATGATGTCGTTCAACATCTGGATCTCACTCGACATCTTAAAGGATAATAAAATTAATGATTATCGCATATGAATCGTGAGCTACTGTTGCCCATTCGGCTGTTTTTTTGTTGCTGGTCCTGAGTTCCTGTGGAAAACAACCCTGACCAGTAACAGCAATAATATTAATCACTAGTTCCATGCAGAGCATTTTAAGCAATGGGCGCTGTCAAGAACTTGTCTAAGTCCTGAGTTGTGGCTGGTGCAGTGTAACGGAAAAGGCAGCCATGCTCGAGCGGTCGCCGGTCACTGCAATTTTAAGTACGTAGCACTGTGCGTAAGCACAACTGGCATAACTTCTCGGAAACTACGGTATTGTGCGGACAGACAAATTGTTCTCTATTAACAAATGCAGTCAAATTGCAATCAGCCTGCTCATTCCGGATGCGGACCGGGAGCGCATAACGAAAAAATAATTTTCTGTGAACTACAGTTCTAAATTCTGGTAGGAGCTGCTGTTATCGTACTGCTGACCGCTAATGGGTGGGCTAGTTTTTCTTAACCTACAGGTACTTTGTTTAATTCTGCCTCTCTGACGAGGAATTCTGCAGGTGTGTATCAACTTCGTGCCAGCTCGTAATTTTTGCACGACTGTCCGATCTCGTTCATTGAGAATGAAAAACCAGACGCCAGGTCCTACGCACGGAAACGATGCTGCCACGTAAACGAAAACATCATGTCAGAAACGGAATGTGGTGAGGTCAACGCATCGCGCTGACTCTCTTTCTTAAACAACCCATGCTTAATTTTTTACGAGATTATGAAAAACGGAATGGTTAATCTCATCTTTCAGTTTCGCAGGCACGCAGTTTCATCAGGTAGTTTATCAAGATTCGCCCTTTTAGATCAAAGCTATAATGGTACACAAAGCTTTTGCACACAGCCGTTAAAGTTTGAAAATGGCTTTTACTAGGATAGCAGTTTTATAGCTTTGAACGGCTGTATGACCTCTTCCTTGTTGTCATGCCCCGTTTGCCATTAGCCTTCCGCATTTATCGGCTTATTGGACAATTGTATTGCCGGTAGATGGCCATGCAGGGATCGAAGAAAATCCTCCTCTTCGCCACCGCCGATGTAGCATGTAAAATAACCCAGTCTCTTCCTACGCATTTACAGTTAAACTTTTGCGCATGCTCCACCGGCATGGGCGGGTTAGTGCAGTTCAGCTTCTCGGCGTTGTACAGCTGCGCTCGGGCTTTGATATGAAGACGGGACATATGCAGGAGTTCCGGAATCTGTCCGCCAATGTATACATCATCCAACCAGTGCATGCGCAGAACGCCGGAACGGGCGGTAGCTAAGACGCGAGGCAGGAGATCCGTGGGGAATATATACAGCTGCCCGTAGGGGAAGGGCGGGTACGTCGCGTTGGGGAATTCCTCTTTGGTTAGATACCTTTGCAGAAACAAAATTATTGGGTTTATAATGTAATCAACTTGAAAAAAATTATTTTGGGCGGCTGGTCATATTTCCACGAAACAAATCAGGCTACCGCGATTTCGACGAATTTCATGGCTTCTACCTAAGAAAATTTTGCTGACGAACAAAAATTCCCCGAAAATCTGGCTCGTTGCGCGGCACTTAAAAGCCGCGCAGTGAGCCAGATTTTCGGGGAATTTTCGTAACAGTCGACTCAATAAAGACCAGCAACAATTTTTGTAGTAATCTCAACAAAGACCATTAACATTACTGTACATTTGCGTTCCAGGAAAAACCAGTAAATATATTTATCTGTATTGTATAACTGCTTTCCTTACAAATACTGACACGCTTTCTTAAATTCGACGTACTACAAAGTACAAATATATTTCTTACTTTAAAAACAGAATTACCATTTTTGTTCCGGCTTCCTGAGTACCGGCTCATCAATGGCGAAATGCCCAATCACCGAATACGGCGCTTCCGGCATCTCCAGGTGCTTCAGCACTTCATGAACGTTAATCCACGTGTCTTCGTCCGCTTTCCCGATAAACTTGGCGCTCTGGCAGTTTGCCGCGCCCCATTCGAGGAAGGCTAGTACCAACTGTGTCTGGTTATGATAGTGGTCGAAAACGTGACCAATCTGCAGGAGATCCCCGTGGATGCTGTTCTCGATGTGGGCTTCGTGCTGGATTTCTGTGGATTCGAAACGGCCGAACCCAAAAATAATGCGAACATCACAGAGTCGAGCATGCATGCCCCAAGTTTCGCGAAGAGCGTTACGATCCATGGAATTTCCTGGACGCGACGGAACGAACAGAACTAAATGCGGATGCCTGCCTAAAAAATTTAGAAGCTCATCATAAATGAAAGACCGCAAAACCTGATGAGAAGAATCATTTGAAAAATCGTTTTAAAAAATTTTGGCGTCAGGTGTAATTAACGCTCAAGATTCCAGATTTTCGAAGCAACAGATTGGGGTCTGTAAACTCTGACCCTTAACAGGACTTCCGATTAGGAAAATAAAGGAAAATGGATGCGCTCTTATATTTTCCTAACTTGAAGAAGACGATATCGGAAATTAAAAAATTTACACTTATACCATTCTTACCTCCTTTCCTGCAAATATTAAAAGGCTGGATTGGATACACCCGCTCAGTCGGCACACTGTGCAGCAAGGCCGTCATTCCCGAGATGGTCAAATTCCTGATAAACGGAACGGACAGGGCAAATTTGTTAACGCGCACCACGGGCGCCATATAAAATATCACCGGGAGCAATACCATTCCAGCAACCAGTAGCACCGCAAAGCCATAACGGTAATCCAGGGAACGGATATGTCGGTGCCGCCATTCAGGAAGCGAGGATTTCGACACGGCCTGTTCATGATGCATTCCCTTGGTAATGCATGGATCGTTTGCGTACAACTGCGAAGTGCACGCTGAGCAGAAAGTGCTTGCTCAGGAATGTCTACTGCATTGTCAGAGAATAGATAGTAGCTTTTCCTCTTCAGTCAACTTATGAAAGTGCCCGCGGGCATGCCGGACTGGTCGTGCTTAGTGTTTGTGTTAACCGGCGAAACCAGTTGCACATGCCGAACATGTATACAGCAGTACATCTTATTAAAGCGTTTGTAAAATTATCCATAAGTTATGTACTATACTGACTTTGCAGTTTTCAATACTTGCTTAGTTTTAATCATCGCGTTTGTGTGTCTCTTGGCTACTTACTACTGACAATTGTGAGTACAATCAGTCCAATGCTGTGTGTGCTTCGCGGTTTCGGTTTATGAATGTAAGCTTCGGTGTACCAATTTACTAGTAATTATGCTACAAATATATCGGTCGCAGTAGAGTTTCTTTCCGACGGAAATCAACCAGACTGTGATATTTTTGTTAATGAGTACGACCTAGTATGCATTATGCACGAATCCCGATCAAGAAGAAGTACCAAGTCTACCGATTATTTTTAGAAACTGCATGTGTATCATCCAGCATGCTTTCTCAGCTTGCCTGATATCCGCGGTTATCACAGACTGTGCTCAGTGTAATGCCGGTAGCGAAATACTAGAGCGGGCAGAGTGGCACATTCTTTAGGATCATTTATAATATAAAAATTTGAACGTTTACGTTTTATTAAAATTTATTATGGTGCTCTATCCTACCTAGTAGTATCGTACTGTGTAGCATTTCCCAAATTTGGTTTTCTGTAATGTGTTACAGTATAATATATCGGCGGCTAATTAACGGAAGAAACACCACGGCCGGATGCCTGCTTGAGCATACGAGTCTCAGAGCAAACAAACAAACAGTTTGGAAAAACGCTGTTTGTGTTATTGTTGTTCGTGTTTATGAAATTAAAGAAATAACGTGCCGGGGGGACAGGTTGAAACGTTTTTAAATAGTTCTTTGGTTGGACTCCGATATGCCCAACTCAGTGCAATTATTATTGCAAAGTTGCCAAACAAACAGATTCCGCAGTTTTTGATTCTGTCTGTTGGGCTTAGGAATGTACCAGCAGATCTCAATGCTGTCGAGCGTCGACTAGTATCGAGTTTTGTCACGCACGTATCGCATGCTGGAATCAAGAACGCAAACGCCGGCTGGTAGATGAAATCTGATGCTAAGCACCTGTATATGTATGATCAGCAGCTACCATAGTGAATGTTTACGTTTGCGATGTAGTACTCACTGTGTATAAAAGCCCGAGTAAAACAGGGAATAAAGAACTGGTTTTTCTCGGAAATACACTTTCATACTACCCCGAAGTACCATGCGTCTCACACTCTACCGTACGATGAACTAGGAGAAGAGGATGGGGAATTTATGCCGTAGGACATCTAAAGTCGAAAAACGTCTAATTGGATGCCACTGCCGTTATAATTACGACGACGTGGCTGATTTCGTTGGAAAGGGAACATTTGGTACTGTGTATAGAGCGAGAGTGGTGAATCGGGGTAACTATACTGGAGACGAAATTGTCGCAGTCAAAGTCATTGTTCTGCCAACTGAAGTGGTGAGCAATCAGGAGGAATGGAAGAAATGCAACAAGCGGCTGCAGGAACTGGTGAAACTTTCCCACGACCATGTTGTCCCTTATCACAGGATTCGAATTGCCAAAGCCAACCGTGGTGGGAAAGTTGAACTTATGATGGACTACTGTGATGGTGCGTAATAAGGTATCGATGGAATATTGACAGACTAGGACCACATGCCTTGTCTGTCCACCAGTTTATGCGTTCTGATCTCGTGGCAATTTCGCTTTAAAATCTGACTTGCAGGATCTGTCGAAAAAGCAAATTAATTTGCTCCACATAACTAAATCGATCCATTTAGTGTCTCAATATGTTTATGAAGGATGGTATGCTATATAGGTACATACACAGCAGTATAAAAATCAGAAACAATAACGTATTTCAAAACGTCATGTTTTATTTGGCGCACAATATATATGTTTGTTTGAGCGTTAAGCAGTGGCCCTTGACGAAAACATTTGTGGTCCTTAATTGTATATTTTTTTAATTTTTAAATGATTTTTAAAATGTTTGAAATACATTTTAAATTTTTAAAAACTTGTTGGAAACCTGGATCGGTGTAAAAACAATCTGCATGTCAATGTGCGCTTACGTGCATAGTTTATAAGGGATCGGTCCATAATGAGACTTTTGGTACGCGTAAATACATTTAAACGTTTCGGAATTTTTGTCAGCCATAGCTCCCAAACCGGATGTTGTGTGCCCAAAAGGTTTTCACGCCCATCCTCCTTGTACAGAATGACAGGAAATTATGCAGAAAATGTTTAGAGTTAGCGAAAGTGGAAGTTTTTGTGCACGTACACAAATATGGTGCCATGTACCGGGTCACTTCCCAAAAGCTAGAGGGCCGGGTATTTGGAATGTTGTATATTTCAGACATACTGTTATAGGCAAGAAGGTATTCGGTACAATATGACAATAATATAGTTAGCAAAAAGTGACCCGGTACATGGCACCATATACGATAGCATGGTACATTAAAATTAATGAGGGTACTTCGAGCGCAAAGCTGATTTGTATAATTGTTAATTTTTGTGGACCTTTTAGGTGATTTAGCGAGCTTGTTGGGAGACGCCAAAGAAAATAAGATGTTGCTTGATGATTTTGCAAAGATCATCGGCTACGCCATAGAAATCACGGTTGGATTAGCATTCCTTCACCAGAACAGCATCATACATGGCGATCTAAAGCCGAAAAATGTGCTGGTAAAGCGTAAGCCCAGAATGAGGCTGGTAATTGGCGATCTGGATGATTTCGTCCAGCTTCAGGAGACGGTCACCAGTTCTATGGACATGACGCACCTTCGTGGCACAACTCGTTACATGTCACCGGAAATGCTGAGAAAGTTTGGCGAACAACCGACCGGAAGACCAGGGCGAAAAACGGATATCTGGAGCCTCGGTTGCATTCTTCTAGAGTTCTTGGAATGCTGCTTAGACAGTTACGAAAAGAGGCTCCACAACAATGGAGATTTTATTACAGCGGGAAATGCGATTACCAACATACAGTATGCTTTTAAGATTATGGATGGTTACGTTCCATATATCAGTGACTACGCTCCGGATTACATGAAAGCAAGTCTTGAAAGGTGTCTACTGCGAGATGCCGACGCCAGAATTTCTGCAGACGTATTGCTGCAAGAGCTGCATAACAAAACCTCCCAAATTCAAATCATATTTCTGCACAAATTTCTCGACGGTGTGATTTTGCATGTGTTTGATCCGTTGAACGGCTCACTACGGTCGCTTCCGAATACGTGGGAAGTACCTGCATATCTGCACACGGAAATGTCTCGCGGTATTCTCGGAATTAACAGAAAATTAGCCTTTTTCGACAAGCTTTCGGATGACAGTTGCACAATGGTTTATTGGCATCTGGTCCATAACACGCGGCTTTCCACTCCGTTAGCTGCAACTGTTAATGCGATTCTTTATCCGGTGGCTGTTGATGGAATAATTTACTTTTGGGATAAAGTGGGATTTGGTGACAGCAGCATACTGAGCTTTAAGGCAATGAACGTCTCCGACGGAAGCATCGTTGCGCTAATAAATAATCCCAGATATCCCAACAGGTATTACCGCAAATTTGTGTTACGGTGTAGGAGAAAATATAGAGTACTGGGAAATCTTGCTGGGATTTTTACTTTTCTTGAGCTTAGGCTGCCTAAGGCGGATAAAACTCCTTTAGAAGGAAGTACTCCTGTTACCATTTTACCAAGCTCCAATAACCAATTAGCCACCGTAATCGATGCGCATTTTTAGGCAGTATTTAAGTCGTAGCACCTCGTTTCTTGTTTTAGTTTTGGAAACTATATGCAAGCCATAGTTCAATCCGGATCCAAGATATTTTATGCCGGCAGTGGAAAGATCGACGCGCCCCTACTAACTTGCCTGCAGTGCTACGACACGGCAACCGCCGAGTGGACATCCTTACCGGATGTGCCACTTCCTTGTTTGCGGTTCGCTATGGCTGTAATAAACGAATACGTTTACATTCTCGGCGGACAAATGGAAGTCAAAGACAGCGAAAATGTCAACCACTGGGAACCAGTGGCTCTTTGTCTACGGCTCAATATTAAAACCGAAATTTGGGAAAACAGGCCTCCGCTGCGACTACCGCGAGTATTTCATACGGCATCCGTTATTGACGATTGTATCTATGTTTACGGCGGTCGTACGGTGGCATTCGTCAACGGGAAATGGGTATCAACTGCCCCCGGGGAATATGAACAGACCATGGAGATCCTCCATGTCCATCGGGATAGTGCTTGGTCAACAGTTACCTTGACAGTGCCGGAAGAGTGCCGCATGTCGCACATTCTGAAGCAAGATTTGGGAAGCTACACTCGAACGTACGCACTGCAGCTGTACCGATGATCCACGATTGAGATCAGTGCTGGATAACCTGTTAAATGTTCGGTGGTGAACATACTAGACAGATAAAGGTTTCCTTTCGACTGATCGCTTAACGCTGTTAAAACTACAGTTGCGTAAAATTAAAAGTAAACCCAATGGCATCGACATCGATCCACATCTGATGGTAGTTTCCGTTCCGTATAAATCTTATCCATCTGTAATCCACAATGTATTTAAAGTGTCCCGGTAATATTTATGTATTTATTAACCTTGTAGTGTGTAGTGTAGTGTCAGTGTTACGCAGTGTTCCCGGTAAGGAAACACTAAATCGGATGAACTATAATTTATTGCTTTTGTCGGCCTAATACAATATAATGGGCAATACGTATGACTAAATATAACTAAACAGCAATACATATGACCAAATTCGGCGCGTTACATGAGCACCATGTACAGCCGCAAACGTTAACCCCAGCCGGCTGACGGCAGCGAGTACAGGGCACAGGGAAGGGTGAGCTCGGCCTTTGAAAGCCCCTTATATTGGTGTTTAATTACCACGTTGTACAAGTATTATGTACCTGCATTAAAAGTGCTTCTTCCAGGTTTTGACAGCTACTCATAGTAAGTCTCTCGCTTGATGGGTTTGATGCTTCGATAATCCGGTGCATTTATTTCTCAATGTGTACAAGGCGAGCTTCACTCAACAAAAATGATCAAATGAAGCATTTGTCCAAATTAACATGGGAAGGGACTGTGCACAATACACTCGTAGCATTAATTATATAATATGAGACAGAACCATCAATATTTGTATAAAAGAAGAGAAGAGTAAAAACCTGTTGTCCCAATTGCTTGCAAAACGCTGCATGTACTGCGTTCGTAAAGATAAAAATTGGGAATGTCGGAGAATATTACAACATAATAAGCAAACAACTCCGGAGTTCATTCAGTATGCCGATGTAAGCGTTCCAGGTTTTACCAATAACATCCGTTTTTCGATGGCTCACCCAACCGATACCAACGCTTGGTGCCATCCAGATGGAACAAATCTGTTCCCGACAAAGGGCATCTTTATTTACCCGTCCTGCACGTGTTGCGCACCATTTTGTCATACCTGCAAAATCAACCACCACTGTCCCGAGAAACTCGTCTCTGGATGGATGGTTCCAGTTCCACACTGTAATGTGCAACGTTTTATGGGTAATCTCAATAGGATCGATTCCCTGAAAGATAAAGGTTTCCATCCCACGGGATCCAGAGCGTGGCTAGTGGGACGCGTTCGGCACTTGTATTCCCTATAATTATAGAAAACCGAAATCACTTTTCCTCTTTATGTGGTAAAATCTAGACCCTATTAGCGTACAATCGTCCCGGCGCAAGGCAGAGTTTGCAGTAGATTTTGGGAGACCCGGGCATGTTGGCCGGGCGTAGATTGCGAGCTTGCAGTACTTGTACGCTGAGAGTGCAGCTGTAGTAGAGCATGCGCAGAAGAATGTCTCCTGTGGCCGGCAGAACGGAGGTTAATGACGGCAACTGCAAAGCATGCAGGGTATTTAAAAACATAATTTCGATGTTGCTCACTATTCCCTAGTCACTTTTTCTGCTCGGCAACGCAACGGCAACGGTTACAGTGTGCAAAATCACACACGACAGCATTTGCGCATACACCACCAAATAAGGCACGGATACAACGAACGGCTTCGAGCATACATTGCTAGCAGCGTTATCGATCCCGTTGTCCCCGACGACTAGCCCGCGTAGTACGGAGCGGCGCAAAGAGTAAGACTATGTCAAAATGTGAATCTGTGCTTATGTGCATGCCGGTTAAATATAATGAATTCATTCACTAGATGAATGAAAATTATTAACAGACGTGTGAGAGAAAGCTGCTATCCAGCATGCATTTACAGGTGCAAAGCGAAATGCAAATACTCTAACCTCCAAAATTTCCGTTACGACGATCGACTATTGTTTATAAACGAAAATGTATGTGTTTTGTGAAGCTCTGGAAAACCGTGTTAATCTCTTTAGTATTTATTGGTTTGTAATTATTTCTCTTTGTGCAGAAATTTTCTTTCAATAACACTTCAAAGGAGTATCTATCTTCTAATGATAAATTTTACTGTACGAGGACATTTGGGTGCTGTGAACATACCCTGCACGATTAGGCTGCGATGAGCAGCCGGGCTAAATTTATAGCCGTTTGCATTCAGACTGTGATATCAGTAGCGTTGCGAGCTACGGCTAACCAGCTGTTCATCGCAGCCTAATCGTGCAGGGTATGTTCACAGCACCCAAATGTCCTCGTACTGCAAAGCGTATTCTATAATTTTCAGGTATGGTGCACCTCATCTGCCCCTTTGCTAGACTCAATAGCTGGCAGTTTAATTATCCATATTCTACTATCTAGCTAGAGCTGTACGTAATACTAATATATATTGTACACGTCGGTCATCGCCATTTGCTGCATAGCATCTACCATGGTCCACGTATACCGCCAGGCTATTAAATGGCTTCCCTCATATCGATTGTTTTTGCTTTTTTTTGGAAATCTCAGCGTTAATATGCAATAGGCGTACAGGCTCCAATTGAGTATAATGTTAGCAATAATAGTTTTTTTATGAGAGTCTAACAGTAATTATCAAATAAGTTCTAATAGTATGAGAGTCCACAATGCTCGTATATACTAGTAGATAACTATATGTACACACAAGAGAGTAGCTTTTGTGGTGTCAGCCTGCAAAGCTATAAAAAGGCAGTACAATAAACAAACGTTTCAAGGTTGACAGATACAGTTTAGTAAACAGTCGCCATCGTTCAAACTGAAACGTGACAAGCGACTATTGCGCATCGCAGTATTCGCAGAGGTATTCCTATGAAGGACGGTTACCTAGACCCTGGTTATCGTTATCTTGGACAAGCTATCTTTGATATTATGTGTACAGCTTTTCCCACCCAGAGTCTAGATCATTCAAAGCAAAAAATACTTCTTCCCATTTCCGTGCATCGTGATAGTTATTAGTCATGGACCATGCAGTAAGAGTTAACACGTGATGTGGTTAGTTTTCTTCGATGCACATCGCCATGGTACGACAACAGCAATAAAATAGCTGTCCTTGGTACACTTATGGTTAGAGCGCCCCGCTGGTAAACGACACGATAAAAATTCGAGTTTTTTGCCGATAAACCTCAACCTTTTTCTGTCAATTACCGCCCAGCTCGTTGTCAACATAAGAATGTTTTCTCTTGTTCCGCTAAAGCTTCAGAGATTCTTTTTTGAATTAAAGTTACGTAATGGTAAACTGGAGGAGCCGTGTATGTGTCTTAATTATCAAGTCAGCGACCTCGTGAGATGCAGTAATACGTGGAATATCGATTGTCACCATTCACGGACGCATATCGTCAGCTGGGTAGCACAAGTTGCCAGAAATCTTGGAGGAAAACTGCAAGATCTGGTAATCAACTGTCACGGCAACGATGGCTATTTTGTTCTGGGCGCCGAATCCTGGCAACTGGACAGCAATGGAGAATGCGGTTTCTTATTGCCATGGAAGGGCTTAATTGGAACCATATGGATAATGTCCTGCTCCGTAGCTGCAACGGAAAAAGGTGAACACTTCATGCGCAAGATAGCGAAAACAGTAAATTGTGATGTGCTGGCTGCGGTAACTGATCAACCCATGACGTGTAGCGGAAAGATGTACCCTCGCTTCGTCCGCCCACCGTATACAGGCAGCATCAAACTGGCAAGACCTCATGCGGAGAATATCATTGCCCGACCCAATGCGACGGAACGCTTCCACTTTGTCGACTGTTTTTGTCAGGCTCCTGCTTACCCGCTGGAAAACTTCGTCCCATGGACGGAAGTGAGACGAGAACTGACGAAATCCACAACAACATACCGGTTCGACGATAAGATTTCCCCGGATGGCCGTATGGTGTCCATCGCGTCACCGTCATTTGTGTGCAACTCGGGCAACCGTGTGGCGCTCTTTGCACACCAAAAGCTTGAACCTCCCGCGGATTGGTCGCCAGAGCAGTTTATTGAATGGGTCGTCACCAAAGCGCAGGAAACACCGCGGGGAAAATTTCGAACGCTGGTTTTCAACTGCGATGCTGATTCCACTGGGTGTATTCGTCTTGGAGCAACGGGCTTCGACATTAACAACGTGTATCTTTTTACAAAGCTACGAGGGTATGTCGATGTCATCAGAATATTGGTGGAACACTTTGCCCGCTTTGAGCACTATGGATCGCGGGGATGGGAATTTGCCGAAAGTGTTAGCTCCTATTCAGGATGTGTTGTTGTACTGAACAATGATGGCTTTAAATCCCCCAGTGCCGATTGTGCGGTGCACCGCTATATTCATCGCTTTATTCCAGCTAGTTTTGGAGACTACATATTCGTTAGTGGCAAGCTTAAGGCTTCTCCGCTTCGCTCTGAATACCTTGTAAGGGATCAGCTGCAAGAGTATTTAGAGAATCCGCAAATGATTGACTACCACCAGGGTAATTTTCTCAGCATTGGATTCGAAGAATAAACTAGAACCGAATGGGATTTTAGCCTACGATAAACGATGCACCTGCTTGACCGGCAAATTCATACTCCATAATAACACTTTACGAGCGTGTGTCGCCTTCCTATAAAGAGTTTTCGTAAAGGAATGGGAATTTCTTTTAATCTCATGCAGTATGTACCACTACTACCATTTCGAATATAATGTAACATTGTAACCGTAAAATCAATGTTCCTTTTATAGCTATAGCTTCCGGTTTTATAATCTTCTGGGTGATTAGAAAGTAAAAAAAAACTTCGATCGGCTACATAACATAAAATGACTTTATTCTCTGATTACCGATTTTTTTTACTTGCGATTGAATCCTGTCAAGTTGCCAACTGATGAATTTGACACGCAATTATGTTCAATAAAATGCCATCCCAACATACTGTAGATAAATATTAAAGAAAGGTACAGCTTGCGCGCTAAACGCCGCGCGGGATTTTAAGTGAGTACAACTTGAACTGTACATACAGTTTAGGTTTAGGTTTGAAAACGACCTTGAGTTTCTTTGCACTTCAACGCGGAAATGCGATATGGGCTCTTGTATGTTTATGTAACTGGCACGCTTCCTGCCCTAGATAGTACACAGGAAATGTTTTTTTGTGAATCGCTGCTTTCTTTTTAACCGCTTACGATAAGTACATGCTACATAGCACAGAAATTTTCGCATCATGGTGTCTGCCTGTTAAGGAAATACGGAAATGCAGCATAATACGTGACGGAATAACAGTGAAGGAATTTTGGCTAGCGCGGAATTAATTGCGGTTTACAGTAGTAACAGCTATTTATTATGCTTTCTAGTCATTCGGTTCGTTTGCCAAAATCTTCTGATTAAATACACCAACTATAACATCTTTTTTATAATCAAGTCTCCAAAAGCTACATTTGCATATTAAACGGATCCAAAAGTGTAAATAACACGCTAGCCGCGCATACGCATATAAGACAGTAGCACGGTAAGGTTGGATTCCAATTAAGCAATACGGGAACAGTTCTTGTGGCGGGTGCGATTTATAAGTTACCGCGAGCATCCTGATCCGCCTCGATGGCCTCGAATAAGGCCTTGAAATTTCCGGCTCCAAATCCCTGTAAACCGAAATTCTACAGTCAGTTCTAAGATGTATACAAAGAAATGAAATGAATAAATATTTATGCTAAATAATTCTTACACTGTGATTATGACGCTGAATGCACTCGAAGAAGAGGGTCGGACGATCCTGCACCGGTTTGGTGAAGATTTGCAGTAGATACCCATTATCGTCATAATCAATTAAGATTTTCAGCTTTTCCAGCTGCAGACAAAGCAATGCATGCGTGTGTAAGTCGGGCAGCACATTGTATATCGACCAGTACCTTGTCCAAATCTTCGGTGACCTTTATCTTCGCAGATTTGAGGCGTTCTCGCAAGTTATCGTAGTAGGATTTCGGCACTTCCAAGAACTGTAGCCCCCGTGCTTTGAGATTGGTTATCTACCGGCAAAAAAGTGTGCACGTGATAAAATTCAATTTATTTTCATGCGATCTCTGGAAAATTAAAAAACCATTCTTACAGTAGCAATGATGTCGGACGTGTTGAGCGCAATATGCTGCACACCAGCTCCTCCATAGTAATCCACATACTCCTGAATCTGGCTCTTCTTGAAACCTTTAGCCGGCTCATTAATCGGCATTTTGACGGTCTCCTCGTAATTTGCCACCACGATGGAGCGCAGGGCGGAATACTGGGTGTGGATCTGGCTGTCGTCCACGGACCAGAAACGATGGAACTGCAGCACCCTCTCGTACCTGGATGAACAGCAAACGGGACGTTAAGAATGCGGCATAGTTATTTTACACCTGGTGTGGTTGCGCAACATTGCGCTGAATTTAATTACATAGTAAATTATTAATATTGTTATGCTGGTTCTGCGAATACTTACCATTCGGCAACCGGGGTCATTTCTAAATCCGGCTGATTGCCCACGACATGATCCACGAAATCCAGATGACCTTCCGGACTGCAAACCGGCACACAGAAACGTTAATCGGTTTTACACGTAATTAAGGTGTTGCCGCTGTAAAATTTTATCGCTTATCATTATGCTATTATCCAGCAATAGGTAGAAGTACTTATACAACAGTGACACAACAACCAGTCCGCTTTTATATCGGCGCGTTCTATCTCTGCAGATTTCTGTTACTGTGTAATTGCTCACTTTCAATTTTCGTAAGAAAAACTAGTAGAATAATTATTATTATATATAATCGTTTCTAATTTTAGTTATTTGCTACTTAATTATTTTTTTCTTGTTAGATTTTGTTATATAGCACATATTTAGTCGCTTACAGTTGTCCCAGAAGAGGATCGTTGGCGATCGGTGAGGGAGCGAAGCCGGGAAGGAAGGTACCTTTGTAATTCCCCCGTTCAACTAATGTGTGCGTCGTGTCTCCATACTAAAGTATACAAAATAATTTTGGCTTAATCTGTGTCATACAGCAGTATTGTTTCTTCGGTAGAAAATAATACCGTGTGTCGGTAAAGCATTACTGTAGCTTAATGACAAATAGAGTGATTATAACATAACCGAAGAACGGGATGAACGTAGTGCAGTGACAGAACAGTGTGTCAGGGCTTCTAGACAGAAATCTCGTCAAAAGCTGGCGAAAATAATCGGCAAGTACTGTATTCGTGTAAGTACGTTGCCATTTAACCCGCGGGCGGAAAGAGATTTTGGTTAGTTTTTAATGTTCAAATTTTAACTGTAGAGTAATGTGCCCGCGCTTGCACTTTTTGTTGTTTTGGCGGCTACTGCCCAATAAAATTTATATTCGGCAATACGAAGTAATAATTGGCCGGCATTCGGGTAGTTTATTTTTTTTTATAATTGGCATTACCCGGCATTTTTAATCTAAATTGGTGTTACAGGATTTATGCTACTTCTTACCGTTTGCACCGTGGCGAACCGCACCGTGCCGTATTCGTCGGATTCGGTCCAGATATCTTTGACGACGGTACCACCTCTTTCCTTGGCTTTCTGCCATAGTGAAGCGGGTTACTAGCGGTTTTCTGTGTTTTATATGAGCTTAATTTTATTGATGCTCACTTGAACAATTCCGTCCAGATCCTCGACAGCAAATGCGACATCCTTGGCGCCGTCGCCGTGTTTGATAAGATGCTCTCCATATTCTGCAACCGGCACTCGCATAATCAATACCGCTGCTGCTTATCAATTGGTACTGTATGTCTACGTTATGTTAAACAAATTAAGCATATTGTGATAAATAAATTAAGTCTGTATGCGAATGCATGGTGCGCCTAATACAGTACATTTTAACTGATTTGTAAAATAATAAATATTTTATTTCAGAACAATTACCTATTTAAAGTTATGTTAACATGTTTCAAGTTATTTCGTATAATGTTTTAAGCAAATTATGAACACGCTTGTTTTGTATAATTATTTCCTATTTGGACATTACCTTGATTTCCGGGATCATAAGGCGATATAAACACTAGACGAATCTATCAGATAGAAAAACGTATAAATAATTATTTTCTGATCATTTCAATCATTCTGACCTTGTTCTGCTGGACAACATGTGCTGCGATATCCCGAGAGCCCGTCTCCAGACCTTTGTAGCCCACCGGTTTGAATCCCATGCGGGTGCAGTAGAAGGTGGCCGCCTATGTACATACGCGGCGGTTTAAGTAACTTAATCGCTTAGTAATAATGCCTGAGAAGATTACTTCCCAATCGTAACAATAATCGCGATCGTGTTTTATTGGAACTAGTGAGTAATATAAAAAACAGAAGCCACCAGCGCCCGACCAATTTATAAATGTTAGCGAACTGTGTAGCTTTGCAATAAATACGGCAAACATGGTGCATTAGACCTGAGCAGACGAGTGCTAACTGCACAAAACCGTACACAGGTACCATGCATGAGTTATGATGCATTACACAGAATAGTAATTAATATTACATACAATGATCACGTATAAAAATTAACTATTCCGATCAAAGTCATTGTGAAAAATTAATAAGAAAAGCCTGAGAAACCAAAACATAAGAATAACCCTTGGGAAAACATATACGGTAGATGAATTTTACTCCAGTGGAAGACGGAGATTGCGTACCTGTAGCGCATTGCCGACCCAGAAGGAAATGTGGTCAAAGTTCAAGAATTTTCCTTTTTCCGGCTGCAGAAAAAAATTTCATATTTTCAATGGAAAAAAGATTAGCCAAATCCAGTAAAATTTTCATTATTACTTGCACTTTACTGTAAGTGCGATTACTATGGCTGCATGTGCGTGCCAGTATTCTACGTCCATAGTCCATAATTATATGGTATGTATCTGTACAAGCCGGTCCGGAGTTAAAGCACGACAGAGAACAGCTAACGCATAATAAGCGCGATGTTAGCATTTAGTACGATGGCCACTGCACTACGTCTACCGCAATGCGTAAATGCGCTCCGCAGTTAAATTGTCCCTTACTGCACCGACTGTTTTCTAGCCACCTTCCGCCAGGCAATTACGATTATACTCATTAAAATATACGGCGTGCACCAAGCCACCAGCCAGCCAAAAGCATGTTACGTGGTTAAAGTGTGTGGCGTGTCGTGGCGTAGTACGTTGTTTGGCGTAACCCATGAATTTAAATTGTTCGCTGTTCTCTATCGTGCTCTAACTCCGGACCGGCTTGTACATACCAAAATCGCAGGTTTTTTCTGCACAGCAACGCCATGGTTTTTACAAAATTAATATTCCCGCTTAAGTTAGCCATGCAGAACTGAATTGTTTGCATTAGAAAAACAAATTCTCTCAAATGAATCTACGACGATATAAAAACCAACTCTGGTACGAAAATCCAAAATTAAAATCACCTTTGGTCCTTTGTCCGTGTAGGTGGTCTGTAAAAATGCAAAAAAAGTAACGAGCGGTTTAGAGAAAAATCTACAGTTTTTAAATAAACCCAAACAGCATACGATAACTTATGGAAATATGGAAATTCATAACAACAATGCACGTTATTTAAACAAACCACAGCAAAAATATGGATTACGGTATCACCCGAGTAAAAACAATAAAAACCAGGTAAAAACCAAGTGTATAACAAAATTTACCATTTTCAAAATAAATTGTGATGAACAGAAGTGTTTCCTCTCAATCAAATTCAACAGCGGAATAAATGATACAGGATAAAGGTCACTTGCAGGAAAATTCTCCTCCACTACACTGCTTAAATAGCCACACTTCCGGCTGTACCCGCACCGTTCAATGCTGTTATACAGTGAAGTAGCTGCGGCGTGCAATGAGCGCGATAATGCAGTTTCACGGAAAAATGAGGAAATCCAGCATGTGAGCATTTTGGTTGATGCCGATAAACATCAGTAAACCTCGATTGGATCAACTGGTGGGAAGCGTTGTACAAGTACGGCTATACCGCACCGCTTATCGTTAGCATAAGTATGTGCAACCGGAAGTCAGAATGATTAAGCAAAATTAGTTAATTTTCAGCTTACTGAGCGTTGTGGTGTTGGTGCTGCTTCATTTTCTCTAATTGTAAGTAATGTGTGGTTGCGGCTGATGTTGCGTTTGATTATATTTATCTTGATGAAATGAACTGATTATTTATCTGTGCTTTTCGGTTCGTAAATGTGGAAGACATTCAAACAAACCCAATAAAAGGCGCTTCGAAGGCATATCTTATAAATAATGTGAAATTTAAATGGTCTTAATAATCATCCAAACAAAAAGAAATGTCCACTTTTGTTATGAATTTTTATTAATTATTTTTTATTTAAAAGAATAATGATAATGATTAACAGAATGATAATACCATAATAGTTACTAAAAGTGGTCCTTATTGCATCTTGTAGCTAAGGAACAAAATTCAAATAATAAAAATGTGTGCACGTTGGTTTATACACAAACCGTATCATTGTGCCGTGCAACGCTCATCACAGAGTGCATTCTCAATTTAAAGCAATTTCCTCTGGCATCGCGCATTGGTGTATGACAGTACTCTGACACCACAATACTCCCTTAAGTTTCGTGGGATTTATTTTATTTAAGATTGTTTGGGTGTGGTTAGATCAGCTATTTGTGCAGCGAAATTTTTGTAGATTGTGTATTACTATCGCTATTTAAGAAAATAATAACAAACAAAACTAATGAAACGACAACAATTTTAAAATGAAGAGAATGACGTAATGATTAGCACCACCGACCTATAATACGTACGTTACTATACATTAACATACGTACATATAGGGGGACAAACAAGTCTACTCGGCCCGGTTCCCTGTACTGCTGCCGTCACCCGCCTGGAGTGTGACGTTACGGCAATACATACGGTTAAATCAGGCGCGGTACATAAGCGCCACGTATAGCCACAACGTAAAACACCAGCCGGCTGACATCAGACGTACAAGGGACTGGTTCGGATAGACTCATTTTTCCCCCTATATACGCGCTAAGCTATCAAATGTATTTTCTTGATTAGTGGTTGTTTCATCAAATCGGACAATTAAGTAATTATGCCGGGGAGATACAGCAGCAGCGATAAGATTATATTCTGTTTCTACAATACTCCGTTGACGACAGCACACACACATATCGGCAAAACATATACACAGCTCATCGAAGCGACGCTTAACATCAGGTACCACCAATTACACGGATTACTGCAGCGCGCGAACTACAGCATGGAATTGCATCTGGATCCAAACAGAAATATATTCCCAGCTCCTTGTTTAGAGCAGCTGACATCGGAATAATTTGGCTAAAAAAATGTGTCCTTCGTAATGCCATTTACATTAGCATGCTTTATAACTGACTGTAATTTTTGCGCCACTTCAAACTCGGAATAAGTTCTTGCTAAGCCGCTTTACTACGTCACACGCTGTTTTGTTTCATCCATTGCGACGGTGCAATATGATGAATCAAGCCAGACTCTGATCCTCACTAATCACTTTTTATTATTTAATTCTTTATCCGGGAATATTATTGGATTCCGCGACTGTTTACCAATCGTTAACCACCCCGATAAATCACAGCGACACATGCACCGTCATAAAACATGGCGGTAAACATTCCCCTACAGCCAATTCGCAGCGGCTTTATCAACGCCTACGATCACCAACAACCGCCTGTTAACGACCGGCAGGATACCGGTGAAACGTATTCCGCCGTGTCCAGTATCCGCTCCGAGGCGGTGTCCGTTCCCAGCCTGCGCTACCGTGGGAACGACGCCATGCTCAATGAGAATTACCGCTCGGACGAGGAGGACGATATGGAGGAGTTGGATGAAGCGGACGCGGGGAAATTACCGGTGGAGGAAGTGGAGGAGCGCCGGGAGATCCGTCACCATGTGCGGTTGTACGGGAAACGGCAGTGCTGGGCGAAATACTGTTGGGCGGATCCCAGCAGTGAAGCAGCGCATGCGCATCCCTTGGAAACGCTCAAACAGAACCGGTAAATACTCCATGGGTCATTTTGTTTAAAAAAAGGAGGTAATACCAAAATGCCCAAAAACGATACTGAATTATTATTAAAACAATATTAAAATATTTAAACTATTAAATTGGTTTATTATATACCGCAACGCTTTTTTGGCGGATTCTGTGGAAGCGCTTATTATGTTTTTATTGTCATAATAATTGTTTTAACGATAAATTGACGACGTTTTGTTCAATTAGCGTTAAAATCAGCAAAAGTTATTGGGGTAAACTGGAATAGAATATAGAGATATAAATGAGAAATCATTTTGAACTGATTTTTTTAAAAAATGGGTTTCTTTATTTTTCTGCTGTCTTATTTAATTTACCGTTGTTTTCTAATGATATCGTGCCTAGCTGGTTGTAATATGTATAATGAAGTATTTTTTAACATAGCTAAACAAGCTGGCGTTTTAATTTTACGCTTCTTTTAATATTTTTTCTGTTTCGTGCTTTGACCATAAGCAAAAGTATTATTGCTACTAAAAAATATTCTCAAACCAGTGCAACCGTGCGCCTTGAAAATATGGTTTCATGAAGTGCTTGTTTTCATTTTAAAAATACGAGTATAACTTTCGTACACGCTTCACGCCGCAAGTGGTACTTCTTGAATACTGTACTGTATTTATCTGAAGCCTAGGATGCACTCGAAACCGTTGCACTACAATTTCTAGCAATTTTATTTCTTCGTGACAGGGTAAAGTTAATGGCCCAAGGCGATACTGAACAGATGATTCGACGGGGATTTGTGCGGCGATTTACTTATTCCATCGCCGATACCGGAAAACGTTTAATGCGCACCGTCAATTTTTATGAACCTGTTTACCAACGTATCCAAGGTACACACTTCAGTATTTAAATATCGTACCTAATATCGCACCTCGTAAATGAGGTACGTAGAAATATCGTACCTCGTAAATGAAGTAGAATTGAGGAAAATGTAGATCAACAAATTTTGCTGATCTACGTTTTCCAGTTAGGTAAAATATTATTGTTCACGTAATATAACCTTATCCGCATATTATGACCGATACAATTATAAAAAGTGTACAAAACTCATCGTAAATTTACAAAACCAAAGCAATGGTGTATGTATTCAGGGGCGTATAATAACAATAATGTGTTTTTACAGTTTTACAAGGGTACTAACATAATTATTTTGTACTCGTATAATTATATTTTTAATAGCATCTGAGCATTGTTCTACAAGTATGTACAAAGGATATGTCAAAACAAGAAAGGAAAATAATTTACCTGTATTTACCTGCACAACCTAGCCAAATAACTTCCAAAGTTATTTTTTAATAAATGATAAGAAATTCTGTACAGGATATTTCGGTAGCGGTATCGCCAGCTACGTGACCTTAATCAACCGTCTGCTGCTGATCAGTGTCACCATGTTCGTGCTGGTGGGCGGTCTGTTCATAGCGCCGACCATTGTGAACGACTTCCGCTACCAGCATATTCTCCAGCTCAACACATCCGTGCACCACGCTAGTATACTCGAGCAGGAAGTGCTGGACATTGTCGCCAGGGAATCCGGGCTGGCCGGCGCTGAACTGAACGCACAGTATTTGGCCAAATTCGCCTCTGTGGACGCCGTATTCCTAGGCCAAACGCAGACCGAACAGTATACCACGGCGGCATTCCAGTTGCTACAGGGAACGGTCAGTACTCCGGAAAACTGTCAATTTCCAGTTATTTCTTTAGGAAACTAGTTCGGTTATTATAGTACTGGAATAAAGGCAAATTTATATGCAGTTTTCGTGTGCACCACTAGAACGCCACTGCAGGGCTAAGTGCAATCTAACTAACAATTATCGTAGTGCACTGGCTTAAGAACGGTCGCTTAATTGGGTCACTATGTTAAGTAAATGGCGATGGTCGTTTAAGTGGACCACCCAAAAGGTTCAGTTTAACACTGGATTTTCTTTTGCTTTTCTCCTTCATCCGATTAAACAAGATGTACCCCTTACAAAGTACTTGGAAATTTTTAAAAAATTGAACCGATCTAGATTCGTTCGAGACTTTGATGGGAAACGTGGTTTTCGTAGGGTTGGCTGGAAGCGTCCTGGCTGTATTTGGGGCAATACGTTGACCGTCTAGAAATGCTTAATAAAACTCGAAATTCCACCTTCTTCGAGCACCGACCAGCCGAAGCGCTCAGCCTACTGAAGTCATACTTGGATGAGGGATTTCATTATCGGTTGCCCTTTGCGTTTCTGTCCAGTATCGTAGCCGGGCTATTGGTCAGCGTGGTTATTCTCATATTCAGGTAGGATGATTATTTTTTATGTACAAATAGAGCGTCACAACGTGGCAATACGTGCATTGCAATCTGTAACGCAAACACTCGTACGACGTACGTATATTACTTTAGAAAACACTATGATATAACGAAATTATTATAGAAAAATTATATTCCGAAATCATTACGATTATAAGCAGGCCTGTTATTGTGTGATGAGTTTTAACTATCATCAGCCCTAAGAACAAAGCCAATTTGGGCACTCTCGGTGCAGCCAATTCACTACGAAATTCATACATTTTCTTGAAGTTTCCCACTGAGGCTGACTGAGCGGATCAGACCGTTAGTTCTTTTTCGAAATTTTTATACAAGATACAGTTCGGTGTGTACTGGTGCCGTTCCACGAAGAGTGTTCACATCTTTGTGATAAATAATTTCTGCGATTCTCTAAAGATACATATACCGTACATAAAGGGACCAAATCAACGATACTTAATCACAGTAAATACCGAGCCGGAAGCACCGGATTTAGCATAAGAATAACGTTTGGCATTCCATCATATATACAGCTCGGCGAGTAGTCTGAAAGAGAGCCTGAAAGGTCGTCATGCGCGCGTCAATCCGTTCTGTGAAGTGGCGTTTGGGAGTTGGTCGCATTTACTCACGGTACAGACCGGTGTGGACAACCAGAAACTAACGGAAACCAGTCAACTAAAGGTCAGTTAACTGAATAACATAAGTGACGCAACTGTTTTATCGTAGCTACGAAGACAAAAAATTGATCGTGATGTAAAACTAAAAGGTCATTTACCATATTACTATATCCAGAACAAATTCTGCGCTACCGCAAATCAATATTACGAGTATTTTCCTTTCTGTTTATGTTTTGGGACAGCTTTATTTAGACTGCACTCACTGCAGTTTTGTATACGAATAAAGAAAGCGTTCTCAGGATCAGCAAGCTGCTAAAATATTTGCCACACTTCAGATTCTACTGGGCGGAAGTGCTCGGCGAACCGTGAAAGTGCGGACACGCAATCAGTTATTCGTCCTGTACGCCATTCGCGCCGGCGTCTGGCTGTTGGTCGGGGGTATTCTGGCCGCGTTTGTCTGGCTGCTGTTCGAAGCCATTTCCAATTGGTCCAGCCCAGAAATAATTCAGACGGTACAGATAGAAGCCAACGGTGGTTATATAGATATGTAATTTTTTCTGCTGTATTCAGCCATCATGTATTAATTTTATCTTGCTGATTTTATCTATTGATTTATTTAATAATTAATAAGGTTGGTGCTTTCGTTGTTCAAATTTACCTTCCTTAACATTTCTAATCCGTAGTAATACCCTTTCTTGATGAATTACTTGTGATAGCTGGAACAAAAACAGGCCAACGCTACCAGCACTGATCTATTGCTGGAAGCCGAGATTCTCGTGCGCAACTTTATCCCGTCCATCATCATGGCGGTGTTCAATTTCTTGATGCCGTTTATCCTGGGCATTATGGCGCAGTTTGAAGATTACGCGACGGTGAAAGTAGAGATCCGCATTACGCTCATCCGCACGGTGCTGCTGCGGTTCGCTTCAGTCGCGGTGCTTCTAGTGTCCCTCTTCGCAAAATTAAGCCTGTTTGACTCGAAAAACGACGCAGTTAAGGTCTTTGCGGTGAATAACACGGGCGCCAGTACGGATATACCGGTAACCAAACAAATCTCTCAGTATCGGTAAATTTGAGCGTTTGTCATAAATTTGCCGATCGGTGTGTTGTCAGTGTTTTGAAACATATGTCGGACAACAAATCTACAAAGTCCTGTTATTGGATATCTTAATATTCCTGGCGGTGTTCTTCTTTCTGCATTTGCCACGAGCGTGAGTACTGTTGTTATGCCGCTAAAAAAACAATAAAAAGAAACCTTGGAAGTCAATTCCGACGCCATGCTGGTGACCTTTTTGGCATGCTATCCAGGTTGCTGTATAAGAAAACCAAAATCGACATGCTGCGAATGGAGTTTGATCTAACGGGCAACATCCTGTCGGCCATCTACGTGCAGTGCTTGTACTGGATGGGTGTGTTCTTCGCCCCGATGCTGACGGTGATGGCGCTGATCCATTTCTTCCTGCGTGCCGTTCTGGCTCAGGTATGTCTGTTTTGCCGGTTAAATGTACAGTACGAGTATCTGTGTACTAGTACATACATCAGAAATCTAGTTAGGGTTCATCGGTTTTTCGAAAACAGCCTAGCAAAAAGCCATTATAACCGGTCTTGTAATTAAATACAGGTATTAAGCGTATGTCAAACTGTCAGTAGTGCTTTCATTTGCCAAAGGTGGGATTATTTATGGTGTACGAGACACCAACGAAGATTCACCATTCTAGCGGCAGCGATGTCTTCTTTACCTTTGTGGCCATGTTGGCATTCTTCTTGTCGGTCGGCATTATCGGGTTTACCATGATCAAGTAAGGAATCCAAAAAGAACAATCTGGCTTCTGTACACTTTCATTCGTTGCGATACATCGTATCTTGGGCTATCAACATTCTGCTAATTTCACCCTTATCTCATGCTTGGTGTTGAATGCTTACTCACCTAGGGATGTGACCTTTGCGTAGTAAAAAAACTAAATGTTTAACTTATTAACAAAGAAGTTCTAACAGATGTACATAATTCCGTACTCTGCAGAATCCAGCCATCGGCGGTATGTGGACCGTTGCTGTTCGACGTGGACTATTCGACCATGTACGACTACTTCATGGGCACGGTGGACAACTACAGCGGGAGCTTCCGCTGGATCTTCCGTTACATCACCAGCACCGTCGTGCTCTTCCCGGTACTCATCGTCATCGCCGTCATTCTCTTCTACCAGATCGCTACCTCGCGTGCCAAAGCCAACGCGGTGATGATCCTTAAGAAGAAAATCGAGGAGACGACTGCGCAGAAGAAATTCATGGAGCGGAAGATTCGACAGTTCCAACAAGAAAACATGAAATAGCGCAGTTAAACTTAGTGATAGATTTATCTAGTCAAATGTTTTTCGAAACTGAATTTCTGTTAACGAACGTTATGATATAGCATGTCCGTATTTCCGTGCTACGCAAGCTTGAAGTACGCAAGAGTTTTACCTCGAAAATACGCTACACTTTATGTTGCAGCTTTTCACCTTCTTCACGTCAGTGTTTCCTTGGCCGCAGTACATGTATGATGTAACCACATACATAAATCAGAAATGCATGCGGCGAACAAGCTTGTCGTTCCCTGTTGCGATTCTCCTGCACGACGGCAGTGTACAAATACACCGTCTTACACAAAGCACCTGACGCAGCTCATATTCAAAATATTTTTATTCCGCAGCTTTGGTCAATTCGGAGATTACCTAATTAAAAATTTATAGGTGACAGAAGAAAAGAAAGAAAAATGAAAGATTTTACATGTACAGTCAAAATGACACGAGTAATATACTATAACAGATTCACTGCTACCATAGCATATGACACAACAGATTTCATTTGACCCAGTTACCCGGGTATCCGGTATAAAAACTCAAGGGTTATAAATGTAACAAATTCTGGCTTGCCACTTTAAAGAACATCCAGGGAAGCAAACCCTTATCCTCGGCCGGTTCACATACACGTCGAAACAAAGTAACCTTGCCGTACGAGAATGCCACCACGGCCTGGAACAAATCACTTTCGGCTGGTCAGTACTTCTCGGTTATGCAGAGCCGTGCTCTGGACGCCTTGATAGAATGCTGCGGCGATTCTGGCGTCGCGCGATTCCTCTCCGTTCAGCACCCGCAGAATATGAATGGCCTCGCGACAGTAGCCGAACATCACCGCCGATGCCAAGGTGGACATGGTCTTCCATCGTTTCTTCTCCGCCGTCGACATCTTCCCCGCCTGAGCCAACACATGTTCATGAAGCGCTCCAGCGGCATATCGTGTGGCCTTCATCAGCAGCACCGCACGGTACTCTTCGTACTTCGGATAAACCTCGCTATAACACAAGATCCCTGAATCAATTCGGCACTGATGTTACTTATCCCAGAATTAGTGTGAAACACTTCAGTCTTTTTCATAGTTCGTTTGCGTAGACAGTACGTGTTTTCGTAACTTCGCTTACGACTCATTACGCTGTTGCACCTGCTATCGAGTTATTTAAATTCAGTTTGTTCTTCTCATGAAAGCCCAAAAGTGAAGATGCTCTGTATAACCTATGAGCTAAATTTTGGGAGGAAAGTTTTTTATTAACAAAAACGTTAATTTATCATTCCTGAACGATTATTTATTCTTGTTTATTATTTTTTCTAATAACAATTATTATTTATTACGAGTACTATTATTTATTATTTTTACTAATAGGAACCCTTAATTATTACTGTTTAATGTTAATTTATTATTATTAAACGCTTATTTCTGAAATCTTCGTTCTGTAAAAATACCAGCATACGCGGGTAATAAATTTATGAGAATGTACAGATACCGGTATAAACAATTATAACACTGATATTCTATATCGCTTACGCCAACGAAAATATTCGATACACCTTGTCATAATTTTAAAACTTTTACATTTTTTACACAGCGGTTTTGCCATTAGAATCCGTTGTTTTTACCAGACAGGGACTGACGTCCTAAATTGTTTCCTCGCGTAACCGAAAAAAATCAACTGTTTCACGATTAGAAATACGGTGGCTTACCGCACACAGTTAACCAGCTCCTGCGTCATCTTCCAGCCCTCTTCAAACCGACTGGCATCAAAGTATCCGCGCGGCAATTCCCACCCGCAGACAAAACGGAAATGAGCAACCGGCTGCAGAATGCCGGCCGCGTCCAGCTCCAGGCACAGCGCCATGGTGCGCGATTCCGTGGGGGCGTTCGGCATCATGGCCTGGTGCCGCTGCAGGAAACGGCGGAATTCTTTCAGACGTTCACTGTTGACGGTGCCGCATGCCGAACACGGGTCCAAAGCACGCTGATCGCTGGGGATCCGATTGCTGCAGCGGACATTCATACACTTCAGTGGATTGATTTCAGCATCCTAAAAAAAAACGTTCAGAAACCGTGATCGATTTCACGAAGAAGCCGGCATATGCACGTCAATTCTAAGCAGCAATATAATTTTTGAATTGCCAGCAAATTCCGTTAGAAAGTGATACGGCGCTGACAGTTTTGATTTCCCTACAGTGTTTATGAAAAACATACATATTCTTCCGTGCATTTACGGCAAGTACACGGGAATCCGTGGATTTTCTCAAAACAATTCCGGCGTCGCTCTCTAGTCAGGAAAAACGGCAGACGTATGTCGCTGTATCGCAACTGTAAGGAAACACCAAGTCTCACATGGAGTCAACGGATATCATTGAGGGAAACCCAACCGTACATCTTTCATCCCGGTGTACACGGGAATATCTTCCGTAGCGTGAATGAACATGCGTCGTCCGCGGAAGTTGATGACCACGTTGACATCCCAACACACCGGCGTCATGTGATGCCGCGGTGTCACCGGGTACACCGCGAACCCAATCTCAACGCTGCCGGACATGGTATGGTACATGGGCTGCGCGTTGTAGGCACTAATTCCGCTGTATGGTGCGTCCTGGACCACGGGCGAGCTGCAGCCTGGAAAAGCGCAGCACCGGCGCTCCTGTTTCGGCGGCGTCGGATCGCGCGGCAGCATGTCCATAAACTCCTGTGCTGAACGCGGTCCTTGACCAGGAACCTCTACCGTCGTACTCACCTAGACGTTAAGCACAATGTTGTTGACAAACCCATGGTAATTAAAAATCTTAACCAATAACCCCAGTTAAAAATGCTTTGGTCATCATCTCAGTTCACCAATTTCCACGCCAACAACGGTATACTGTTGTTATCAAAAGCATACAAGGACGAAATGGTAAAAGCTAAACTGGGTTTACCGCGATTTTGCTGGCCATCTTGCCGGCTAACACCGTATACACAGACGAGCTGTTGCCTGTCGCTGCTTCTTTCCGCGTCTTCATGTCATCGAGCGTTTTGCACTCCAGTTTGTGTTCCATTTTCCAGTCGGCTTTCTTTTGAAAAAGCAATAATGAGTCACAAGATATATTACCAAGTGATAGCCGAGATTTATGAGCAATAAAACAATTTGCACTGACAAAACGGTTGCGATTTCCATAAAAAACGGATAAAGATGTAAAGCTTGCTGCTGACGAACGAACATGAGAATAAGTGATGCACTCATAAAAATTTATACCTGACACGACTTGTTGCAATAGCGGTGCACACGACACCCGGAACACGTCAGCAACGAGTCATCCTGGTGCAAACAGTAGGCACAGCGTTGTTTGTACTCGCCGCTCTCCAGGGCCCACACAAAGGGATCACACGACAGGATAAGATCCCCCGCGGCAAAGGAGCGACAGTCTGTACTGGGCGCAGGTCCACAGCTATCCATGCTCGAAGAGGAGAAGTCGCGGAAGCTCGTAATCCTGCAAGGAGCCAACAAACTGCGCGCAATGGAACTTGGATTAAGCTGCCAAGAACGAACCACGACGTGGTCTTGCACAATATTCCTTCTGGCTGACAAAGCTGCCTCGAATTTGAGCAGCTTATCGATTAATCAGTATTAACAGTAACAGGCTGATGCGCTAAGCATCTTCAGAAGCGATTACGATTCCGATTAAGACATTTTATCCAGAAAATGTCTTAATCGCTCGGGTTTTTAATCGGTTTATTAATCGGTTAATCACAACAGGTGCGCAAAAGCGATTGAAAAATCAAGCGATACGAAAATTTCACGAAGCCAAACGAAAAATTCGGCAATATGGACCCCGAAAAAGCGCCCCGGACCAGTATCCCTAGTTAGGCCGTCAGACATCGTAACGGCTAGCGAAACAACCCCAGAATAATCGCTAACCGATTAAGACTTTTACCGATTAAGAAAATTCCGAAAATTTCTTAATCGCTTTTGCTTAACCGATTGCGATTAAGATTTTGTGCAACCGGAAGTGTTTCAGATTGCCCAATAGACGCTTTCGGGAGGTGCGGTCACATGAATCAGGATGAAAAAACATTAATCGGATCGGTTTCTTAATCGGTTTTTGAGCTTAGCGCATCAGCCCCTAATACTAATTACGGAACTGTAACTGTCCACTTTAATAGGAGAAACAGCAACTCGAAGGCCAAAATGGCTGGACAAAAGCAAAAGACGTGAAAACGTAAACGTGAAAACGCTGTAATACTGAGAAAACTGCAATGCAAACACGTGCATCCTGCTCGTTGGACGGGGCGAGGCCACACCACTGCTGAACTGCGATTGGACGATAGCGCACTAGCGCGAGACAGTGTGGGTGTGGCCAGTCCGGATAGCGTCTCAAGCGAGTGCAGATTTATAAATCTGCACTCCTCAAGCACAAGGGGAAAAAGGCTGAACTGCGCGCGCTCAGTGGTGAGTCATGCGGCGCACATACAGATAGAAGTTATCATAGAACGAATACGCTTAAATTAATGGTACATAATTCCCAAATTCGCGTTTGGGACCACGCAGTGCTCGAAAAGGAAACGAAAGAAATGTGGGCAGCAACTGGCAACGATGACCGAAGTAAAGCCCGTCTAAACGCTATCAGCACCAAGTACGCCGGTGCGTGGTTAAGTGCTTTGCCATCGAAAGTTTTTGGAAATTGGCTGGACGATCAGTCATTTCGCATAAGCATCGGCCTGTGGTTAGGAGCCAAAGTTGTTGAGCAGCATCGTTGTCACAATTGCGGTAAGAATGTCGATGAAACTGGTCTCCATGGGTTATCCTGTAAGAAGGCTGGCGGTTTATGGCGCGAGAGACACAACGGCATTAACGATATTGTGCTGCGTTCTTTGGGTAATGCGGGGATCGAGTCGTATGCGGAGCCTGCTGGTTTTGTACGTGAAAACGGTAAGCGTCCAGACGGTGCAACACGTTGGAAATGGTTCCGAGGACTACCACTCGTGTGGGACGTTACCTGCCGCGATACGATGTGTGACACGTATATAGAAGCTACGTCCCGATTAGCAGGAGCCGCCGCCGAACAGGCCTTCGTGAAAAAGATGAATAAGTACCGCAGCATTTTGGACAGATGCAATTTTGCACCTTTGGCATGCGAGTCTTTTGGCACATGGTGTGAAGGCGCCGTTGTTGTTTTTAAAGAAATCGGGAAAAGGTTGTTTGTTCGAACTGGCGAGTCCCGATCTACCTCTTTTTTGTTTCAGCGGCTAAGTTTAGAGATTTGGCGTGGTAATGCTCAGTTGGTTTTGGCGACCGTCTCCTCACGCTCCAACTGGGATCATTTTTTTATTTGATTAGTGAATATTATTTTTGTGACGCTGTCCACTGTACTCAAGGTTAATAAAGTTGGATAAGTAATTCCCAAAACTGCACTTTTAATCGAGTTCACTCACACTTAAACCTTAACCTCACGCCCTTATGTTAGCAAAATTGATAACAAATTTTTTGAGATTAACTGGCCGACTGTCAAAATTTTTTTCCACGGCCACTTTGTATGTTTTGTCACTTATTTTGTCAAGCGAAGCTACGGTAAATGCCGGATAGGCAACAAAGTTAAAAAGTAAAAGCACATGTGCACGTAAACCAGAAACTGCGGAGCCAGTTTCCCGGAGAAGCAACTTGTTTGCTCATGTACTGTTTTCCTATTCATACGTTATGCAATACAGGAAAAAAATATTACCAGTTCTGGCCACGCCGGAGTGCAGAATACGTAAACATACGTAAATCCGTAAAAGTGATTTAATTACGTTCAATTCGACAGGCTGATGTGAAATTCGGAAATAACACAGCAAAAACAGATTAAAAGACGAATTAACTAAGTTCTCCACAACCACATGCACAGCCGAAATGGCACGAATAAAACATACTTCACAAATGACACTTATTATAAGTGGTGCATGAGCACTCTGAATAGAAAAACCCAGAAAAAAGCAAAGAAAAGTCTAGAGTAAAAAAAAATTTGTGAAAGCGCATACCCAGTCCATTGTCGGCAGCTGTTATAAGTGAAATAACACTGCACGACTTCCGCGGACTATTTTTAACTGGCTAGCTTATCTGTGACAATCGGGGCGTAATTCATGATGTGTTCACACAGGTCGACGGCGGTCTTGACCTCGTGAGATGCTTCTCCATAAATCACAATCATAATGTTTATGGCCTTCAGACAGTAGTCGCAGATAACACCAAATCCTGCGGTCGACAGTGTTGCCCGTCGTTTCTTCTCCGACACTGACAGCTTCTCAATCCCATCCAACACATGCTTCTCGAGAGCGAAAGTGGCAGATGTTGCGGCCAAGGTCAGCAAGACGGCGCGGTACTCTTCGTACTGGGGATAAATGGCGCTAAAAAACCAAATTATTGTTATAATAATTCAGGAGGAACACATTAATGTAGGACATTATGCTTTTCCGTCGCACTGACAGACCATAATTATTCTTGTCCACCTAACAGGACGATAAGATTACGTCATAAGAGGATACGCTTACAGCACACACTGAATCATCTCCTGCATCATCTTCCAACCCTCTTCAAAGCGGTCCTCATTAAAATATTTGCGTGGCAATTCCCAACCGCAGACCAAACGAAAGTGCGCATCCGGTTGCAGAATACCGGCCGCGTCCAGCTGCTGGCACAGCGCCAAGGTGCGCGGATCCGTGGGGGAGTTGGGCGGCATGGCCTGGTGTCGCTGCACGAAACGACGGAATTCCTTCAGGCGTTTACCGTTGACGGCGCCGCATGCCGTACACGGGTCAAGTGCACGCTCATCGCTGGGGATCCGATTGCTGCAGCCGGCAGTCACACACTTTAGCGGATTGATTTCAGCATCCTAAAAATATTCCCCATTAATTCACGTGTAGGAAAAACTGTATACGTTACTGTACATTCCAGGCAGATGCAGTGCGTTTCTGCTGTCATCGGCATGATAGCATTTCGTAAAGGCATTGAGTTATAAATCGTGTGGCAGAATAGTAATGGTTTAGAACAGACACGTACATATTCTTCCGTGCATTTGCGGCAGGTGCAGGGGAATCCGTGCATCTTCTCAAAAAAGGCACGGCGTCGATCTCGGGTCAGGAAATACTGTTGTCGGATGCCACTGAAGCGCAACTGTAAGAAAACCGTTTCATATGGAGGCAACACATGTCATGCATCGAAGCATCAAGAAACCCAACCGTACATCTTTCAGCCCGGTATACACCGGAATGTCTTCCGTGGCATGAATGAACATGCGTCGTCCGCGGAAATTGATGACCACATTGACGTCCCAACACACCGGGGTCATGTGATGCCGCGGTGTCACCGGGTACACCGCGAACCCAATCGGCGCATTGCTAGAGATCGTGTGGAACATGGGCCGTGCGTTATCAACGACAGCTTTCTCATACGGCAGGGTATCCATTTCGGCCGGCCCAACTTCCGGTTTCAGAGCAGGTGAGCTGCAAAGAAAGCCGGAGCTGTCACTGAACAAGCGGAAAAACCAGACGAATACGAGTGTACGACAGCCCACAGGACGGACCTCATCGGCTGAAACTGGCGTTCCTTTTCCAGTCGCAACGGATCTTGAGGCAGGATCTTTTCCACGAATTCCTGCGCTGAGTGGCGTCCTTTGCCGGGGACATCGACCATCGTGCTGCACTAAAAACGATAATTTTTAAAGTGACGAAACAATGTGTGTCGCAACTTGAAGTATTGTTTCATCATCTAACAACTTCCGTTGCTGAAGGATGAAATATGAAAACAGCTCAAGAAATGAACTTTAAGGAGAGCAAATAGTGGTATCCTTTATCAGTCCTGTCTCTCGTGGAAGCTGCTTATGCTATTAGCAGCAGTAAAGAAGTGAAGGAAAGAAGTACAACTGCAATGTATCGCTCCAACACTTACACTAATTTTGTTGATCATCTTGGGAACCAACACCACAGGAATAGGATAGTTGTGGTTTACTACTGGCGCTGGTGCCGTCTCCATATCCAATTCCGTTCTCAGATCTTTCAGCATACCGCATTCCAGTTTGTGCTCCAGTTTCCAGTCGGCAGCCTACCCAGTCAAAACCAAGTTTCACGCATACTCGAACAGGAATTACATGCAATTATGCAAACGATATGGCCATGTGAATCGTCTTTGCAGTTGGCAGAAAACATCGTCGTGTTCCATCGGGTACCCGATGACGTTTTCTCGTAACAACCATAAAGAAGCAATTAAAATTGTATAACACTACAGTCAGATAGTATTTGTAGAACAATAAAGAAAGTATTCCAATGAAAGAGCGATTCTAACCAAGCTTTCGCAAAGTACTCTACTTCGAAGTACGGCAGTCACCAGTCGCAAACAGGCAAAGCCTGCATGGCGAACGAACCGTTTCTCTTGCATCGGAACTCAGAACTTTGTACACAATACACATAGAAAACCTCTTTTCGTACCTGGCAAGCGAAGCTGCAGTAGCGGTGGAGTTTACATCCTGAACAGAGGCGTAGTTCTTGGCTGTCTTGCAGACAGTAAGCACAGCGTGTTTTGTAGGCGCTGCTCTCCAGGGCCCACACAAAGGGATCACACGACAGGACAAGATCCCCCGCTGCAAATGATCGACAGTCAGGATTTGGTGCAGTTCCGCAGCTGGCCATGATTTTGTTGAATAGTCGGGAGTATGAGTACAGTATCAGAGAAAATGAAGGTCCACGAGACAAGTGGCAAGGTTTACGTATTTAATGGTGAAACAAGCGATTCAGCACGGAATTCAGCTAATGATGGCAAAACTGCTGGCGATGCGAAATAACAGGATGTATAGAAGTACTGTACTTGTATCAGTTGTATGTATTTTCTCGCTGGGATTTAAAAACTCTTTTCTAGGCAGCGCGTAAAGCAAGTTGGAGATAGTCCAAACTGCTTTCGTTGTTTACAGAAATCACCATAGAACTCGGCATTACATAACCGTAAAGAGAATTTGATGCGGATTCCGGATTCCGAGCCTTGAAAGTGCAGGCTCACACAGCTGCCGGCCTGTGGTGGACGCACGGCGATCACAAACCAGCATCATTAGCAATTTAGCATGCTGCATGCTGTTACACGTGGTGGCGTGTATAACGGTCCCGTAATGGGAAGATCAGACGGAAAAGACAAACGGGAATAAAACTGCGGTTTTATTCGTATACAAAAACATCATCGGAAGGCACAAATCTGCGCGAATCGTAATGCGCAGGAAAATCATAAAAATCAGGGAAAAAATGCAAAATCAGAATATGATCTCATAATCGAAAAAGCATACTCGACTCGCTCGGATAAGCCGACGAGGAGAATCGAAACAGGGAAATGTGCACGATGCGTCATCTACTCTAAAATGGTGGAGATGCGGGGAGCAGTCGGCTCTGACTGCACGGAACCCCGTTCAAAAAACAAAACCACGAAAAATAAACAAATAGTCAAATACCCTTATGCGGTATACTTAAAGCAGACAATTATGCGATTAAAATGCGCTTATGTGAAGGAATAAATCGCGGCAAAAAATGCTTAACTGGAAAAATGCCCTCTTCATGCGGCAGTGTCCGTGCTCGTTGCTCACAAAATCTCCGGGGAGCTTTCATGTCCGGATCCGCGGGGCACATCTGCATGTCCCATCTCCGCTTCCTGCTGAGGCAGCATCTCGGCCGGTCGTCTGGCGCGCTTGCGCCCTTTAGTTGGCGCGTGTCCGGGGGCAACACGGCGCAAGGTGGATGCGGCGTGACGGACGCGGGCGCTTTGTTGGTGAATGGCAAACGGTGCCTGAGAAGTCACGGTGTTGACAAATCCGTCATTGAGACGCACACGCTGGACGCGTGCGTATTCCCACTCAGCTCCAGGTGGCCCGTCGTTTATGGAGACCACCTGGAAATATCCCTCCTGATGGGCGACTTCCACGATGTCAGCCATCCCCATGGTGTTACGCTTTCCCGGGCGGACTCCGGGAGCCTCCAGGAAATCAGCGTATGGTGTGAGGCGGTCTTCAGACACTGTAATTTTCTTCCCAACGCCCATGATGTCCGCCAAGGTGTAGGTGGGATGCTCCCCTGGACTGCCTTTAAATCCGTGGTCGATAACGATGAACCGGCGTCCCGGGCGGGGTTTGGAGTACACGTCGGACATGTTCAGCACCACCTGGTCGCCGAGGCCAAAACGGTATCCTTCCGCTGGCGTCTTGGGCTGTATGGCCTGCATGACATCGGCATGGTACTGTTCCATAAGGCCGTGGATGTCGGTAAGGCGGCGGGCACATGTTTCGTTGTCAGCGCTCGAGGCACACGGGCGCGCTTTGACACTAACCTTGCGCTTGAGTTCCGACAGTTCTGCCGCTAATTGCGCTACCGGATTCTTCGGACATTTGGCCACCACATGCCCTGTCTGTCCACAACAAAAACAGGTCCGCGAAGAGCCTGCAGGTGGGGTTGGGGCAAGGATTGGTCGGTGGCGCGTGGGCGAGAAGGACGGCATGATGTCACCGTCGATATCCCCGTAGACGGTGGTCGGACGAAGAAAGCCCCAGCGGGATGCATTTCTGCCGGCCGCTGCGTGGTGATCACGGCGTGATGGCTGGCCGTATGACGGGGATCGTTCTCCCTCTTCGCCACCATTATCGCTCGCGAATCGTATCGGCTGACGATCCATGGCGCTCGAATCAACTAGTGTTGATAAAATCGGGTTAGTATACGGTAAACTTCGGAAAGTATACGGCAACAGACTGGAATTCGGTAAACGTTCAGAAACTTGCGAACTACTGACTGCTGATTGCACTACTGGACGGTAAATGAAGTGTGCACACAGTGCAGTAGACTGGCTGGCCTCTTTATGCTCGAATGCGATTGACGCGGTGTTGGGTTGGGGATTTCCACTGGCCGGTACCTTTGATGTGCGGCATCCGTACAGCGGGAAATCGGCCTTCACTGCCAAACAAAAGGTCGGTAGTGTCGGGATGGCACTTTTAAAAGGATTTTCACTGGATGTGGATACAATCAAAGGAAATACAGGATTGACGGTGACGTTTTGGACTTGCTGGTCAACGATAATTTCGGGGCTTTCCAGATATGGAATGGCTTCGGTAATAATGGACATCTTTCTGGGTTTGCGCTGGCGGCGGTTTCGTACGGCATGAACACTCGGTATCTGTTGATGGATTTCCGCTGCAGGAATTTCGCTACATCCAAACGGTAAGATATCTGCTAACGGCAGCGGTGGCGGCAATCCGTACTCGTCATCACACTGTGGAAGCAATATCGGCTCCGTATGTTCCGGTGGGACTGACAGCGCGTTCGGGATGCCAAAATCCGATTCTTTCACGGTGGTAGACGGGCATTCGGTCTCGTACTCTTGGGGCGGTTGGCCATACCACAGCTGCGGCTTCTTTCTTTCGTAAAACGGTTTCAGACTGGCTCCGCTAACCTTTTGCATTTGTTCGTTGGTCTGAACGTGGACAATCGAAAATGAGTTTTCTTTTATTTTAACACGGCGGTTATTCGATACGGTCCATGGTACTTCGGAAGTAGTTTTTTCGACAGCACCGGTGGTTTGTGCCAAGATTCCAGTAAAACCAGGTCGTTTTCGCGGTACATTGCGGGGTTACATTTGCGGTCGTGACGGTCGCTGGACTTCTCCTGCATGGCGGAAATTCGGATTTTGGTCTCTTCGTAGATGTGAGCCATTCTATCCGCGAAGCGCTGCACATGTTCGGAGTAGGTGGAGAACTTGGCTGGTGCAATGCCTTCGACAATGGCGTCGACCGGTAAACGGGCTTCTCGACCGAACATAAGGAAAAACGGCGTCATCTTCGTGGTGGAATGTACGGTGGTGTTGTACGAAAACACGGCGGCAGTCACATAACTGGACCAATCTCGTTGGTTATCGGTGACATATTTCGCAAGTGCAGCGGACAGGAAAGGCATTCTGGCTTCGACATTGCCATGCGATTGGTGGTGATGTGTGGTCGTAAAGCGGCGTTTCACTCCAATTAGTTCGGTAGCATCCCGGTGTGCAGCAGCGGTAAAGTGGGTACCAGGATCACACATCAGCATCTTCGGTGGCCCGTACGGTAAAATTACACTTTCTTCGAGAAATCGGATGACCTCTTTGGCTGTGTTGCTGTACAGCGGCTTCGCGATCGTGAACTTGGAAAACAGGTCGGTGTATACGGCGACATACGTGAAACCGTCGTACGATTCGGGAAACGGTCCCAAAAGGTCAATGGATCCGGCGGATTGGACACTTTCAACGGGAACATGATCCAAATAACCGGTGGCGGCGTTTTTGTTCGGATTTCTCAGCTGGCAACGAGGACACGTGCGAACGTAGTCACGTACTTCCGACAGCATGGTTGGCCAGTAGAAGCGGCTGGACACGGTGTTCCAAGTACGGTCGAATCCAACGTGTCCGGCGCGAGGAACGTCATGCGCTTGGTGTAAAATACGGTCGACCGCTGCTCTAGGAATGGCCAATCGGGATCGGACTGTTCCACGGCGGAAAGTGCGGCGATACAGCAAACCATCAATCAGCGAGTAGTGCTCGGTCAGGCGTAACTGTTCACGGGACAGTTTGGCCGGTGGATCGGACAACAACTGGACAACCTTGCCCAGTGTTTGATCGTCACGCTGCGCGGCAGCGAAGGCACTTCGGGTGAATTCGGCTTCGTCGATGGTCGTTTCCCCGGCTAGGACAGCGTCGGCACTGACTTCGGCGACGGCCGCTCCAACAGTGGGAATTTCGGCGACTAAGGTAAAGACATCGGCAAACAACGGTTCCAACATATAAGTATCGGCGTAGTTTGGTACATCGTACGGGTCTGACTCCGGTGCTTCGTCCAGTGGTGATCGGCTGATGGCGTCGGCGTCCGTATGCTGGTTTCCTTTGCGGTATATCACCTTGTAGTGATACTTGGACAGCATGAAGGCCCATCGGTTGACTCGAGCGTTACCGGTGCCGGTACGGCTGTACGAAAGCATGGTCTCCAGGGCTTTGTGGTCGGTCACAATGTCGAACTGGACGTCTTCAAGGAGATGTTTGAATTGGTCGACTCCGTAGATTACGGCGAGGCACTCCAAAGCGGTAATCTCGTAGTTCCGCTCGTAGTGGTTGGTCTTTCGGCTTACGGCTCCGATGATGTGTCCGTCCTGTTTAAGGATGGCTCCAACGCCGTCCTTGGACGCGTCTGTCACCAGCTGCGGACGTGGTCCATCCCGGTCGAAATGGGCCAGCACTGGCGCTGAGCTGAGAGCCGTTTTCAGACATTCGAACGCAGTCTGCTGGTCTTCACCCCAGTGGAACTTGAGCCCTTTCTTGGTGAGACGGGTTAACGGTTCGGCAATTGTGGAGAAATTCGGGATAAACGTGCGGTAAAACGTTCCCATTCCAACGAATTGCTGGACGTCTTTCAGACATTTCGGTACTGGAAACTGGGCAATCGCGGAAATCTTTTTCGGGTTTGGTCGGACACCGTCTGGAGACAGGGTGTGGCCGAGAAACTCGACTTCCTGGAAAGCAAACCGGCATTTAGAGGGCTTCACGGTAAGGTTGTACTTTTCCAGAAGTTCTAAGATGCGGTCGAGGCGGGCGCACAGGTCTTCAAACGTCGCGGCGAAGATAAGAATGTCGTCGATGTAGACGATACAGGTTATCCACAATTCGCCGGCGAGTACGGTGTTCATCATTCTTTGGAATGTGGCTCCGGCGTTGCAGAGCCCGAAAGGCATCCGGACAAACTCGTACAGTCCGTCCTGGGTGCAGAAGGCGGTCTTGTGGCGATCTTTTTCAGCAACCGGAACTTGCCAATATCCGGACATGCAATCGAGCGTAACGAACCAAGCGGCCGGTCCAATAGCGTCGATTGCGTCGGCTATGCCTGGCATCGGGTAAGCGTCCTTGACTGTCTGGGCGTTCAGTCCTTTGTAGTTGACGCAAAATCGTTTGGTCATCTTCTCATTCTCGAATTTGTCGACGAGGACGACCGGTGCAGCATACGGGGAGGTGGAGTCGGCAATGATTCCATCTCTTTTCATTTCGGCGACCTTTTCGCGGATGAAGGCACGGTTCGTCCACGAAGTGCGGTACGGCTGTTGGTGGACTGGCGGTGAGTCCCCGGTTTCAATGGTGTGTTCGGTTGCGGTGGTGCAACCAACGGGACGGCCCGGTGACGGGAACGCTCGGCAACGTCGGCGAAGTACGGCGAACAGTCGCTCCCGCTGGGTGGCCGTTAAATGTGGATTGATGATCATGGATCTGAGCTGTTCCTCCAAGGCAGGAGAGACAGGCTCGTAGGCGGAGTCGGCTGCTGCTGGGTTACTGTCCACGCTGAACGACAAGACCGGTGCATCAGGGTTTTCCGTGTACATCTCCAAAGTTCCAAGCGGGCTGGATCGGCGGAGGGTTATGTCACGGTCCCAGTAGTTCTTTGCGAACGTGTACGCGGTTCCATTGTGGACGGTTACGATGGCGTGTTCGAGAAGGATGTCGCCGCGGGAGAGCGCGTCGTTGTGCTGCGGGTGGCCGGACGGCTCAAATGGGGTGCGGGAAGGAATGAACACGTAGTCGCCATCGTTGGCAGTGGTCAAGGGAAACGCCAATGGGATCGCGAGTCCGGACATGGCTGGCACTATGACTTCCTCGGCAAGGACCACCGGAATCGAGACTGTCTGGACGCTGCTGGGGCTTGGCGCACCGTGTGCGACTGGTGACCTTTGGGCGGATTCGGTTTCTGTAGGCACAGAATAATCCTGTTGGTCAGTCGCAGTGCAGTAGCTGGGTGAGCGTTCATGCAGTTCGGCTTGGTAGTCGGTTCGGAGTGCAGCTTGTTCCGGAACAATGGTACGATCCTGGCAGCGAATTTGGAACGGTTTTCCCTCCATGAAGTCCATGCCCAGTATGATTTCAGGCATCGCGTTGTCATCACGGAGGAAAACAGTATGCCGGTACGGTTCACCAAAGAGATTGACAGTTATATCGGCACAGGTGGTCCCAACTGTCCGGGTATCTCCGTTGCAACAGGTCACACTAAACGACTGGTGAGGTTCGGGTAGAGGTTTCGGTATGGCGTGCAGATCGGAACAAAAAGAGGCTGGCATGATGGAAGTGCTGGCTGCGGTGTCGAAAACAACTGGGCGTGGCACACCGTTGATGGTGACATTCTGGCGCAACATCGTTGAAATCTTTGGCTTGCCATCATGCACGAATGCTTCATGAGACATCATTGGGACGTCGAAGGTTGGCCCGGACGGTGGTGGTTCCGGTGTGGGATCGTTAGAGGATACGGCGTTGACGTGACCCACTGGCGTCGCCGCTAGTGGTTTTTTGGCTGGTCACTCTTCAAGTACACCTTCTCCGTAACCGGTCCAAAATCCGCTGGTTTGGTTGGGCAGCGATCGCTGTGATGACCCGGAACACCGCAGAACCAGCACTTCGGTGGTTTTTGCAGGTAGGGACGTCGGTCTTGATCGCCGGTACGGGGTGGTTTTGGTGGCTGCGGTGGGCACCACGATGTGGACTGCTCGGCCGGCTTGGGATTCTCTGCCGGTGTCGGCACCAGTTCGCTGTTGCGGGCCGAAAACGACGGTTTCGGTTTCCATGGCTGCTTTTCCGGCTTCGATTCCGCGGTGGGTTTTGATCGCCGACTCAACGTTTCGTCAATGGCCACGGCTCGGCGCATGCGGGTCTGGAAATCATGGATGGTGGCCGGTGCAAAGCTCACGATGCTGCGGTACAGCTCGGGTTGGCCTGCCAGGCCGTTGGTCATAAACCCGACTACTTCCAACTCTGACATGTCTGGGTTGACGGCAAAGGTCAACACTTGGATAGCTTCAATGTACTGGTCCGGTGTCTCCGAACCGGTGTACTGGCGTTCCTGTAGAGCCAAACGGGCTTTCCACGCACGGTCCTGGTCATGGAAGCGGTCGACCAGGACTTTCTTCAACTCGGTGTACGTCCGGTCCGGCTTCTGGGCATCAATGCGCATGAACACTTTCAACGCTTGACCTCCAAAATGGGATGGTATTGCTGCCAGCTTCGCGGTATCGGTCCACTGATTGGCCTTGGCAGCGCGCTCGAACAGCACGAACCAGTGCTGAATGTCCATATCGGAGTCATCGAACGTTGGCGGTTTCACAAACTTCAGGTTGGACTTCGGTATGGGCTGATGCGGTGTTTCGGTGATATAGACTGGACGCGGTTCAGCGGCAGCTTGACGCAACGGCGGTGTTGGACTCGGCGTTTGCGGCGACTTCTTGCGCCGTTCCTTTTCGAACGCCTTGGCCAGGGTATCCGCAAGCTGTTCCGGGTCCAGCACTATCAGATGTTGGTCAGCTGTTGGTGACCGCTCGGGGCGGTTGGCGCGGTATTCCGGAGACTGTCGGGAAACCACTGTTTCAGCCATCGGTGAGTTACTGCGACTACCGGACAGACGGGAGTTCTCTGCGGCCAGCTTCGCATTCTGGGCCTGCAGTTGGGCGATGTACGCAGACTGGTCCTGGAAAACACGTTCTTCCTTCGGGATGGACGAACGGCTCTGGGCGGTTGGCAACACCGCAGAAATGGCGCTGCCCGCGGCTTTGATGGCGGATGAAAGGAAATTTCGGACTGTGGCCAATGATTTGCCACTCTGGATGGACCCGATTGAAGAGTCGGATGATCGGCGGGATTGTTGAGAATGAGCTCGCGGAGGTTCGGCGTGAATGTCAGCCACGGTGATGATAGGGTCGGGATTCATCCTGGGACTGGAGACTGCACTTACTTGCTGGCCCGGTGTATTCCGTGCGTGCTGATCTTGACGGCGAAAGGGCTGTGGTTCTTTATCGGCCATGGACATGATAGACGACGGACGCGGATGGCTGATCGGTGCAGGTTCGAATCCGTAGCGGACGGGTTCCTTCTTGTTACGCGTTGGCTTCGACATGGTTTCTGAACGCCGATGAATCGTGAACGTGATTGGCCCAAAACACTTCGAGCGGGGTAATTCTCAAATCCGATTGGTCGGTCACTGGCTCCGCCTCTTCTCGAGTCCGTGGTAGACGTTACGTGAATGTAGGGAAAAACTTCGGAAACCTTCGCGGTTTTGACTCGGTGGTTTCTTTCCGCTGGTGGAAATGATGCCAGAAATAAACGGCAAAATTAAATATCGGTTCCAGGATAAAATCGGAAAGGAAGATGCGGAAGATTGAGTGCTTCGGATAATGGTTCCTAGATTATTCCTCGCTGCGAGCTGGTAGGCTCAAGCAACGCGGTAACAACTAGAGGCTTGCGTTCCCCTATGTTACAGGTGGTGGTGTATGACGGTCCCGTAATGGGAAGATCAGACGGAAAAGACAAACGGGAATAAAACTGCGGTTTTATTCGTATACAAAAACATCATCGGAAGGCACAAATCTGCGCGAATCGTAATGCGCAGGAAAATCATAAAAATCAGGGAAAAAATGCAAAATCAGAATATGATCTCATAATCGAAAAAGCATACTCGACTCGCTCGGATAAGCCGCCGAGGAGAATCGAAACAGGGAAATGTGCACGATGCGTCATCTACTCTAAAAATGCTCACAATTTTGTCAGAACAGTTCATGGCACAAAAGCCACAAATCGTTTGCCTGGGTTTTAACTTTTTACGAATCTCGCAGCTGTTCCTGAGGATTTCGCGAACCATATTCCAAAATTTGACGTATTTTATTATTTTTTTAGTCTGAATAAATTTGGACTGCCTGTCTGTACGATCCGTATCCTACCAGCTGGTGCAATGGGGACCAAGGAGCCTGCGCAGGGTGCTGATGGCAGCCGATCGTTCGCGGTTGGGGATCTTATCATGTCTTGTGATCCCTTTGTCTGGGTTCTGGAGAGCAGCGCTTATAGGACGCGCTGTGCTAATTGTCTGCAAGAAAGCCAGGATCTACGGACCTGCTCGGGGTGCAGGCTGCACCGTTACTGTGACGTTGCCTGTCAGGTGTGGCGTCTGTTTGCAAATTCTCCTAGTTTTCTTACTCGTACTTGTTAGCTGTAATCTGTCTGGTTATGTGACGGGTTATTGTCGCACTGGAACAAGCGCGGTGATAAAATCAAAACGGGACGAAAAATATAAAACCGCGGCACTGTCATTTTGTTTAGTCGGCTGATTGGAAAGCAGAGCATAAAGTGGAATGCGCCCTGCTGAAGAAGAAGGGGACGGGCAGCGGCATGGAGACGGCGCGTGGGCCGTCAAACTGTGGCACACGGTACACTATGGACATATCCCCCGATCTCATTGCCAAGGTGGACAACAAGATCAAGGTATTTCTGTCGTATTTTTGACAGTACTACGTGAGCTATAATTTGTTATTGCCTTAACTTGCGGTAATTTCTAATGACCGACAGTCTCTTTTTAGCTAAACGCGGTAGTCGATGTGCCTGGATTGGGTCCGAAATCAGCCAAAGAACTGTGGAACACGCTCCCGTCTAACCCGAAATCACCGCGCATAAATGTCACGTACCGCGGGAGGTCAGTTATTCCGCAACGCTCGAGGATCCTGATGTGATGAGACTGAGAGTGTGTGTTTTGTAGATCGGAGGAAGTGATGCGGCAGTTGGGCATTGACGTTCCCGAGATGATGAGTTACTCTGGGAAAATCGCCTACAATTCCATGGCCATCATTGATACGGTGAAGGAGACTGCCCCCATTGGTCTGGCACTGTATCCCCCGGTATCGGAACAGCTCATGACGCCGGTGTGCTGGGATATGAATGTGGTGTTGAGCTTCCGCGGACGACGTTTGGTTATCCATGCTGTGGAGGATATTCCCAATTATGTCGGGTTCAAGGACGTAAGTCCTGTCGATAAAATTCAAAGATTACTTTTTTTGTTTTTATGTAATAATTTAATGGGCAACATCCAGTGCACTTATGACTGCGCTTTCGCAGGTTCACGCTAATTTGAATTTTAAATAATGAAATTTTGAATTGATTTAGAAAATGATTGGGGGAAAACAACTCGTCAAAATAAAAAAAATCTGTGTAATTATTTTTTGCTTATGTTTTGATGGGATTTCGCCAATGTGATGTGCTTCTATGCGTTTATTTGCAGTTACGGTACGCTGATATTCAGGAACCGTTTTTTCTGACACGAGCCGGACGTCGCCTGGAATTCGAGAAGATGTACGGACATCCGTGCACTTGCCGGAAGTGCACCCCCGAATATGTAAAAATCAAAAGAATTTGCTGTACAAATTTATAAAATTTCCTGCTGGCTGCGTTTAACGGCAGTTACCTTGTGTTATAGGAGGCCGATATAAATCCGTTGAAATGCGTGACCATTGGATGCGCAAATCGTATTCCGAGCGACGACCGCGCTCTGCAACCCTGTGCCAGATGCGGAGCGCTCAATGGAGAACGGCTTTCGCAGTTCCGTCGTTTCATGCAGCAGCACGAGACCATTAAGACGGGCTATTCGAAGGAGTTGCACGGGGCCATGGTCATCGATCTCCTGCAAGAAATGGACGCTGCCGACATCCTGCAGCCGGATGCGCATATCCGCTACGTGTGTGGCTGGGAATGGCCGCGGATGCTGTACAACGAGAACCGTTTTGAAGAAGGCTGGAAGCTGATGAAGGAGCTGATTGTCTGTGCACGGTAAAAAATATTACTTTAGGTGGCGTGTCGTTGTAGGAGTAAGGACCGTATTCCTTTCCAATTTCTGTCACATTTATCATTAAAAAATAATCAGCATTTATCATTTATCCTTAAAAACATTCTATATAAAGAAGACAAATCGATTATGACAGGTTGTTAAATTATTACTTTTATTGGTCTCGTTTTCAGGAACATTTATCCGAAATACCATGCGTTTCGCGCCATGGTTCTGGCACTGGCTGGAGTATCGTCCGCTTTGGCTCTAATGAATCGCGTAATGGAAAAAATCAATCAGCTGACCGGCGCGGAGAAGCAACAACTGAAAACCTCGTCGGACACCGCGAGTCGGATATTGCTGGGTTATTCCCGGGAAGCGCGGGACATCTTTGTCCTGCTGTATGGGGAGCCATCCAAGGAGGCTACCGCCGGCAAGAATTTCCTAGCACGCACCAGTAGTTATGTGCGCCACACGCAGAAAATGTGTCAGAAGCGAAAGTAGCCTAGACGGTCCGTCGTCTATTTTGTCTCCAGTAGTTTTCTCGACGAATAGGTTCTGTTTTTCTTTGTTGTTTCCTTCATCTTGGGCTGAAGATAAAAACCTTGCCTACAAGATTTGGTTGGGAATGTAAGAGAAACGGTCGCTTGTAAAATCAGACTCAACGCACTGTACGTTACCAATATTCTGATTTGTCGTCTGTACCGATCAGTTTTATGGTTGTAGTAAAATTCCTCTCCGTGGAAATTTAGTTGTAGTAAAAATAAAAATTGGTCGTAGTAAAAGAAATTAATAAAAGGAAAGAAATTACACACACTCCACGCATAAATCCCCACTGGCAGCATGTGGTTAATTTCGCCTGGCACACATGTCAGTTAAACATCTTATTAGAGCACTCCTTCTAATTGCTAATTAATCATGCTCAGTGCATAATGGAACGATAACAGCATTACACTCAATTTAGGAAAAAGACAACGTTAACACCCATTATTTGCTGCCGCGAGAAGCCTGTTCGATGGCACGCATTTTTTCTGCCACCTGCATAAACATAACGCGACCGGTCAAAACCTCTTTTGACGTCTTTCCAAACAGCACAGACAAGATATCCGTAGCTTCGTCATAGTATTTGATGGCGAGGGAGCACACCTCCATGGCTACTGTTTCCGGCTCCTTTTTCGCCGGTTTCAACTGCTGCTCCGAGCCGCTCAGCACGCGTCGGTGCAGTCCTAGAACGGCTGACTTCCCCGCTGACATCAGTAAAATTGCACGCATAACCGCATACTTGGGATGGATCTTCCTAAAGGCAACCCAATATGCCCATTTGCTTTATAAATTTACATTCCGAAATGACAAAATTTGCCGCACACAAGCAACCATCTCCTGCGTCATCTTCCAACCTTCTTCAAACCGGTCTTCATTGTAATGTTTCTCCGGTAATTCCCAACCGTAGACGTAGCGGATATGCGCATCCGCCTGCAGGATGCCGGCAGCGTCCAGTTCTTTACAGAACTCCATAAAAATTCCCCCTGGAAGCTTCAGCAAATAACGCGCCATAATGGTCTCGTGCAGCTGGATGAACCGACGGAACTGCATCAGCCGATCACTGTTGATGGCACCACATTCCGAGCAGGGTTGATGCGCACGGCTGTCGCTGGGAATTCGGTTCGTGCAGCCCACCGTTACGCAGCGTAACGGATTAATCTCAGCATCCTAAGAACAACCGCACACCGGAAATTATTAGACAAAAACCAAGCGCAGCCGATAATAGACATTCGGATGTTGGTACAGTAAATACCGTACGTATTCTTCCGTACATCGGCGACACGTACACGGATAACCGAAACGCCTCTCAAATCTAGCGCGGCGTTCCACCCGTGTCAGACAGAATGGCTCCCGATTGTCGCTGTATCGCAGCTGCAAGAGTCACAAATTTTAAAAGTAGCCCGTTAAACAGCCATAAAACGTTTCTGAGCTGAAACCATATGCATATTTGCGAAACTTCGAAAGGTATGCCAGTGATTCTGCGGAAAACGAAGAGGTTATTAACTTATCACCGTTATCTGTGGACCTGTGGTTACTGCATCCTAAGCGCCATAAACCTGTTCCTGTTAGACGGTTGTACGCGACTACGTACATCTTTAAGTATATTCCTGAATGTTTTCAACGGCATGTATAACCAGCCGGCGTCCGCGGCAGTTCAGCACCACATTGATGTCCCAGCACACCGGTGTCATGTGGCGCGGTGGTGCCTGCGGGTACACTCCCAAGCCGATGGGCTCGCCAGCGCCAGAAAACGTATCGTAGATGGGCAGAATGTTGTAACGCAGAATCCCGTAGTACGCCAGAAACTCTGTGGCTGGTAAGCCGTCTATCAGGGAATTTCGCGCCTCCATTGCGGATAGTCTATAAACAGGACGAGCAGCCTTGACAAAATTTGGTCTATACATGGTGAATCAGAGATATATATGCTCCATGCTTACGCTGGACGCAGCTCATCTTCGACTTCCGCTTGCGAGGGATTCGCTGGCAGTATGAACAGCAGATCTTTGGCCGATTTCCGACCGATTCCCGGAATGTCCATCATCGTGTTCAACTGGAAAAGAATAAATCGGGAGATTACGAGTTGCATACCATTAAACAGGCGTTACCAAGAACAGCGAACATATTTTCTTTTAATGCTGCTGCGTGTCGTAAGTTTTATTTTAGATTAACAAGATTATATTCACAGGCTCCGATGCTTCATGATCTTTGGCCAAACATACGAAGTATTCTCAAATCTCAGTTACCATAAACAGCTTCTGTGCCTTGTACAATACGATGATCCTACCCTGATTTTATTGGCCAACTTGGCAATCATACCCGTAGGCACAGCATAGTTGCCTGATACCGTTTCTCTCAAAGACCAATGCTCGGTTCCCGGGCGCGTTCCCGTGAGCGTCTTCAGCAGGGCACATTCCAATTTGTGTTCCACTTTCCAGTCAGCCGTCTGTATTAAACCAACCACACAAACACGCTGACTACATAGTACATACAGCGTAACAGCGAACTTGCAAACCGCTGTGGACACTTGGGCCTCCAACATACTTAATCGAAATTTCCAAGTAATGTACAGTCTACACTACTGCTAGCGTGCAGCGCAATCAAAAACAGGCTCTACAGATGCGCTGACAAATTGTTGTAAAATCCAGGCTTACACGCTCTCAGTTTCGTTTTCTAACTGCATAACAATTCAAAGCATCGCAGAGCTTCTCACACCTCAAAGTATTCACCGTACCTGACAGACTGAATTACAGTAGCGATGCAGTTGGCACCCCGAACATGTTCGAAGTTCCTGGCTTGCCTGGAAGCAGTAAGCGCAGCGCACCCTGTACACGCTGCTCTCCAGTACCCACACCAACGGATCACAGGACATTACCATGTCACCAACAAAGTAACATGGTCTGGCGCCGCTTGTCGGAGAATCCATTTTCAGTCTCGTGATTAACGCGAATGATCAGCGATTCAAGTCCAAAACATCATGGACAGAGCGGCGTTCAAAAACTTAGCACACTCATTAAACCGAAAACTTGGGGGTTTATCAGAGATAAGTGTGTCAAATTAAGCCGAATAACCGAATAACCGAATCATACACTATAAAGTGTGACAGAAAATTCATTAAAACCAGAATATCCCAAGCCGCCAGGATGGAGCACAACAGTGTACGGCTTCTTGGATTTGCTACTGTATTGGAGCAGTCAGCGCCTTCGTAGGAACTAGGAAGCAAAACTAAATCTGGCAACGTGCGAAATTAAAAACAATGGAGAAATGAGCCGAGTAATGTAAGTGCCTCCGGAATAGAAATACTCAACCAGAACTACTTCAGTATCAAATTATCAATGTAGTTCTATCGATGTTGTGCTGCTAGCCTGCAAGGGGCCATCCATAAATTAGGTAACGCCAAAATTCTCGGTTTTGAATACTCCCCTCCCCCTGTGTCACCAATGCTAACAAAAGTGAAATCCCCTCCCCTAAGCGTCACGTAATAAAATCAAAACCCGTCCATAAGCTTTACCATTGTGACGTCATAATTGTAACATAACGTAACAAATTTTTTAAAGCCCCCTCCCTTCGTCATAAATATTAAATGGTAACGTTTCAAAGACTCCCCCCTCCCCTTGCTTGCGTTACGTAATCTATGGATGGTCCCCAAGGCATCTGGCATCAGTGGCATGCCGATGCGTATCGTATATTAAATTTGCGTGCTGTGCTCAGTGTGCTGTATGTACTTGTACTGTACTCCAGCTGCCAGAGTTGTGCCCGCCAGCCGCGCCAGGTGGTGATAGTGTGTAAAAGCCGAACTTTGTGGGTTTTGCGCACACTGGCTCAAATACAATTCAGTTAGTGGAGCTTTATATCTGTCTTCTCTCGGATCGATCAATGCCATTCAATGGTAGCGTTATTTTTTTCCCTTTAATGTTTTGATTATTAGCTAAAGTTTTAAACACCACATTCAGAAACATTACAAAACAAAGTGCAAAGTAAATAGCATTAAAAAGCCGTCCGAACGTTACGGACAACGCCATTTTCCCCTTGTATTTCAAATGCTAAACTATAATAACAGAAAACTATAACAACAGCAAAAACTCAGGACACAAAAATCTATAATAACAGCAAAAACACAGAATACGGGACACAGAAAACTATAATAACAGCTCGTTACAGCTGTTTGGATCAATTGGATGTACACGCTTGCCGAATATATTGGTATTTCCGGCGCTTTTCATCTTCCACTTTCCTAACGTTATCGTTGCCATTTAACCCGAGAGAAGACAGAAACGCTGTATACTCACTCGATCGAGCTTTCGGCACAAACCAACAGCGATTCGTACTGGGCAATCGTTCAAAAAATTTTCAGTGATGCTGTTGGGAGCACTTCCAGCCAGACTGCGTTGTCCTTCGTGCTGACAGCTCGCAGCGGCGCCTGGCTCGAAATGTCGGATTGGCTAATTTCGATTGAATGTTAATAGTTACCTTGTACGAGTACGGAGTACTTATATGTTGTTTTGCGGTTTTCTTGTCCATAATCGACAGGAAAGTCGGTCGTGTTTGGGAATTATTATTGCAACTTAGATCATGGCCGACAAGAAAAAACGCTGTCCCAATAAGAAACTTCAGTATAACACTGCCAGAAAGCAGATAACTAGTTCGGCTAATTAAACAACACCATCGAAAAGTATTCCTATAACAGGTTTTTAAAGCAATCCTTTACCTTAAAAAAAACATAGCGCAACGCTAAATCTAGCAGAACGGCATCAACCAGCAACTATTTTGTGGTGCGAAGAATCTGCTGGATGTGGAGCAGTTTCCTATCTGCCTGCTTACAATCCGCATCGCATTTTTGGACTACCTTAGACTGCTCACCAAATATTTTTACAAAAATGCTCCTAGCTTCACTACAGTAATCCATATTGACAGCCACCACTTCATTCGCTGATGCTTCCAGCTTCCTATCTGCCGGCCTCGACGTGTGGTCCATTCCACTGATCAGCATCTGATGGTGGAGAGCATCAACGGCAGTCAGTCCCGCAGAAAGCAACAGGCGAGCGCGGAACACTGCATACTTTGGATATATCTTCCTGCAGACAATCTATATTGCATATTCGAATACTGATCCACCAACCATACTCAGGACAAAAATAATTTACCGCACACAGTCGACCAACTCCTTCGTCATTTTCCAACCGTCTTCAAAACGGTTATCCGCGAAATATTTCTTCGGCAATTCCCAGCCGCAGACATAGCGGAAATGCGCATCGGGCTGCAGGATGCCAGCAGCGTCCATCTCCTGGCAGAGCTGCATGGCCAGGACGTCCTGGAGCTCCAGTGAGTACCGCGTCGTGTTGGTCTCAAACTGCTGGATGAACCGCCGAAACTGTTGTAGCCGGTCGCCGTTCAGGGCGCCGCATTCCGAGCAGGCTTGCAGTGCACGACTGTCACTGGGAATCTGGTTCATGCAGCCCACCGTTACGCAGCGTAACCGGTTAATCTCGGCATCCTAATATAAATCGTGTAATTTAAATACTTGTAAATGTAAGAAGAATCAGGCGTGAAGATGTTACATATTCTGGCGTGCATCGGCGACAAGTGCACAGATAACCGTAACGTTCTTGAAATACAGCTCGACGCTCGGCTCTTGTCCGGCAGAAAGGTTCCTGTAGGTCACTGTACCGCAGCTGCAAAACGCGCGATTGATACGAGCTTCATTAAACTGCATTTTTGAATATTCGCTACAATCGGTTGTATTTAACATTTTAACCCGAAATGGCAAATGCAATGCATAATGAATTACTGAGTCTCAGTAGTGGTAAATCTGGTGATCCGAGAAAGAGCATGCGACTAACATCTCGCAGTCCGGTATACTGTGGAATGTCTTCCGCGGCATGGATGACCAGTCGCCGTCCCTGGCGGTTCAGCTCCACATTGATGTCCCAGCAGACCCGCGTCATCCGTCGCGGCGGTGCCTGCGGATACACTGCCACGCCGCACGCGGTTCCCAGCACGTCGTACATGTTCAGAGCACTATAGCGGAGAGTTGCGTAACAGGCCACAAAGACTTCGGCTGGTACGCCCGTTAATATGCTCTCCGGATCCCAAGCGGAGACTCTAAGAACACACCTGTTAAGAACCAAGGTTCACTGTTTACACTTTCAGAAAGCAAGCAGAATACCCTGGTAACAGCTGCCGTTCGATTTCTGATTGTGCGGGATTTGTTGGCAGCTTGAGCAAAAGATCGCTAAAAGATTTCCGGCCCACTTCCGGGATGTCCATCATCGGGTTTAACTACAGATACATACAGTAAAGTGCGCACAGAATACGTATACTTCTACGAGCAGAATTCATAATAGTGCTCTCCATCTCTTTAGTACAATACAGTATTTCCACTTTCCAGCCATGATTGAAATTTCTTGCTAGACGATCACCCTAACCGAAAATGAGCTACCTATCTGCTCTGAGGCGAGTTAAATTAAGATGAAATTTAAAAAATTAAATATTTTCCCCTCTCTTGCAGAACTGAGATCACAGACTTAGCAAATTACGAAATTGCCCGATATCATTCACAGCACCCTGTCATAACAAAATTAAGGATTCAGCTCAAAGAACGCTACAGATAAATTCCTGTTAAGTGACTTACTTTGATTTTGTTGACCAGCTTGGCGACGAACTCTCGCGGCACGTCCAGCTTGTACGGCATGCTGCTGTCGCGCGCCATCTTCGTATTGCCAACAGGCGCCGTCTTCAGTACGGCGCATTCCAGATTATGTTCCAGCTTCCAGTCAGCAGCCTACATGAAAAGCCCGATGTGGTTGATTTCTTCTGACTTGTTAATCCATCTTTACAATGAGCGACCATAAACGGTGACTGTCTCGGTAAATTTACGAATTTCGCTTGTGAAATTAGTTCGCAGAACGTCCCGCATGGCGCATGCCGTCAGCAGCCCTGATGGTCGATAAAAAGAGGAAAATATCCTAGACGTTATACCTGACAAGCCACGCTACAATAGCGGTGGAGTTTACATCCCGAACAGGTTCGTAGTTCCTGATTTTCTAGCAGACAGTAGGCGCAACGAGTTTCATAGGCGCTCCTCTCCAGCGCCCACACCAAGGGCTCACAGCAAAGTACGACATCGCCGGCCTTGAATGAACGGCAAGCGTCCTGCACAGCCTCCTTTGTACCCATCATGAATCCACGGCTTTGAATAAGATGTACTAACAAGTAACAATGAACAATCGTAGAATAAAATCTAAAATAACTGGCCGAGAGACGGTAAGCTGACACCTACTGCAAATTTGCGAGAGATCTGGTGTGTAAAACTAAATCGTACTGGTACTACTTAATAGTAACTGGAGAATCCAAACCAGAGTGCAGTAACAGGCTTACAGCTGCCTGCCAGAGGTGGTTGCAAGGAGCAGTAACAGCTGACTGGTTAACCTAATTCCTACGTAGAGTTGAAGCTTGAAGAGTTGAAGTGTGGCACGTGCGAAGTGATTGGATCAACGAAACACAAACCACGAAATTTAATACGAGTTTGAATTTAATTGGATCGTACTTAACAGCGACTTTTTGCCAGTTATTTGGTTTCGAATGGTTACCTAGTTAATTGGGGTACTAGAACTAGTAACTTCTGACTTGTGCCATGGAGACCAAGAAGACTACGCAGGACGCTCTAGAAAGCCGTTCGTTTGCAGTTGGGGATCTTGTAATGTCGTTTGATCCGTTTGTTTGGGTAATGGAGAGGAGTGCTTATAAAACACGTTGCGCCTACTGTCTGCAAGAAAGTCAGGAACTACAAACCTGTTCGGGATGCAAACTGCACCGCTACTGTAGCGTTGAATGTCAGGTGTGCTTATGGAAGCATCATACGGCGATTTCTGCCTGTATCTATCCTTTAGTTGCTCAGTTCGCATGACGAGATGTTGTTACACGTAAACCGAACTAGTTTCATAGTTTTGCGAAAAGTTAGTCGAGAGAATTCTTAAAATTACGATGGGTATTTTTCTTATCTAGACAGCTGACTGGAAGGTGGAGCACAAAACTGAATGCGCCTTGCTAATGAAGATCGGGCTGGGCACTGGCATTGAGAGGAAGCCTGATCCCTCTGGCTGCGGTATTCGGTTCAGTTTGGACGTACCCACAGATCTCATTGCCAAGATTGTGAACAAGATCAAGGTATTTCTTCAATAAATTTTTTAGAATACCAGACAGGTTGTGCTGGTCTTACTGTAGGTTTTTTAAACCTATTTTGTAGAGCTGCTCAAAAGCGGATTTTGCATACGAAACACTCATCTGTATTATCAACCATTCTAGCGCTTAAACGCTAAGATAAGCACTTGAAAAGAGCAGCTGCCGAATGCGAGGAACATTCTCCTCAGCTGGCTCAGCAGCTAACGAGATCGAGTCAGCAGACTCCCGTAACACTCCATTATTCTCACTGTTACTTACTCAGTGTATTTTCAGCTGAATGCGGTGACCGATGTGATTGGATTGGGCCTGAAATCAGCCAAAGAGATGTGGGACATGCTGCCGTCTAATCCGAAATTCGCGCGCATGGACATCAAGCATCATCGGGGGTCAGTGGTTGCTTAAAGCCTTAACGCTCCCTAGCGGTTGCACGGGATTCTTGTTCCCCGGAATAGGCATGTTCGTTTACAGACTAGATGTTATGCAACGAGAGTTTGGCCTTGACCTACCCGAAATGGAAACGTATGCTGCGAAAATCGGTTACAATATCATGAACATCGTGGATATGCCGATTATGGCACCCATTGGTATGGCACTGTTTCCCCCGGTGTCCCCCCAGCTTATGACGCCGGTGTGCTGGGATGTGAATGTCGTGTTGAGCTTCCGCGGACGCCGCTTGTTCCTCCGTGCTGTGGAGGATATTCCGAATTACACCGGACTAAAGGATGTAAGGGATATGCTACAGGCGATTTGTACCGCCACTTTGTGCCAACATAGTCACGATTAAGGACCATGACTAGAGAAATTGTACCAAATTTGTTTGCATATACGTGAACTTTCGCTTCGGCGCATTTCCAAAGCCATTTTGCGTCGCTTTTAAGACATTCTGTAGACAACTGATTTGCATACACTGTAGACTACTGGTGTACAAGCTTGTCGACAAATTGAGTATGTAAAGGCACAGGTAGAGCGATGTTGACGCTAACCAGGGCACATTTTCCGGGTCCAAATTCAGAAAATTCCCATCTTTTGCAGGGAAGTAGTTTATACCCATAGTATAATTAAAAAAATAATTTCATGTGCTGACACTCAAGGGCGTGGCCAGCAAAAATAAATGAATATCATAATACTACATACTAATGATACTATTACAATGCGCTGTTGCAGTACTCGTACAGGCCATTTTCGTACTGTAATAATAATTCAGAAAAATCTTCTCTTTTGCTGAAGGGTACGAGTACTGAAAGTCTGAACGACTTCGAAATGCTTAAAAAATAATTTCATGTGCAAATGTTAATAAGGCGCCGCCAACCATTACAAATTTACAAAAATAGACTACGGATACAACAGTTCTGCAGGTATTCGTCTATTCGAGCACATTTTCATTCTATTTCGTTTTTATTAACTGACCTATCTTCTGATAACTATATTGTTTTAGGTTTGCTATGCCGCGTACCCGTGCTTTGAGACAAGATTAGTTTGCTAATTAATAAAATTTCAGAAACACAATGTTGTCCATATGTTTGCCGTCCCATTCAGCTGCAATATTAGTGTACTCGTAGTCTCGTACCTGTAATCTGTTTTTAAAACTGTTATTCTGGGCGAAGCCCTCTGCACATGCAATAAATTTTTTAAGCATTTCGCATTTGTACACAACCGTTCGGCAGAAGACTACATAAACAGCTTGTGCAGTGCATTGTAATACTTGTATGTATGTAGCGTTACGGTGTTCATTTATTTTTTTCTGGCCACGCCCATGAGTATCAGCACATGAAATTATTTTTTAATTACACTATGGGTATTTACTAATTTCCTGCAAAAGATGGGAATTTCTGAATTTGGACCCGGAAAATGTGCCCTGGTAAGTTGGCGCATGATTCGCATGAATGATGGCCACTACACTTCGTTTATCTTAAAAGGGAAAGTTTTCAACTTGTCGCGCGATTCACTGCCCGCACATAGTATCCTTTTGAAACCCGAGAAACCTTTTGCAATATAACAAATTCCATAAATTCCAGGGAATCTAATGATACTATGTGCGGCCAGTGAATCGCGCGCCCAGTTGAAAGCTTTCCCTCGTTAATACCGAAATGCGCGAAGCAGTTAGATTGTCCCTTACTTGCACAGTTGCACCAGTCGCTTTCTAGTCACCATCTACAATTAATCTCTTTCAAATATCTGGCGTGCACCAAGCCAACAGCCAGCCAAATGCATGTTACGTGTTTAAACAGTGTGGCGTGGCGCGTCGTAATATGGATTTGAGCGTAACCCGTAAATTTGCAATGTTCGCTGTACTTGCGAATACTCAATTTGCCGACTAGCTTGTACCCTTATGTGATCGATTTATTTCTTGCAGCTACGGTGCAATGAAATTATGATGACGGACCCGTTCTCTCTTACACGTGCCGGGCGCCGTACTACGTTCAAGAATCTGCACGGATATCCGTGCACATGCCGGAAATGCACCACTCAATATGTAAAGATCAACAATATTCATTTGATTTTTTTCATATTAATGGTGTATAAAATACACTCCCTCCATTTAATGGCGACCATTTTGTCTTGTAGGAGGCAGAAATTAATCCGTTGAAGTGTACTACGGTTGGGTGCACGAATCGCATTCCGAGCGATGAGCGCGCTCTGCAGCCCTGTGCGGAATGCGGCGCACTTAACTCCAAACGATTGGCGGAGTTCCGTTGCTTCATGGAAGATCACGAGGAGATTATGACGGGCTTCCCGGCGCAACTGCACACAAGTATGACTGCCTCTCTCCTCGAAGACGTGGACGCTGCGGACATTCTGCAGCCGGATGCGCATTTCCGCTACGTCTGCGGCTGGGAATTGCCGCGGAAATTATTCGATGAGAACCGTTTTGAGGAGGGCTGGAAACTGATGCAAGAGTTGATCGTCTGTTCGCGGTAAGTAATCGTGAACGGCCTGGTCGCCGATTGGTAGACGACTGTAACCGCCCAGAACGTCAGGAAATGAATTGTACGCACAGTTCAAAATGACTTGTCACGAATTTTACAGTTAAGCAAAAGCGAATTTACTTGATTTTACAGTTAGGCAAAAGCGAAGTCCGGATGCGAATGTTACACTCATCCTGTTTCCCATCATAAACGCAATATTATTATTATTATTATTACATCAAGAGCAGACAACCCGATTAACGGAACTTCAACATCTGGTCGGTATAAAAGGAAAGCAACATTCGAATTACGACAGATCATTCGAAGAGCAAATTTGAAAAAACCAACACCATCAACAAAGCGTTGACGACGCTGAGTATCTGCATATTAACCTTTTGTATGCGCTCGAAAACGTCCCTTAAACGCATGGCCGACGTGCTTTCTCCGATCTTCTTCTTCGCTTTGGCTTCGATTCTCTTTGGCTTCCGGAGATTGTACCGCATTGTGACATCCGTGAAGTCAAATATGTCGACCAGGTACTGTGGAGGATGGCACGCTTCGTGGTTGTAGATCTTGTACAACCATACTGCCTCGGACTGCTTCCAACGGTCGTTCACCGGCAGGAAGCCGCAGGATGCGCAGTTTGTGGTACCGCTCGGGTGGTACCCGCTCCTCGTAATCAGAAATCGCCACAGTGCTTTCCGCTGTGCATTAGCCAGTTTGCCGCGCGAAGCCAAAGATGCCGGTGACCACGTATCCGACCCGTAGTCGAAGTGTAGCTGCACACAAGCATGGTAAAGGCTCCTACGCTGGGGCAGATCCAGGCCGTCTTTCACGTAGTTAATCTAATACTGGTAATGTGTGGACAAACTTTACGGCGAACGTATTGGACGGTTTAAGGGCTAGACATCCGCCGGATGTTATAAACGTCCGTACGTTTTAAACGGTTATAGACTAACCATGCGTCGGCATGCGAACAGGGAGTCAGGCTATTAAAAATAGCATGCATGCATTTACAGGAATATTTACCCGAAGTACAACGTGTCTCACGCTATGGAGCTGTCGTTGGCCGGCGTATCGGCGGCTTCGGCTCTCAAGAATCGGGTCCTGGAGAGGATTAAGCAGTTGAACGACGAGGAAAAGAAACAACTGAAAACCATGACGGACAGCGCGTGTCCCGTAATGCTGGATTATTGCCGCGAAGCACGGGACATCTTTGTCATGCTGTATGGGGAGGAGTCGAAGGGGGCTGTTGGTGGGAATATGCTGCTTGCCCGAACTGAGGGCTTTGTGCGCCAGATCGAGCAGGCTTTTCGTGGCCGACAGTAATGTGGACAGTTCGGTAGGTTGGTTTGCGTTGAACAACCTGTACTCATTTGTCTCCAGTAGTTTGTTCAGAAATTGGCGCGCTTCTCAACTGCTTGGCTTAATCCTGCTTTCAGTATGAAATACCTTTGTCTTGGAAAATGTAGTTGTTTATTTGGGAGCAGCTTTCGCTTTTGTTCATTCTCCTGTCGCACTGTACGTTCAGAAGTCTTGTTTTCTCATAGTAGTGACAAAGTTTCACGGCTACAATAAATAGATCATTGTCTGCTTTTTTAATACCATGAACAGAAAATTTATTTGATAAAACGACGGAATGCGATTAATTTCGTCCGACGAACAGATTACCAAGTTAAAAATAAATAATAATGCAGTGAAAAATTTTTCTCGTCAACAACAGAAGTTGTACAGTAATGCAAATTTATAAGAAAAGCGCTAAAAGAAATTTCGCAGGAAGACAACGATATTAAACAGGCCTTACTTGCGACCGCGGAAAGCTTGCATGATAAGGCATATTTTTGCTGCCGCCTGTGTACACACGGGATATCCGTTTTGAGACTCGGTACGTAAGATTATGTCCGACCACAACGCAACGTAAAACACATACTGGGTGGAGGCCGCAAGTGCAGCTGAAATAAGCCCTGTCATTCCCTCGTAGCTACAGTAATGGCTGTTGTTGGATGCGCAAATCGTGTTCCGCGCGACGACCGCGCTCTGCAACCCTGCGCCAAATGCGATGCCTTGAATGCAGAACGGTTGAAGCAGTTCCGTCGTTTCATGTAGCAACACGAGACCTTTAAGACGTGTATAAGAAGGAGTTGTACGGGGCCATGGTTATCGATCTCCTGAAGGAAATGGACGCTGCCGATATCCTGCAGCCGGATGCGCACATCCGCTACGTGTGTAGTTGGGAATGGCCGCGGATGCTGTACAACGAGAACCGTTTTGAAGAAGGCTGGAAGTTGATGCCGGAGTTTGGGATGAACCTAAGAACCTTGCCTATAGAATTTGACTGAGAAACGTTCGCTTCTGTTATTAGACTCATCGCGCTGTATGTTAATACTGTTTCAAATTTATCGTGAATACCGATCAGTTTCATGGTTGCAGTACAACTCCATTCTGGTGCCCCCACTAGTAGCTCGCCACATAAATCACCGCTGGCAGAATGTGGTTGATTTCGCCCGGTACATGTGCACATTAACCAACGTATTCGAGCACTGTTTTTAATTTGCCAGTAAATCACTCGCCAGCCAGTTAAACGATGACAGCAGTACACTCAATTTAGCAAAAAGAAAGCATTAAACCCATTACTTGCTGCCGCGGAAAGCCTGCTCCATGACGCGTATTTTTTCCGCCACCGGCTCAAACATAACGTGACCGGTCAGAACCTCCTTTGATTTCTTCCCAAACAGCACAGCCAAGATATCCTTGGCTTCGTCATAATATTCGAAGGCGTGATGGCACACTTGCAGGGCTAATGTTTCCAGCTTCTCTTTCGCCGGACTCGACACCAGCTGCAAGTCATTCAGCACGCGCCGATGCATTCCTATAACGGCGGATTTCCCCGCAGACATCAGTATGATAGCTCGCATAACCGCATACTTTAGGTGTATCTTCCTAAAGACAGTAAGCAAAACCATGATCTGCTTTGCAGACAGCCACACATGCAAATAGGAGAAACCATAAACTTAGGCAGGTGATAATCAATAAAAATATTGTACTATATCTAATAAATCTGTTTTGCCACGATTATAAATGGAAGATGTGAAATCACATAATTTACCGGATACAAGCAACCATCTCCTGCAGCATCTGCCAGCCTTCTTCAAAGCGGTCCTCAAGACAGTATTTGTGAGCCAGTTCCCAACCGTAGACGTAGCGGATATGTGCATCCGGCTGCAGAATACCAGCAGCGTCTATTTCTTTACAGAACTCCATGAAGATACCCCCCGGAAGCTTTAAGGAGTAACGCGACATAATGTTCTCGTGCAGCTGGATAAAACCACGGAACTGCTTCAGCCGGTCACTATTGATGGCACCACATTCTGAGCAGGCTTTCTGCGCACGACTGTCGCTGGGAATGCGATTCGTGCACCCCACCGTTACGCAGCGTAACGGATTAATCTCAGCGTCCTAAGAAACACCGAGACTTGTTTATTACACGTAGTCAAGAATCTCAACGATATTCGTAGTTTGTTTGTAGCTACCGTACATATTCTTCCGTACATCGCCGACAAGCACATGGATAGCCAAAACGTTTTTCAAATTTATCGCGACGTGCTGTTCGTGTCAGACAGAATGGTTCCCGGGCCATGTCGCTGTATCGTAACTGCAAAAATCACAGATTTCAAAGAATACTTTGTGGCAACCGGGGTGGAAGATGAAAATTGCCACCAAACCAGGTTCACATTTCCGAAATTGTGAAAGGAACTGTGTTAAATGGGTGTCTGTTCGTATTGTAAGCGCCATATATATTTTTCGGTTGTATGCGCCTACGTACAAGTACAAGTACAAGTGTGCGCCTAAGCCCACGTACATCTGCAAGTCCGGTGTATTCCTGAATAACTTCAACGGCATGTATAACCAGCCGGCGTCCGCGGCAGTTAAGAACCACATTAATGTCCCAGCACACCGGTGTCATCCATCGCGGCGGCGCCTGCGGATACACGGCTAGGCCGATCGGGATGGTGGGGATATGAAACGTATCGTAAATGGGTAGAATGTTGTAGCGCAGGATCCCGTAATACGCCAGAAACTCTGCTGCTGGTAAGCCAACTACCAGGGAATTTTGAGCTTCCATGGCGGACAGTCTACGAATAGTACCCCTTCTCAAGAATTGGTCTAGACATCCTGAGAGAAAGCTTACGCCGGCTGCAGTTCCAGTTCGACTTCCGCTTGCGAAGGATTTTCCGGCAGCATAAGCAGAAGGTCCTTAGCAGATGCCCGACCGATGCCCGGAATGTCCATCATCGTGTTTAACTGGAAAATTATCAGTATGAGGCCTATGAGGTACCAAAATCACTAACTGGCTAGTGGCTAATGCTTTTTCCCAGCCGGTCCGGAAAATCTTAATTTTTAACCCTAGACTGAATGAAAACCGAATGCGGTACATTCTGGTCTCCTCTGTGAACGGTATACGTCTCGTGTGTGATTACTGCTCAAAAAGCGATTTTTAACCTCAGCCAGCAACTATTGCAGTTTTTTTTTGAATAAGAGATTTACTTAAACAGTTAAGCACCGAGATGACAAACAAATCACGCCATTGCACTTAGGACTTAGGTACCGGCTAACAGGAAAAACATTTCGTATCCTTTTTAGGAAGCCGTGTGCAGCAATTAGTATAGTGAAAAAAGGTTTTGGAATCGGATTTCTAGTAAGCATTTTTTAAGTAAAAGGGAGAAAAGTGTAGTATACTGAGTTCACGTGTTTATTGTCCTTCTAATACTTTCCTATTTCTGTCCTTTGTCCTTGTCTTCTTAGCAACTTCTCTTGTGTTTTCCCGGTTCTCTAGTTACGATTCCTCAGTTTCCTTTCAGTTGTTTTCCTGACCATTACGATACAATAAAGATACGATTCCTACACATGACAATACATGACAATGGCGTGAAGCTTGTGTAATACTGTAGATCTCTATCATTGAAGTGTACGAGTTCTTTATATACGGCTTAACAGCGCTAGTTCGCTTCTTAATTCGTTCGAATATGGCGACACCAGAAACTCATCCCATCCTACGGTTTAATCCCGAGTCGATGCAGTGGGATATGTGGAAAGAAAACCTCCACAGCTATATCGAATTCGCCGACATCCCCGTGGAGAAGCAGAAAGGGCTGCTTCTGAACTCGCTGGAGGTCAAGCCATTCGAGATGCTTGTCTCGATGTGCAGGCCGACTGCCATCACGGACAAGAAACTCACCATAGAAATGCTGCTGGCCAAATTGGATACAGTGTACAACAAGTACACATTCAAGGTCGCGGAGTGGGCACACCTGTTCCGAACTGTCCAAGGGAAGGACGAATCGCTGGCGGCATACTCCAGCAGGTTACGGTACAGGAGTACCGTATGCAAGTTTCCCGCTGACATCATCGACCCGATGCTCAGCGCCGTCTTCATAAACGGCATCCAGTCGGATTCCGTCCGCCGTCACCTACTGATAAACGAATACCAGACCCACGAAGAGACCCTGAACGCCGCCAGGAAGATGGAAACCGGCATTGAAGAAGCTACGGCCAGTACGTCCAGCCAAGACCGTGAAACTGTGATGAAAGTCACAGCTAGCAGAAGGTCAACGGTTGTCAAGCAAAAGACATCCAATTCCAGTGGTCAATCCAGTGCAAATGGAAGCCACAAGCCACCCACCAGCAATCAAAACGAGTCCGATTCCGATTCCAGTTCCCCTAAGCGAAGATGCGATTCCTGTGGATCAACCGATCACATGCGCGAGCGCTGTTTCTACAGGAAACACGTATGCCATAACTGTGGGAAGAAAGGTCATATAGCAAAGGCATGCCGCTCACAGAAGAAATCCGACGTCGCTACGAATAACTACATTACGGATTACGCACCGCGTCCTCCATACGACATACTGTGATTCCAGTTCCGGTTCCTACGACGCTTCGTCTCAGTGGTTCAGAGTTCACTAACTATATGGTTCTGTTGCCGTGGTTCTTGTTGCTATGGTTCTATGGTTTGTATGCTGCTAAATATATGGTTCTGATGCAATGGTTCAACCCAGCTCTTTTTGGGCGAGGGAAGGGAATGTAGTATACTGAGTTCACGTGTTTATTGTCCTTCTAATACTTTCCTATTTCTGTCCTTTGTCCTTGTCTTCTTAGCAACTTCTCTTGTGTTTTCCCGGTTCTCTAGTTACGATTCCTCAGTTTCCTTTCAGTTGTTTTCCTGACCATTACGATACAATAAAGATACGATTCCTACACATGACAATACATGACAAAAAGGAAGATCATAGGCTTCCTTGGAGAGCCCAGTACTACAAACGCCGTGATGTGAATGAGGCGATAGATGTCTATGACTCTATGCCTAACACTGGATAGTCAAGAACTATGGAATTGCTGTTGCTATCCCAAAACGGCAAACCAGGTATCAGAAAAACAGCAAGGTCTGCCAGACTGCCAGATAAAATCAAAAACGATATCAACAGCACGGCGAAAATGAAGTACTGTAGTCATCCTTGTATATCAGATCAGGACCTGATCAGATACACATTCTCGATTAAAGGACAGCAGCCCAAAGGTTCATTCCAGGATAATCTTACTTTGATTTTATTGGCCAACTTGGCGATCATCTCCGTAGGAACGGCATAGTGGCCCGAGACCGTTTGCCTCAAAGACCAGCGTTCTGTTCCTAGGCGCATTCCCGTACCGATTGTCTTCAGCAAGGCACATTCGAATTTGTGCTCCACTTTCCAATCAGCGGCCTGTGTTAAGACAACCACACCATATTAAGCCATATGGCACACTGAGTCGCTGACCACAATGAAGTTGAGAAACGCTGTGAACGGTGTGCAAGTGCAGGATCAGCGCTGGGGAACCCAGCATGCGTGATTCACAGGGAAAGACAGTAGCTCCAGCGATGCAGCATCATCAGAAACGAGTGTTAAGCCGACAATTCTTGTGGAAACCAGGTTGGCTATTACCGATACCGACTAGCAGGATACCGATTTTCTAGTTATGGTCTATAACCGGAGCAAAAGCCCCATCATTGTGCCGCAGTTATGCGCTCTAGATTCGTTTTTGATTGCACAGTAACTCAAACCATTTGAAAGCTCGTAAAAGCACCGTACTGTCAGTATAATCACCGTACCTGACAGACCGGATTACAGTAGCGATGCAGATGGCATCCTGAACATGTACGCAACTCCTGGTTTTTCTGGAGGCAATAAGCGCAGCGTATCTTGTAAGCGCTGCTCTCCAATATCCACACCAACGGCTCACAGGACATTATCAAGTCGCCAACAGTGTAACAGCGGCTGCTACTGCCTGTCATCGCTTGAATCGCTTCCATTCCCGTCCGACGACTAACGCAAAGGATCAACTCAAAAAGACTCAGGAAGTTCCGTTCAAAAATAGATCATATTCATCTTTAAAACATCAGCCTTAGGGAAGTAAGGTTTAGCAGCTTGAGAGCGGAGAGACCTCACTGTCAGTATCGTGCCTAAGGATGGGCCGCAGATTCGCAGCAAATCTACAGGGTGCACATGCCAAGTTGTCACCAAAACTTTGCTTATTTATTAAAAATTTCCGACAGACTCTAGAATTTTTATTTAATGTTAACATAATCGTAATTTCTCTCCTGCATCATTTGAACCCAAAACTGCCAGCAAGTAAGCGTTGTTTGACAAGTTATACCAGAAAACTCGAACGCCACCTGCTTCACGATACGTCCCGACCCGTCTCCCGTGGTCGCCTGCCGTGCGCCCAAAATTTGTTTAAAAATCAAGGTCAGCCCTTAGGATCTTAGCTAATCCGTGACAAGTGAAAACTCTTCAACATCCAATACTGTCTCGGGATGTACATCATCTGATTCTCTTCGAACCCCTGGGAGGTCACAATTGCGACTTAGAAAATAGCACTGTCAAAATGGGGGAAGACGCCCTTCTAGCGATCCCCACACAAACGAGGAATGCCACCCCTAACCATCTTTGACATAATATGATTGCGGACATATGTGGTATCAGTTTAACGGTTGCGGTTGACCAGGTAAATGCGGCTCATTCCGTTCCAGCGGCTCCCCATTGGGCACATAATTTTTGTTGACGAACGCTTTGTTGATTTTTTCCTCCACTCGTCGGTGGTTCACAGTAAATCGGGAATGGCATGTATGTCCCTGTTAACTTTAAAATCGCTTAGAATGATCCCTTCCACACATTTTTTAACGATCATTCGAACACCTAAAGGTTCCAGACATTTACGAAAAAATTTTCGCCAGTAGTACCGTATAGCATTATAAAAGCCTGACAATCTCCAACAAAAATTTTTTAAAAATAAAGTAAGGGTTCCATTGAGTTGGTTCTCTTCTCAACGCTTACTTAACGTATTTTTAGCTTGCTAAACCTAATTTCAAGAGTAGAAAGTGTTTTCCTGTTTTTCTGATGAAATGAGTATACTGGCCAGAAATACACCACCAGGGATCTTACTTCTGACCTTGTTCCCGACTTCAGTTTCAACGCCAACGGTCAAATGTCGATTTCAGTTAACGCAGAATTAAATTCTGTATTAGAAACAAGTATTAAATTAAACCAGAGTAAATGAACTTTTTCTAATTTTTAAAAATGAATTTAAGCGATGGTGACAACTTGGCGTCTGCACCCTGTAGTTACCACCCACCGAGCGGCATCTACCGTTCGGATTGCAATCGGAAGGACTAGCTGCCGCCTGCTTATGGCTGCCCTGCGCCCTGGTAACTCAATGTGTTGGTCTCCAATTCTTGTTTTAAAATAAATTTTAGTAGTCCTACTCGAAACGCGCTTTAGATGCGTTCTGTAAGATACAGAGCCGGGAGTTCTGTAAAAGTGAATCTAGCAGTGGTGCATGGCTGAATCTTATAGCGTTACAGAGTAACGAGACCACGGACTCTAAAAGCGCCCAGTTACCGTATCTGAACTGGTCAACGATTTATTTATTTTTCACAACAATTTTGTGGCCGTTTCCTTTCTGTTTGCTGGCGATTTTAAGTTTTGTCAAGTTGAAGAAACCGAACGACTGGTGAAAAAGGCAAAACGCGAAGGCAGTTGCACGTAAAGTATGCCGAGGTGGAATTTTACCATTCCTCGCGCTGACGCCTATGGCGAAGTTGCCTGTTGCCATCGATACAAAATCAAACAGGCACAGTCGGAGGCAGCTGAAAACAGTGAACAAAGCAGAACTGGAAAGTTGATTCGATAGAAACAATCAAATTCCCGTTAATTACACGGACACCTTCAAAACTTGAAAACTGAAAATAAGACGTGAGACGTACAACGTACTGTGCATCCGCATCAAAAAACAAATTTGACCTAGCAAGAAATGCGAGTTCTGTATCGTAACGGAGCCAGGAGAGCTCCTTTTAGATCCAGAACACTTTAACTCGGCCGTCCAATCAGCGGTAAGGGTGTGGTATCAAAACGTTACAGAACTTCCGGCTCTGTATGATACAGAAAATGCCGATCGAGGTAGGGGCGGAGATTCGCCGGCAGCATGGCCAGCAGATCTTGAACAGATTTCCGACCTTCTGTGATGTCTATTGTCGTGTTGTGCTGAAGAAAGCAACGTATGACTACAAAACACATTACTTATGCGCATAGTTTCTTGAACGCTTAAATTAACTTCGACAGCAGTCACAAACACCATTGTATGCCATGACGGTCTTACGATGAAAACTGAATAATTATTCGTACTTTAATTTTATTGGCCAGCTTAGCGATCATATCCGCATCGACGTTATAGTTGCGCGATGCTGTTTCTCCCGATGGCTCATGCTTCGTTCCAATCCCGATCTTCTTTAGCATGGCGCATTCCAGTTTGTGTTCCGTTTTCCAGTCAGCAGCCTGTGTTAAACCAACCACAAAATGAGAGTACAAGTACTGCAAGATGTTTGCTTGTGACGTAACTATCGTAAGATACAGGAATTTTGACAAACAGTTCGTGCGGAAGCCGGGCACTTCAATTAGTACGACGTGAATTTCTTTCTTTTTTGGGAGCAGAAGCCTCTCTAGCAGGTCGCCCCGCTTCCCCTTGTCCTTGTTGTTACTCTCCTGGCAGAATCGTTCGTTGATCACTCCGAAATTCAAAACTGCTAGAATTGTTTTCAAAATAATCACCGTAGGCCGTACCTGACAGACAGTACTGCAGTAACGATGTAGTTGGCATCCCGAACACGTGCGTAAGCTCTCGCTTTGCTGGAAACAATGAGCACAACGCCTCGTGTATTCGCTGCTCTCTAGTGCCCACACCAACGGATCACACGACGTTATCAAATCGCCAACAAAGTAAGAGCGCCTGCCACCGTTTGACATGGCCTTCATGTTTTATACAGTATTTCGGAAGAGGAATACACTGAAAACGATCAGAGAGCCATGTATATAAGTGAAACAGATTCACTAAATAAAAAAGGTTTGGTTGACTGAGGTTGAGTTATTTGAGCAGCAATGAGTCTAGTTCAGACAACCGAAGTTTTTGCTCAACTGGCAGTGATGCACTGCTACTCGGAATTCAGTCAGATGCCCGCTATACACCCCGACAGTGGCCAGTGACCGACGATGCACATAAGCATTTGCACATCCGGCTGTAGAAGTAAAACATTTGCAAGTTGGGCCGGTTACCGTAACTGAATTCCGCATAAAAGTCACTTTCAAGCGAACTGGCTCAATTTCTTTGTGATGACATTGTATCATTTATGTACGTACATACCGGCTGTCAGAAACTGGAGATAGCTACCCCCGAAACTTTGATAGCGGAATACGATCAAAATCAAAGCATCTAGAAATGACTAGAATAGATTTTACATCATCCGTTTTACGGTGTTCTATGTTTTAAATCACTCGTATTACAGCCTCTAGAGTACATTCGAGAGGCTTTGTCAAAACACACCTTTCTCAAAATACGTATCTGTACAGGCTATATATGAGTGGCCTTCTCCTTCTCCTTCCGCCTTCTCCTTTGCCTCCGCCTTCTAGCCAATAACCTTCTCCTTCGCCTTCTCCTTACAAGTTTTACGCCTATTCCTTCTCCTTCGCCTTTCTGTTTTTACGCCTTCGCCTTCTGATTGTGTTTAATGTGATTTGTAAAAGATGTCGCAAAAATACCATTTTTTGCACATGCATCATTGGATGGAAATGTAGCATTATCATTTTTTTATTAGTTAAACAGTGAAAACTACGCTACTACTGTCAAAAAGCGCACAAAGCTCACATATTCTAAGCTCCGTTAGTAAAATTTAACACGGTTTTTATCTAGTGTACCAACCTGTATCGCCTGCGAAACCTGTTAGAGCGCCCTACTTAAACAATACTGGCAAATCTTAACGTTGCCGATTAGGTAGGTCAGAACGTTTTGTTGGCCTTGAATACAGCAACTGCAAGCAAATCAACTTCCGGAAACTCTTTTACGACTGGGTCCAGACGTGCTACGCTAGGATCAAAATTGGGGTGCCGTTTCCGGATGCAGTTCACTTTCATGCAGTATCGTCTCGGTTTTGCTTCGGAAATTACGTCCACATTGCTTCCCTGCTTATAGTCTAGTTCCGAACGCTTAACAATCACGCTGACATCCGGCATATTTCTAAAAAGCTGCTTGCAACCTGCACACACAGCTAACGCTGGAATACTCGTTTCTTTCGTGATGAGGAAGGGCGCTTTGCCACGGTTCCATGGCTTGATACGGGTCAAATTGGTACAGCATTCGCAAACATCTAATATTTACCAATGAATTATTGCCTGAATTACCACTTATATATACGTTTATATATGAAATAAATATATACGTATAAATATATGAAATATATACTGTACCGGGCGAAGCAGCTCGAGCTCTTTGCAGCGCCAATAACTTTTGGGCTTGTGGGTGCTCCGTTGTAGTGACCTTTGAAGTAGACGGGCCATCAAACTGCAGGTTTGATCGATTCGTATAACCAGTGGTTTTCTGTGATACCCGGTGTCCGGTTTTCTTCCCACCACCCTTCTGGGAAGGAAAGTTCAAAAACGCGGTGGAAGAGTCACCTTCCTTTAGAAAGCTTAAAACAGCTGGAAGCAGCTCCGCGCTATGAGCAGATGCAATCACATGTTTACAAATACGCCCTTTGAACGTTTTTGACCATTCGCACTTGCAGGTGAACTTTCCGGAAACCACCGAAATGGATACGTGATACAGCTTTTCTTCGTCTTTTTCCGAAACCACAGCAAATTCTGATATTTCACTGGAAACAGTTTGCCTGGGCCATTTGGAAATTTTGTGTGGATTGAGAACATAATGGGTGGCATTTGAAAAAGCAACCTTGTGTTGGATCGACAGGCCGGATGAACCGTAAATTTCAAGCAGAGCAGACGGATCAGTTTGTGCAGCATCGTCGGTTTTTTCAGCTACAGCTTTCCATACGCTAAGAGTTCTTTCGGGATCAGGGTCACTGCCGAAAAGTTTAATCAGGCACTCCTCAACTGCTGGCATGTTGTTGCGGTTGTTTCTTGTAACAACAAAATCAGTTTTGGTAACTTTATAATCTCCAAGTTCAAGAGCGGCACGAGAAACATCCTCACAGCGGTTGTTGATGACTCCCAAAACTCGCTCTGCTAGCTCACATTGGTTG